GTGGATCTGGCAAAAAGTCGCTATATAAGTTGCTTAGCAATTTTGATAGTATGGCGACAGTGACGGGGATTGAAGGACGACTACCTGCGGGGCTGATTGTTGCTCCTAAAGTCAATGACAGAATCTTGAGCTATCTGATGATTCAAAGCTGTAGAAGCCAAAAACCGTTTCGGTACGCGGAGAAATGTCACATTTTTAGAAATTGCAACATTTTACCTTCTCGAGTCTGGTGTAGTACCAGTCTCAAATCAGCGTTTTCTCGCTTAAGCTCTTTAACCTGAAGAACGCTATCTTCGCATTTTCGCTGTAGTTCCTCATTGCGGTTGAGCTAAGAAAGTGTGTGAGCGGCCATGTGCGATCCACAACATGTGACTTCAAACAACGCACTTCGCTGTCAAGTCGCATCACAAGGTTTTGACATTCCCGCTGCCATTTCGCTTCAGATCGACGACATTTGGCCAGTTCTTTTTGTACGTCATCATTTGGTAACATGAGAGTTTTGAGGAGTGATTGGTAGTCTGCGTCCAAATTCGGTGAACAAAAGGTGATGATTATCTAGTCCACAAATTATAATGCGAACCTTCTTGTCGTCGTTCAGCCATTCTTTCAGCTTCTACCAGTTGCCTACGATGTCGTTAGAAAACCTTATGCACAATACTGGCCCTTGCAGCGTCAAACATACTGTTTCAAACTTTGAATCTCGAACTCTAAAGCCGATGATGTTTTATGTGACATAAGCTGTACCGGCAGGTAGCTCAACATGTCAGTCACACCACAAGATCGATCATTACCACACGAGGAATACCTGAAGCGACAGATCTTTAACAGTATGCTCGGCTTCCTCTTTCTCCTGTCGCCACCTGAGAGCTTGTGCCCGTGCTTCTTTCAGTTGGTCCTGTATGTCGTCCATATCTTGTTGCGCGCGTTGAACCTGAGCTGACATTTTTTCCACGGCGCTGGTTTTTTCACGGAGCATTGCGCGCTCAGCTGCACATATTGATGAGGAATGTAATGGATGGGGTTCAAGCAATTCATGCAAGAAACGAACTATACCTTCCAATTTCGCCTTCTCAATCTCAACACTCGACACCAAGTTGCTGTACTCTCTGTTTGTGTCGATTTTATACCTATCGTTCAACCCCAACCACAAGTTATTTATCATAATATTTCATACTGTTAAGTACCTAATCCACTTACTGCGCCATAGATTCTTGCAACTTTTCAGAATACTTTTCCTTCAAATTCTGCAATTGGGAAAGCTGCGCTAAGGCCTCGTCATACCGACGCTGTACAGCGTCGCGTTCCAACTTTACTTCCTTGGCCATTAGCTCCGCCTCAGTCCGTAGTGTGGCCTCCTTCATTACCGCCCGATTATTTTCCTCCAACAACTTCTGGCGTAGATCCATATTATGTTTCTCCAAGTCCTGAGGTTGTTTTAGTGTTGGGGTCACCTTTCCCGTTCTTTATCGGCAGTTTACTGCAGTAGTCACCTTCTCTCGCTCGGCTAAGCGTACTCTCTCCTGTTCCAGTAAGGTTGTAGCCTTTTCCTGCAATTCGACAGTTTTTTGCTCGAAGTCGGTTTTCAACCGTGACATATCGCTTTGGTATTTCTTCTTTTCTTCGACCCTCATTTGAGCAAGCTCGATACTTCGGAACTGGGTAAGCTGCAAAGAGGTGGCATAAGCGGCTGATGCATTGTGCACATTATGAAATAAGGGATACTGGGCCCTGCGCGCGGTACCTGTTGCTCCATTTCTATTCTTAGTCGGCTTTCTACTTCCTGTTGATACCGAAGTATGCGCTCTTCCACTGCCAATGCGTGAAGTCTTGCCTGATCTTGCTTTCGCTGTGCCACGTTTCTGTCGGTTTCTCGGAACTTGGAATCTTTGCATTCACTAAATTCATCAGCTGACGACACTCAATTACATTGCAAAATGGCGACGCACCTAGAAAATCCTCAATATCCAAATCCGTTTGCACGTCCTTGTCCGCAACGGGCAGGTCAGCGATTCGTATCAAACTGGTCAGTAGATTAACGAGAAGTACTTTTGCTCGTATAAATAGCAAATCCAGATTTATTTGATAGCTGCAATCTGCACACCTGAATCTTGAAACTTCATCAACGCATTCTTGTGGAAGACCCTGAGATAAATACTGCGCGATGGTCCAACTCAACATAGACAAACAGCTACTTACCAGCTCGCGAAAGAATACTGTGTGATTATCCATATGTAGTGCCTGCATAATATCTTCCTGCGACAATATCTATCGTTCCAGGCATCAGCAGCTGCGCTGATGCACCATGTGGTCTAGAGCCAGAGTCCAAAAAATGCCTTCCTACCTGATTCTTCTGATTCAACCCACTTTCAGGCAGAAACACTGACAAGGTAAAATCAAAACCACGCGCCTTAAGGTAGTCTACAAGCATGCTATCGAGCACTTGGTGCAACAGCCGGCCTTTTGTGCTGCCAGTGTCGTCGAGTCCAGATCCCCTATTTGGACCTTTCCCAAGAGCATGTGCATGGACTCGTAGCTTGAGCTCGGCAACAATCTTTGCGCGTAGTTGGGACTGTAAGGAAGGTAAGTCTCTTCAGCATCATGTTTGTTAAACAGGAAACCCCGCGTCAATATATATACTTTAAGCTTGTCAGCGACGCCAGCAGTTCGCAATGATTCAAACATTCGACTTCGCAACTCTTGCATGCTCATAGCATCATGTGGGCCTGCGTCTTTCATGCGTGTGGCAGAGAACATTGTCGAATGTCTGCTGTAGATCACTCTCAGATTGTTTGGGGCAAAGAACCGGAGCAACGCTCGCCAGCTGCTGACTGATGCGTCCACGTGACGACCTTCGATAAATCCCGCAGCGTTCTACCCTCGCCTTGTTTTGCGTCAGTCAACTTCCATCCGTGCGGCAGTTACTTGTGATCTTAGACGTAGCGTTCGGTGCATAAATGATCCTTTTCTTGTTTTCATTGTGGTATGCCGATAACGGCATTCAAAACTATGAATAACTTACCCTCCATACCTCCATTACCGATTGCTCCACCCACCACACCTTATTTTACCTATCAACCATCTCCTGAGTTGCCACAGACCGATGTACCGCCAACTAAAGTGAGGGATCTGCGCCCAGGAATGAGAGGCGTTAACCTTGATGTGGTTGTAATTGATAAATGTGAGTGGAAGATGAAGTGAAAGTTGGAAGGATCCAAGTAGAGGCAGGACGCTTCGGTAGACAGAGTTTCGCACAGTACAGCTGGCGGTGACAGATCTGCGCAGTTTTTCCAGTGGCACTGTAGTTGACGTTCTAGCGAGAACATTCACCTCAAGCCATTGTAATACTCGAGCTAGCACGTATGCAGACGTCACAGAGCTCTCGTCTAACTGGCGCGTTTGGACGTTGCTTTACCCTAGACGTAATTGAATCAAGAAAAGGTCCAAGATTCCTTTTCTGGGTCGGTGATGATAGTGGGTCAGTCATCCTTTCGTTGCTGGATGCAGATATTGGTCACAAAGTGCATCAAGGTAACGTTTGGGAGAGGGCAGGCCAGTCGCTGTACGCTCTTTATCCCGATATCAACCCTCTGATATGACCCACAGGGAATATGTTACACTTGATTAACTGGTATGGAAGAACGAGATTGACATTCAAATGCAACTTTCGAGAGTTAAAAATGGTTATGATTCTTCGATGCAGCGAATCCCGATTTTTCAAGGGCAGCCTGCAAGTTGCTCTTTACCCTAATACAGGCAAGCTCGAACGATATGCTGAGTGAGTGGGAAATGCCATGTTGAGACTGGAGCCCAGTAAGAGTTGAAGCCAACTGCTCTTCTTGTAGCATGCTGCAAGCCTTTGAACCAGAGCCAAATGTCAGTCATTATTTGTGGGAACCTGACGGAACTCGAGCGGGCGCATGGGTAGGACATTCTGCGCTTCATAATAGTGGTCATATCTTACTTATCGTATTGATTATTAGACTCAGCGAGAACCCGAGACAAAGTCTATGACTTGGGTGAGTATCGACCGTTTTTTACGTTCAATGGGAGCGCGTTCTTAGCCCCGCCTGCTGCAGTACATCCCACCTCCACATCCCACCCTCCGTCCGGCAATTCTCCCCCGGCAACAACCTTTGCAACACGCTTTATCTGCTCAGCCGCAACAACCGCCTTCATATCCACCAAACCAGCAGCCTCCCAACCACTTTGTTGGATCACGTGGTCCACCACCATACCCGAACGAACGCTTCCGTCCACCTCCGTCCGTACACCAAGGCCCAGATCGGTCAAGAAGACCTGATAAAAGGGCAAGGATAGAGTGACACAGTACACTTGATTTAGTGCTTGCGCTGAGAGTGCGCATCGTTCCTTTGGTTTTCCTTCCGCTATCAGAAGGATGCCAGAATCATGGGAAGTCCTGTTGGATTGCCATGGCCACAAAACCCCTCATCGCGAAATGCGTGATGAACATCAGAGAGACTGGAAATTCACAAACGGACAGTATGATTCCAAAAAATCTGACACTCCATCGGACGGTCCACCTTTGTAAGATCCATCTTAATGACGCACATGCGTGTCCAAAATACCCATTGGTTGGAGCAAAATCACACAACAGTAGCTTGGTTAGAGGACAATGACAGACGAAAGACGTCTGCCTTGTATGGCCTTGTCCCCTGCGAGCAGGGCCATGATAAAATCCACAATATGAAATGTTAAGGAGCCAGAACAGATCTGGCGCAACTGGGCGGTTTGAACGCCTTTGGCAATGTCATAGCGACCGCGTTGTTAAGATCAAGTGGCACAGTCGCGTAGAAAATTCTGTTCCAAATTGAAACAAAATTTTCCCACACTGTTTCATAGCCACAACTTTCTGCCGGCCGCTTTTGCTTCAGGGGCTCCTGCGCCATGTCCAACTTTGCCATCCGTTGAGGCGGTGGCTGTGCATACGGTTGCAAGTGGGAACTTGATATTTTGAAAGCAATGGCAGTAGGGAAAGTGTGAGCCCATCTAGGTTGTGTTTGCATTGGTGTTTATGGAGATTACTGTATCTTTTACTATAGACAACAAGGTTATCAAATAGTACGTATACTGTTGATGCTCACTTTTGAAACGCAACTCTATGGGCGTGCCAGGAAAAATCTGACAGCAACTGACGTTTCCCACCTTGCAGATACTGTATATAGATAGACAAGCAAGAAAAAAGTTAGAATAATGAGCTCTTACGAAGCTACACCACCAACGGATACAGTGACTCTTGATGTATCTGGGGCTGTCGACCCGTACCCGTTTCCTAGACGGACGATGACAAGGAGGACGTTGGGTAGAAAGGGTAAGTAGTTTGACAGACGTGCAGCCGCAGAGACGTTAGAACCTCTCGTTGGGGAGCTCTCTTTTGACCTGGTATCCATTTTTGCAGGTACTCTCGTAAGACCAGAGCGATATGTCAATTCGCCCCTGCTGCGCACACAAACAATGCGGAGTACTCGCCGCATGTTAGCAGGTCCTGCTGGCCCAGACGCCTCAGCAAATATCTTTGCCAAAAGCGAATTTGATACATGGACAATCTTCTCAAAGATGATGACATGCTGTTTTCCTGCCTTTTGCCTTAACTGCTGCAACATAAAAGGGGCAGGTCCACAGCAGGCCTGGAGGGAGAAGGTCACCCTGTGCTGGATCATCGTCATCCTGTGTGCATTCGTGGTGTTCTTCATTGTAGCATTGAATCCTCTGCTGTGTCCAACAGGGACTGGCGCCCCAGTCCCTATCGATGCTGCTGGTAAGCTCGCCCAAAGACGCAGAGTAATGTCACTGTCACGCACTCACATCATATTACAGGAGGGATCATTGTTTTTGGGACTATGTATAGGACAAATCCGGCTCTAGGGCCCGAATTTACCAACCCTCGTGGCAGTGATCTTTCGGATCTGTTCCAACAACCACCTGTCGCAGCTTGTCAGCAGCTGAACGCCACAACATACCCGTTTGCGTTCGTTCAGAGTCCATGTCAGCAGGCCGGTAATTGTCGGCAGCTTGCTGGCAGTGGATTGAAGCCCTTTGATCGATTAGATGGCGGAGAATCGGTAGATCCTCTTGTTGCCTACACTTGGGACGAGATCGAAGCTCGAGGCTACGTGGTTGTCAAAGACAGCGTCTTGAATTTGAAACCCTACTTTGACCAGTTCGGCCGACAGCCACTACCAAACAATCCGGTTGATGCGGTGCTGCGAAGAATCAGGAATCGTCGAGAGGCAACACGTATTTTGAACAACCTTCCCGAATTTGCCATGAATAGGGAGGCATTCGACTGTTTGGTTGACAAGTACGTCGCTGGACAGATCGCTGCACAGGATGCGTCATGTATTATTTCGTACCTGTTTTCGATCATTGTTGCTGTTATCGTTCTTGGCGTACTTCTGTCCCGATTTGTCATGGCCGTGATCTTTGACTGGTTCATATCACATCGTCTTGCACGAACTCCGAATCAATTCGCGAGCGCAGCTGCTGTGGGATATGCAAACAGGTCCAACGACACGGAACTGACCTACATAAGCGATCGTAAAAAGATGGACATTATGAATCCCAACGACATTGGCTTGGATCTCTACACGGTCCTTCTTGTGACATGCTACTCAGAGGGAGAAGCTTCTCTTCGAACTACGATGGAGTCTATGGCTGCAACGGACTATACCGATAGCAGAAAGTTGTTATTTATTATCGCTGATGGTCTGATTACGGGTAAAGGAAATCCAAAGAGTACACCGGACTTGTTACTTGATATGATTGAAATCGATCAGACCTTTGGAGACAACCCAAAGCCGTATTCGTATATTGCCGTTGCGTCTGGTTCGAAGCAGCACAACATGGCTAGAGTTTATGTCGGTCATTTCTGTAAGTTTAGCACTGGTTTGTGCACCTTTTTCGATATTGTTCTCATTTGATATATACGTTTAGCGCACGCCGGTCACCGCGTTCCGACCATCTTGGTGATCAAGTGTGGGACACCGGAAGAAGCGAGCGAAGCCAAGCCAGGCAACCGTGGAAAGCGTGACTCTCAGCTCATTCTAATGAACTTTTTCACGCGCGTTCTCTTGAATGACCGAATGACCCCCCTGGACTTTGACTTGTTCCGCAAGGTCCATCATCTCATGGGCGTCACCCCAGACTTTTTTGAAATTGTGCTCATGGTGGACGCCGATACCAAAGTTGCACCGGACTCACTGCGGCTCATGATCAACGCCATGCACAACGATCAGTTGATCATGGGTCTGTGCGGTGAAACTCGAATTGCAAACAAAACTCAGTCGTGGGTCACGATGATCCAAGTCTTTGAGTATTACATTTCTCATCACCTCGGAAAAGCTTTTGAAAGTGTCTTTGGTGGTGTCACATGTCTGCCGGGCTGTTTCTGCATGTACCGGATCAAAGCACGCAAGGACGGGGAATGGGTACCCATTTTGGCGAACCCTGATGTAGTGGAGACGTATTCCACAAACGAAGTTGACACACTGCACCAAAAGAATTTGTTGCTGCTGGGTGAAGACCGATTTTTGACGACCTTGATGCTGCGGACATTCACAAATCGGAAGATGGTGTTTATCCCCCGTGCGGTCTGCAAGACTGTGGTTCCTGACGACTTTGCTACCTTGTTGAGCCAGAGGCGTAGATGGATCAATTCGACCATTCACAATTTGATGGAGTTGGTGTTGGTGAACAATCTCTGTGGTACCTTTTGCTTTTCCATGCAGGTAAGCCATCAATCAAGAGTATAATGCGTGCAGGGTGCCATATTGATTGCTTTTCTTGCCCTCTAGTTTATTGTCCTCCTCGATCTCATCTCTACCGCCGTGCTTCCCGCCTCCATCCTGACAACCATCTACCTAATCATCAATGCAATAGTATCGAACGTGAATAAGGACGCCGACCCTGGGCAATGGCTGAACATTGGCACACTTCTCTTTGTCATCTTCTTCCCATCGCTCATTGTGGTCCTCTCATTCCGGCGCTGGCAGTACATAATGTGGATGGGTGTCTACATTTTGGCATTGCCTATTTGGAACTTTGTCCTACCGGTCTATGCCTTCTGGCACTTTGATGACTTTTCCTGGGGCGCAACCAGACAAGTGACCGGTGCAGGCGGTGCGTCGGAAAAGAATGGCCACGGAAACGAAGGAGGCACATTTGACGGGAGCAAAGTCAGTTTAAAACGTTGGGAGGAATACGAACGGGCCTGGCGACGGAACGTTGCCAAAGGAAAGCAAATGGCCGAGTATCATCCACGCACTCCGAGCCCATCGCCAACAGAAAGTAGTCATGCTGATTTGTTGGCGGGTCAGACGTACTATGCCGAAGGACGCTATTCGCCCACTCGGCCACAGCAGCTTGTCCATCAATTCTCGAACTCAGTTTCATCTTCTGAAGCTGGATCCACCTACCACGGTAGCTATCAGGGATATGGTCCTGTCAAATAGATGAAGAACGCTTCTGAATTGGATGATGCTCAACGAACACTTTTTAGTTCAGTTGAAGCGCTAAATATGAATTTACTTGTATTTAACATTGTATAGTAATGTTGTTTGTAGTGTGCTCTTGACAAGGAATAGAGATGGGACTATTATAATTGTCAAAATACGTGGCTTGCGACAAACGGAGGGATTCACGCGGTAAATGGCTTAGTATGCTTACCCCATGTCCACATGCACTTGCCAGCACTGGGTTTACGGTTTACGGTGCCTTTTAACCTTGTTTCTTGACACAAGAAACTGTTTTATCTCAAGTACAGTAAACGGTGGAGAAACTGCAAAGGTCTTCATAGGATAGAATTCTAGTTTTTATTTTCTCTGAAGACGGACAAACTAGACTGCATCGCGTCCGGCGCGCCGGAGAATCCACTGACCTCACAATGCGACGTTCCAAGGACCCACCACCAGCGGCCGCAGCACCTCCGAAAACGATAGCTTCCCTTCCTCCCGACCTTATCATCCGAACATTCACCTTCCTTCCAATCCCAGACCTTTCAAAAGTCGCGCAGGTATCTCGTCGGTTCAAAATACTCGTGTACAATGACGATGTGTATGAGCCCAAACTTCGGGCGCTGGATATATATCCTCCTGAAGTAGATGGGAACAGTCACATAGGGGAAGGGGCTACGGCTCCAGAGACATCTGGATTGGTCGACTTGTTGTCGACGCGGTTGAGGCAAATGCCTGGCGGACATATGTTACCGGGTAGTACAAAGTATTTGGAGACGGGGACGCTTTGGGGTTCGTTGGTGGAAGATGAGGCTGACGAGCAGGATAAAAAGGAAGATCCTGCAGAAGTGGGACCAACTACCGACGCGAAGGATGATGGGGCGGCGGATGCGAAGGATGACAAGGATGTACAAGAAGATGGTCCGGTTCAGGCGGGCGTCGAAGGAGAATCTTCAAAAGTGGGCGAGGAAGAGCGACCTCAACAACCGTCCATCACGTCCACATTACCATCTGGTAAAAAATCGTCACTCACCATCGGAGCGGGTGGACTTAAAGCGGCTGGAAAGCAGAGTAACACCATCAGTGTGGGCTCTTTACGGCGGCAACCTTCAACTTACTCCCGCGGATCAGGACAAACGGCGCGGGATTTGTTCCGGCGGACTTATACCCAGCTGTGCCCCTATTACCTTGACTTTCGAAAACGACAAAAGGATTCTAAAGTATTCAAGGATTTCAAGGATATTAGTGAGGTTGCGATGGTATTGCGACGCCTCAAGCTTTTTTCGGAAGCTCATTTTATACCTGAAAGCGATGACATACATTTTGCCTTGGAGACTACGATAGAATGGTTCGAGTCGATGGTGCTTGGTCAATTTGAACGAGCGTATGACGGCAAGAATATCAAGGAAATGCAACGGAACGCGCTAGCAGCGTATCACCTGAACGGTGGTGGGAGCTGCATCCAACTCTTCATTTCCAAAAACCCTGTCTTCTTTGATCCCACCTACAACCCGTCATTAGTTGCATCCAAACTCCCTTCGACAGGCGGCGCAGCCGCTGGTTACACTCTTGCAGACGAATTCGCCAAATTTAGTGATTACACACTCAATAACTGCCGCGAACAGGCTCGCATCATATCACAAGTTTTCCTTCCCGAAACCGACGCGCTGACTTTATTTGTCAACAAAGTGTTTGAGGACTCTGTTGCAGAGTACTTGAGCGCAGTGTTGGCTGCCGCCAACGAACGCGAGGGATTGGGGATTTATTTGCACACGTTGGCTACCGGTATACATTGCTGCATGCAATTTGCAGAGTTTATTGCAAACAACGATGCGGGGGTACCTGTGCAAACGGAAAAGTTGAAGGAAGCTGTTATGGCAATTTGCCGGCCATACACGAATAATTATATGAGGCAAGAGATGGAGCATATGCAGCTGAAATTTAACAAGGAGCTGGAAAAGTGGACCAATAGAGTGAGTTGACAAGTTCATGTTTGCGTCAGTTCTGCGTGGAGTGCACCTTGGCTCATTGTTATTGTTGCAATTTTCGATAGAAAGGAGACCCACGGAAGAAAAAAGCCGCCGCCTTCATCGCAGACCAAGAGAAGGCCCAAGCACATAAACGACAAGTCATGCAAACAATGAAAACCATCATGTTCGCACCTGTTGCGCTCGGCAAACTCGTTACAGGAATGGGCGGCCACAACAAGGTCAAACCCCACCGACAATCACTTTTAGACAATGCAGAGCCCGTTACGCATTTAACCATAGAACAAGACGACAATGTGACATATCATTTGGATGATGATTCATTGAACTCGTTGATTTCTCTGGAGCTTTGTTTGCATTTGATGCATACGAATAAGGAGGCTTTGGGTCGGGTTTTGGTTATTACCGCCGCTACGGATATGGGCAAGCTGTAAGTTTTTTGGGGTGTCTTGTTGGCATCATTAGCGTCGTGCTGATTGCTCAACTCTGCGATTAGACGGACCAATGTGGAAAAAATCTTTTGTGCTTTGCTGGATGTTATTGGACCACAACATATCCGACCGGCTTTTGATACGTAAGTGTATGCTCCACTGGTATCATTTGACTGGGTCACTCATACTCATTTTGTCGTCCCTTAGCGCCCTTGAGCGTCTAAGCCGTGCCCAAGTTGTGGATCAATCCGACGAAAAAGCCGTCAACCCCGACTCTCTCCAATTCTTTGAAATGGTTCATATCGCGGATTTGATCCAGCAAATGATTGAAGTCTACTATCAAGAGGACGTCAAGCCCTGGATAGACGAGTCCGACTTTTTGTCGGATATTGTGGTGGATAAGAAAAGCTTTGAAAGACTTTTGGATGATTCGGTTGCGAATGGAATGGATAAGAGTATACAGGTTTTGGTGAATCAGATTGATTATATATTGTTGGTGGAGCAAGCGCAAAAGGATTTTAATCCGACCGAGAAAGACGTGGTGTTGGATCTCAAGCCGACAAAGGTAGGCAAAATGTTTTCTTTTTCGCATTATGGTTACTCATTCGGTCGAGGGCAGGCTTGTCAAAGAGTCATTGAATGCCTGAACTCCCATATAAAGATTCTGTATGGTGTCGCGGAAAAGCACACGATGGAGGTCTTTTTTGGCGAAGTGGGCGTGCGAATATTCAAGTAAGAAACTATATACAATTTAGATAATCTCTCCTGCGTCGGACTCACACCAAACACAATTTTAAAACAGCGTCGTTTGCAAAAACATTAAACGACTACAAGTCAGTCAAACAGGGGCAATGCAACTTATATATGATCTAAATCGGTATTACGAATGGGCGTGTACACTCCGAGTGGCATCCGTTAAAAAGCTCTTTGAAGTGCTCAAGGAAGTGGGGAATCTGTTTTTGGCGGATGGTGGAGAGGAATTGCGTAAACTTGTTCACGATCTGCCGCGGTACCAGGGTGCCTTGAGGATTGAAGAGATTTATGAGTTATTGGCGAGTCGAACCGACTACAAAAAGATACAAAAGTACATGGAGAGCAAGGATTGCATTATACAGTAGGATGAACGGAATGGGCTCATACATGTGTTTGGTCTGGGACAGAGAATCTTCTTGAGAGAATTTCGAAATGTGTCATAATAGAATCTTTATCGTTTTCCAATATTGATATTATCATATCGCTCTATTATTCTATATATACACTGTGCTCTTTAGAAATATTTGGATATTTGCAATCTACAGCTCCCGTTCCATGTACACTAAAACCGGTTGGACACCCGGCTTTAGCTTGGAAGCTCCGGCATCCGAGGGGAACGGAACCGTCTTGCCAGTCATAATGAATCCGCATCGACCGTACCAAGCTTGAATACTGTCATAATGTCCAAAAAAAATCAGAACCATGCAAGACGTGATGGAACAAACTGTACTTACTCCTTCCTGTCCGTCAAAACATTAATAACACATTTCTTGCACCCCTTTATCCTCATAACCTCAAACGACGCTTCCATCAATTTCCGACCAATTCCCTGTCCCTGCTGAGATTGGTTCACAGCAAACATTCCAAAATAGCCTTCATTATCAGGCAATATTTCGGCGTTTATGCAACCAAGGGGGTCAGTTGACGTAGTAGGATGGTAAACCAAGAATGTACCCGTAGATGGGTCGCGAAGAGGGGGGATAAGTTTTTCGAGATCTGGCGCAAGGGCTCGAGCACCTTCGACGAGATGGGATTCTGTTGTCCACCCTGCATCGTTTCGGTAGGCGCCGTTAATGATATCCAGAAGGACTGGTATATCTTGGGCAGTGGCTGGACGGATACCAGGATGGGCGGGGAGATAAGTTTCAGTAGCCATGTAAAAGTGCTGACGGAAGTGAGGAGAAAGTAGCTGGGGATGGCTATTATATAGTAAGTGTTCAATTTCCCCGGATGGAGGCTTGTGTGGCTTGTATGATGAGATAAGCGTTTGCCCCCGGCACTCCACGCCTTGCAAAAATCTCGACCATCCCGCCAGCCGGACCGCCGGGGACGATCGTTCAATGGCGGAACGTTTGACAGTTGGAATGGGGATGAGTCAATTTTAGAACTGGGCATGATTGCACCGTTCGGCCGAGGTTCTCCGGAAAGGTTGAAAGTCTTTTTTTGGAGGCTTTCGGGTGTGCACTTTTGCATCATATCCTCAAAACAGGATTCGTAACGTAAAATACTCGACTAGTCATCTTTTAATCAAGTGGGAATCACGTAACCCTCCGAAATTACCCTCCGACATTTAATGGAGAGAACCGAGGGACGTATCCTTCCTTGTATATGTCGAGTTCAGATATCGTTATACATGGGTGCATGATGGCCACTTTATCTAAAACCATTTCCACATGGACGACAAACTCTGAATTATTGATATGTTGGATGTTTGGAATTTCATCGAAAATGAATTAATGGTTCGGTTCTGGCAGCTCTGGATGACCCAGCGCGATTGCGTTCTTTTCCATTTTTATTTTTTTTATTTGGAATGTTATACGCTTTGTTCAAAGGGGACGGGATCCTCTAGATTATGGTTGATGCGACTGATGGGAAATTACCATACCAAAGTCTTGTATTGGAACGTTTTGTGATGATTTGGCATGAACCTTACGTGGGACGTAGTCTTTTGGATTCGCCTTGTAGAGTGCAAGAAAAGCCCCAATGCTTATCTGAAGGTCATTGCTGGTTAAAAAGTTTGAAAACCTCCGAGAGAAAGTCCAAAAAGCATCAACTTCTGCTTACCCAATTACTGACAAGTGTGAAAAATGCCATCATGCGTGGTTATTGAACCGCTACTTTTTTGTGTACAGAACAACCTTGCAGCAGTTCGTTTTTGGTCTTGCGTTTGTTTGCAGTCCCCAAAAATCAACGAATCCGGCAGTCTTCTTGCTTTATTTACGGACGCTACGCAAAAACACAACCTCAAGAACCTTTGGACCGTATGTGGCGAGTGTAGCAAAAGGACAAGACGCGCGCTTTGTTGGTGGTGCACACAACAAAACACACTTTTTGTAACGGCCTGCGTAGGTCGTTGGCAAGACTCGAGTCTTTTTGTTTTCTTTTCCTTGACGTTTGGTGGTGGGTCTTGTTGTGTTGTGCTGCACCCACACAGACTCGTGCAGAGTTCCTTGTCTGCCCTCTGGTCAAGGTGAGTGATATATTGTGATGGAAGGGATTGGGGGGAATAGTCACAATTGAGGATTGCATTTTTACGCATCTCATGAGCTATTGGTGGTATTGGCTGTTTGCAACAAGTTGGAAGGCTTGCTGATACCATGCACTTGAGCGGGACTTGAGCTGATGCGCTGGACACACTTTTATATCCCATGTCAATGGGAAGGTCCATTCTTGCTTTTCTGGTCATGTTGATGGGTTGCGGGGTCTGACTAAAGGCGTGATATTGTTCATTCATCTGGAGTATATATTGGTACGGTCTAGTGGAGTGAAATGGTCTGCATTTGTGCTGCGGCGCGCACCGGGATGCAAACGGATTTGTGGAAAGATCGATTGCGACGTTCTGGCACAGCTGTCCGTCTCTCGTGTGTTTGAGAACGAGAATGAGAGCTATATGCATGTGCTGTGTCAGGGTTGACAAAGTGTGATCATCAAAGGGAGGAAGGGGCATCGTGAACGACATCGATATTGATAAACCTATCCCTGCACAACACTCACTCTGCCCTCTATCAGCTCCCTGGAAACGAAGCGCCTCATCTCATTCCTACCAATCTCCGGGCCTCACAACTCTAAACAATTCGTCTCCGGTGCCTGCCACGGCAACAATCCTCGAGCGCCATCCACGTCTCGCCCTACCCTGCACCGCCCACACCCGCTCCCGACAGTCTTCCCGGAACCGTACTTATAGAAGAGCCGGATACTGTATCTCACCCAACAACGTTTGATTCTCATATCCAATCCAATAGAATGCCTGGATTAGAAAGCGTGATTACGCAAGTACAGCCGCCGGCGGCTGAAAGTGGAGATGATGGACCTGCAGGAATCATCGCGTCAGTAAGGCCGAATGCAGAAGGTAATGCAAGCGCTGCAGCCACAAGTGCAAACCAGACCGGTACGTCTTGCTATGGTACAGACATTCTGCGGCGTAGGTGCATGCAAAACTCATTTCCAACTGCTGATAGGATCTTCCTCGAGCGCCACCCCACCAGCTGCACAGCCCCCGCCGACCCATCCGCCGCCAACACCAAATTCTCAATCTTCTGCCCAAGCCAATGTCCCCTCTGGATCCAGTTCCGTTCGTTCCAATCGCTCATCGTGGAAATCCGTTATTGCCTCGATTTTCGCATGCTGTTATCCTGATATCACGCACAGCGAGGTCGATGTGGAGAAAGATAAGAGGGAAGGACATGCGTTGGCTAATACAGCTGGGGGGACTGTGGGTATTAGTGGGAAAGGTGTGGATAAAGGTGGGGGGACGGTTGCTCCGCAAAAGGACGCAAAAGGGATGGTTGTCAAAGCCAGTGGTCCTGCCGGTGATTTTCAAAAGGCGAAGCAACAAGCGGTGAGTCTACGCGTGCCATTTTCGGTGATGAACTTGCTGACTCATCTTTGTCTCTTTTTAGCAGCCGGAGCCAAAATACCTTCTCAAGCCACTGGCCGCAGAGGACGTTGGACGTAAATGCCTCGTTCTGGATCTTGACGAAACCCTTGTACATAGCTCATTCAAGGTATTCAGGAGGCAAATGGACTTTGCCTTCTGACCGGGCTCTCATGATTTTCTTTTATTTTTTTACCGCAATCAGGCTGTGCCGCAAGCAGACTTTATTATCCCGGTCGAAATAGATGGACAGGTCCATAACGTGTATGTATTGAAACGACCTGGGGTGGATGTTTCCTACAAAGATTGGGACCACAGTTTGAGGTGGTGGTTTTCACAGCGAGTCTTTCAAAGGTATGTCGCGTGTCTAGCTGCTCGATTAGGTTGTGAACAAAACTGGTGCTTAATATCTGATGTGGCGTGATCAGTATGCCGATCCTGTCCTTGACAAGCTCGACCGACATCGGGTAGTAAAGCACCGACTTTTCCGCGAAGCATGCCTCCATCACAAAGGAAACTATGTCAAGGTAATGACCAACTATTAGCAACCTACACAAACCTCTTCAAACACGCTGACGACTTGTCATTAGGACCTAAGCATGTTGGGACGAGATCTCAAAGACGTTATCATCCTCGACAACTCCCCTGCTTCGTACATTTTTCATCCTACTAACGCAATACCCATTTCGAGCTGGTTCAATGATCCGAATGATACCGAGTTGTTGGATTTGATACCGTTTTTGGAGGATCTCAAGATGGTGGATAACGTAATGTTGGTATTGGATAATTCGACAGATGATGGATGAGGGGTTAAGCAAAAAGCTGAGAGAAACTGTTCCCTTTGGTATTTTTTTTTTTATTATTACGTTGAGAAAAATGTTTTGGGAATGGGACTTTTGGGTGTTTTGTTTGTGTGTTTGTTGTTTTGGAAATCTGTGTGGTCCTTGATTCTTTTTGGGGTGCTGGTTGGGGTTGTTTTCTCTGGTGGTGTTCCCTCCCTTTTTTTTTTTTTTTCGTAGTTGCAAATGGAAATACCTCATTTATGTTTTGTGGGAATAGTCCTTTTGCAAAGGGGGGCCGAACCCGCACAGGATCAGGACCAAGAGTGGCCGCTCATTTTATGGTCTACTGGATTTTGTACCAATTCCTTCTCATCAGCAGTGGACGGATATCTCGTCACACTCTGGCCGATTCGGTCGTTTTTGAAAAGTTTGAAAATGGTCTATTAAAATGATGCCATTGAAACTTTGCAACTCTCTTGCAGGTTACTGCACAGGCCGCTTGAATGCCGCTTGGCGATAATATCTAAGCTCTTGTATACTCTCGCGGATATCATCCAATGCCCTGAATGCATAACAGGGCAGTATGAGCCAGAGCTGTTTTTGAAAGAGTTGCCTCATCAAACAAATGGATTTTTACCGATGTGAAAGACCCTTTCGCGGTGCATTCTGGGCCACCTCGGGCAACCATCTCCTGACAAGTTCCTTGATGGTGCTCACATCGACAATTCTGTAGTGCAAGTGATTGATGATGTCTGGCATCTCTTTCTGGAGAAATTGCTTATCCATGTGGATGGAATTGCCAGCCAGATGCGCAATATTTGATGTTGGAATGTGCGATTTTATAAAGGACAAGACCTGGCTGGTTGCGGACTGGGTCGTTGTATTTGATGCCAATACCTGGGATGTAAGCCCGGACTGCATATTTTTTTTATGTTGGTTAGTTGTTGAGTCCCGACGCAACCAGGGATGCCAATAATAGAAGTTGGGTCACCTTTCCGTGGTGTTCAATGCACCTGTGTGATATGGAGATGGAAATTAACCTTTTTACAAATGAAATAGTAGTTTTTCTCACGGATGTACCATTGAGACATGCCCTCCATCAATTCCTTGGGTTGACTAATAACAAGGTTGGGACCCTCGGCAACGATATTTAGGTCCCCGTCAGTAATGATGCAGGCGATTTCAATGATTCTGTCCTTTGCGAGATCCAAGCCAGTCATCTGGGGGAGCGTTTGAACCCAAGTATTCCCAAGGTTTCAATGCTATGCAAAAACACATAATGTGGTCAAGAGTATGGTGCAAATGGGGACGTTACCTCCAAGTCGATCCACACAAGGGGATCTTTAATGGCTACAGATGCCATTCCCCAATGCAATGCTTCAGGTTGAAAGGGCCTCGAGTAGCAATATCTTGTAGGTAGTGCTCGGTTGAAACGCAACAATGAGCGTTGAAACATGTTCTGTGGGAAACTTTAGCAGCAACCATGGTAACAAATTAACATTCTTGCACGAGCCTTTTTATCAATCGTGTGATCGCTCGTGTTGCAAGTCCCTTTCCCCTAGCGTACGAATGTTTTTGTTCAACAAATGGACAATCTCTTTTGCCCTTTTACTTGCCAAGGCCCCCGTCGTCTCCCCAGCCGTTCCATCCGCCGCCCGTCTCGCCGTTCCATTTCGACCGCGCACTGTAACCCCCCACCCGTTCATTACAAGTGTTAAAATGCAACACATCCCAAAACACACGTAAAAATGCAAGTGCCCTGATCTCTATTTTTTACCAACCACTCCTTTAGCATTTCAGCCTCCAATCAGAATGACACACAGTTTCACATGAATGAATGGCATAGTCATGTACCTGCATGGCACAGTCATATATCAAGTGGGAGGGGCGGCAGGCGATTTTCTCCTTTTATGGCAGGGGGGAGTTTTAAAGGCTTTTTTCCCACGGGGGGCTTCTTGAAATTTCCCACCCACCCACCACCTGCTCTCCCCCAAAAAGAGACCGACTTGAGCTGCATCTTCCCTCCAGGGCAATCTTCTTCTTGGGAGCAGCCATTAGCAAAAGTTGCCCAATCGTCATGCACATTGTACAGTAGACATTCCCTTTAGTTACTTTTAATCTAGAATACGTCGCCTAGTCTGTACATTATAATATCGGGCAACCTATTCTACGTTTTCTCTCTCTCTGAACCAAGAAACACGAACGACAGCAACTAGAACAAGAAAAAACACACAAAAAAACACAATGGAATACTTGTCGCCTGCACCTGTACCTTTCACCGCTTTTGGAGTGCCTCCTCCGCCTGGCTTCCAATTGCCGTCCTTTTCGCCGCTCCTGTTTTCACCCGCTGCGACGCAACAAGATCAGTCGACCGTTGAGCAACAACAACAAGAGTTACAGGACAAGCCGCACTCTACTGGTCCGGAACAGAAAGACATTATGGGCAATGAACAAAACCCTCAAAAACAAGTGTCTTTTCGCGAGGTGAGTCATTGACATGAATAGAGAGGCTTTTGACAAGCGGATTCTGATAGATTTTTGCATGCTTTTTAGTTTGTCACGGTGGCCTATACTTGGGGTGCTGATGAGTACGACCGATCCAGTACCGAGGTCGAGCCGCTGACAAAGAACGATCTCATTGAGCTGTTGTTGTACCGCGCAGAAATGCAACAGTACACTCGTGAGCTCCTCAAGTTGAGAAAACAGGCGATTGAGGCTGAGCGTCGCAAACGTCAACGGGAAATCGCTGCATTCCAAGCCTACCAGAGATGCTCAATCGCTGCTGCAGCTTCGGCCGCCGCTGCGCAATTTGCGCAACCTGCGTACGCTCCTGTTTGGGACCATGCGGCTGCCGTCGCTGCCGCTGCTGCTGCATCTGCAGCTGGCCCGGCTTACGTACCCCAGCAGCATTACTATATGCATCAACCCCTGGACATGGGGTTTGCGCCTTCCAACGCTCCTAATTATGGTAGCGTTATGTATTACTGAACGAGATCCCACCGAGCAACAAAACGCCCTACGATATCGATCTCGACTAGATGTACAGCTTTTTTTTCAATCTTGGCGGCGGATACCAGAAACGATCAAAATCTTAGACGAACGGTGACAAGATACACACGAAAAACACCAAAAAAATAACCTAAACCCGTCCGAGCGCTATATCCATTAATTACGGCTTTCCTCTCGGCGGATAAAATTTGTAGATATAGTCTCCCATGCACACTTTTATTTTTGTTTTGTTTTTTTTTGTCTTAGTGAAGATAGTCGGCGTATATGATTTGTAAATATGGTTGGGGATCGAGGATTGGGGATGCCGAAGGGGATAATTTACTGAACATTTTGTGATGGCTAGGGGGTTATGGGGTGGGGTGTGATCTGATGGCTGCTGTTGTGTGTCTTCTGTCTGTCCGGTTAGATGATCCATGTTTTGTGTATATTGTATTTACTGGGTTCTCGGGCAGTGGAGAAGAGTTTTTGTTTTTGATAGATCCCTTTTACAAACTGGTAGATATATGGCTGGCAGTGTTGCGACTATTGGAACCTTGTTTGGAATGGTTAGTGTTTGTTTGACTGTTTACTTCCTCGTGTGAAAATGATAAAATGAGTTTGGCCTCTTTTGTTTCTCCTAAAATGATTATGCTCAATTCTGACATAAAGATAGGAGATGTGCAGTCAAAATGCATCGCATGCATCCCCTACCATGATTCCGATCGTACGCCAGTGTGTATATTTACAATGCAAAATGCAAAAAAATATCCTCACCCACCACCAGACCCAAACCGATTTTGAGCCAATTGTTTAAACATGGCCAAAGTGGCATCCTCTTTTGCTCGGTACGCTGCCACCTTTCCAGCCATTTCGGTGGACCTCTCATCCCGCCGTTCCTTTTTTCGCTCCTCCCGGCGTTCATGGGCGCGCTTATATGAAGCTAATGAATCACCACCCATTAGATCGCGATCATTCAGTTCCACATCCACATCGCGTTCTTGTTTATGATAGGCATTTTGCGCCCGTCGCTTTTCAATGAGTGCGTCTCTGTTTTGGAATTTTTTAAAAATACTAAAAAGATGGTGTGTTTGATAATTCAAGGTGTGTAAAAGACTTACCGCCCTGTAGCTTTGGGTGCAAGCTCCTCCAGTACCATTTCTTGATCTTTCCGCATATTGCGTTGCTCTCTTTTCCGTGCAATGCGCTCCTGTTCTGCCTTATCGAGATCTGAAAACCATTTTTGCGATCAGATAAAAGTTGATGGGGGAGTTTGGTTTCTGTTTCTTTGATGCCTACCATCGTCGCGTTCCAAACGCGATTTTGATCGTGCCTCGGCTGCATATATGCGTGAGTAAGGCATACAGGATTAAGACTTCGTTTTGGGCGCTTACCAGCAGCTCTACTTTTTTGTTCCAAGACATCAAGCGGGCGGTTTAATTGCTTGGAAGACTGTGTAAGGGAATCTACAGAGTCCCTCGCATTGGCAAGGGCGTCCTCGTTCTGGCAAATTTGGGACAAACATGTGTTAACGTAATGAGACAACGTATGCTGGCATGTGTTTTTAAACATGCAATTACCCTTTACCAGATTTTTGAAATTCCATTTGTGACGACTTCGCTCTGCCGCGGGGACTTCGGATGTAGAGATTCCTTCGTAGTATCGTTCTGATTTCCACGTTCATTTCTCTTGCTTTCCGGTAGCGTCAACACACGTATGATGGACTTACTTTGCAGCTTGCCTCTATTCCATCGCTTCACAAACTGTAATGGACAGCGTACATTTTGAATAACGAAACATTTAGAGTCGAAGAGGTCAAAACCATACCGACCTTGTCAAAATATGTGCGAGTCTCTGCACCACTCAAATCATTGAAAAATAACTTCTTCTCCTGTAATGCATTCCGCAATTAGGAACCACCGTTTAAACTTGGAGCCATAATGTTATTCATCGCACCTGACGAAGCCAAAGCTGGAACTCTGTCGATTTCACAAAGTAGTCATCCTCGTTGATCGCTATAAGTCCAAACCTCGTAAGCCCCATGCAAGCTACACTAGTTTCAAAAGGCTAAAAACTCCCAACCAGGTCTGCCGTATCTCCGCGCTGTAGCTGCCTCGTCATCCACTTCCGACTCGACATCATCACCTTCACGCTTTGACTTGCGATGCTTTCGCTGCTTGTCTCGACCATGTCGTCCTTTTTCAATGTCTCTATCCTGATCGTGGTCTCGCTGTCGTTTGTGCGAGCTCATGGTAATCGGTTAAACAGCTATGCGTGGCTGGAAATTGTCTTATTTACTGGTGATCTTTCAAAGCAAGTAAAGATCGGTTCAGTTGGCATTTGTTGCGTTGGTCCGAACCATGAACGCGTGCGTCATGTGTTAAAACACATGTTAGGTAAGGCGCTTGTGGTGCTGGTGGTGATGCGGTCAAGTTTCCCTTGCCTTCTCCCTCCAAATTTCGTCCTTCCTAGCGTTCAATATCTAACAGCCCGCTCCCTCCCATAACGTATAACGCTCCCGATTCTTGGGAGTAACTGTTTCCCAACTCCTTACTGCGCTCAGTTCAAACTTTCCATTCTAATTGGTTCAACTGGCCAAATAGCTCCTCCAACACAGACACACTTTGCAATGGGTCTTATCTATAGACGGTTCTTGGACGGGCACTCTCGCGTCTATTGCTGCAGCGAGTGCAAAACACATCTTTCCCACAGCGAAGCCCTCATGTCAAAGGTAAATAAACCTGTCTCATGATGTTCCATGTTTTGTATTTGACCAAGTGCTCCCCAGGCCTTCCAAGGTATCCCGTCGTAAATACCCTTGATGTATCCTCCCCTCCCAGTTTGTTGCTCACCTGAGCCAACAGGGCATCACGGGCGTGCTTGGTTGTTCCATGATGTAGTGAATATCATTCAGGGACAACCGCAGGACCGGCCAATGACCACGGGGCAGCATACCGTATGCGATATCTTTTGTATCAACTGTCAGGCTGTGCTTGGGTATGTTGCAAGCAGTTTATGCAGTTCCATTTGGGTGGTGCTAACACTTTTTTGCTGTATGCAGGTGGAAATATGTATGTACTGGATTTTTTGCACCCGGTCCATTTGCCATCCATCCATGGTCTCTAACTTGACTCTCATGATTTAAAGGAGAAGGCATTCGAGGAAGACCAAAAGTACAAAGAGGGCAAGTTTATTCTCGAACGAAGTCTCCTTTGCGAAGTGTCTGCGTAGCTGCTGGCATGCAAGCGTCTTGGCCGTAAAGTCGGTCCACATTCGTTGGATGTGACGTGTATTTCTACTTGAATGGTTGCTTTCGATGTGCTGCATTATTGATGGATTGGGGGTTGAAGTTGGGAAGCTCTTGGAATTTGTATATATTATATCACTACCATATGAAAACGAACGAATGTCGACACATGATCTGTGAAATGTCACCTTTTATTTCCCCCGCTATCCCTCCCCGTCAGGGCTGCATGACCAAAACTGAATCTCTCAACTCTGGCTTCTTTCCAAACTCCTCAACGAGCCCCTTCTTTCTCGTGGCCTCGCGCGGACATCCCTTGATCCCACACATGTCCGCAAAATCACATCCAACATTTTCGCCAAGCGCTCGCTGAAACAGATCAATTGGACAGAACACGGATGGACACCCAGGTAGAAGCTCTTCTTTCTCGTTCATGAGAAAGCGCACAAGGTGCTTCGTTGTCGGTCCGCCAGATTTTGATTGTGAATCTGATGTTCCATCGTCACATGTGTAGAGCTCAATAAAGTAGTTGGCCGCAAACGGTGATAAATCACTTAATCGAAATTCTCGGTCGTACAACAGGCGCTCTGTTGAGTTTGCGTATAATGGGACCTTATCACGATAAAGCCCCTACAATGGTTTCCGGCAATGATGTCAATTCTATTCGGAATGATCGGATCACAGTTAAACGTACCATAGCGGCCATAAAGAATACGTTCGTTTCCGCGTGGCCGAATCTACGCAATTGCGGGTTAGTTTTTGCCATCAACAAGGCAGTTCTCCAACCGCCAACCTAAATATCCCTTGTGTTCGCCCTCGCCCTTCAATAGCATCAGTCAACTGCCATGAACGACATTATCAGTATTCACTTGTCTTCCTATATCCGAACCTTCACGGACGCACCTCTTTAGCTACATCGGTCGCCAAAGCGCATCCAACTTTGGCATTCAGATCAAACCCATATCCCAAATCCCAGTAGTGCTTCAAATCATCCAAATACTCTAACAGCATGATCTCGCCCGGTTCCAAAAGAGTGCACCAAGTGTCATTTCGCGAAAACACAGAAACCTCAAAAGCGCATGCCCGATATATCGCCTTAACATGAGAAGAAGTCAAAGGAATTTCCTCATGCCCGGGTTTTGTCATTGCTTTTCGTAATCGGGAGACCATTTTGGGCAGATGCTCAGCAGTCCATTCATCTAATTGTGATGAGAGGAATGGATGATCTTCCACCACCTCTGACCAAAGAGGACAGGACCATTTTGGCATAAGTTCATAATCCATAACCTTTACGTAAAGAGTAAGTATCAACGTTTCGCTTTTTTTCAAAGTAGTATGAATTACCTGAGGGATTGTATATTGATACACAGACTGTTGGACAGTCACCGCTTAGTAAGGACACGGATGGAGCTTATAGCTGAATATGATTCTTACTTGGTACTTGCAGGTACCCGACGGTCCCTTCCCGTCGAAAAACCCAGCCGCAAAGGCACTCCCACTCTGCCCTGTTCTAGTGAGCCACGAATGGCTGAGATTCGACATACCGAACGCAAATACAATGGAAAGTATACCTTGATGTTGTTGAGCTGCGAAATTTGTACAAATGTGGGCTGTACGGCTTTGAGCTAACATATAGCGACTTTAAGCACAAAAGCGTTGAAGACCCTACATCAGTCGTGAAAAGTATTCACATACCCAAACAGCTCCTTGTACCGCTTTGCAGCTCGTTTGCCCAACCAATACATCTCATCTTCGCCAATCAGGGCCAAGATATTGTTGTCTTCAGGAATAAATGGATTGACCTACAGAAGCATTGCTGCAAATTAGGCACCTCGAATCGAATTTCTGTGTATATCAACCAATTGCTCTTCATACCCAATCATTCAACCATGAAGGAGCCCGAACATCATCCCTGTGCTGATGAAATATTTGAACCAGTTTATCAAACGACAATATCTCTTTGACACTGGGATATCGTGTACCGTGCCGTGCAATCTGGAACATACCGGCCATTGTCAGACAATGAAAACACCTTTTCTTGGCCACCACATCGATCAGCCAAGACATACCAGTTGCACCTGTTGAAACCTACATCCTTTTGGCGGGTCGGAAAGTGGTGGTGTTTTCATTGTAGTCCGGTAGGGGTATGGACCTTTGCTCCCGAGATGCCGGCTCACATCAAATGCAGGGTCTTTGTGACCTTGCTCTGCCGACGAACCACCCAAAAGCCATAGAAGCGCAAGTTTAAAGAGAACTACCATTGGGCCCATCTTTCAGGTTAATTCCAGAGTTAACTCTAAAGAGATACCCATGTGGCGCAACTTGGCTTACCACACCTTGTTAGTCACATGATGTCCAAGCATTTCGGACATATTGTAACCATTCTGGGCTAAATGACAATTGAGTCAGCTCTTGGAAATTGAGCGTGAGCGGACGTCGTAGTAAAAGTGCGAGGCGAAACGTTGGAACATGACGAAAGATGCTACACATACCCAGCCACAAGAGCCTTCTGCGACCCTTCTAGCAGAAACCCTACAACGGTTAGGATACCGTCACTCTTCACCCAACGCCGGTCATGGGCAGCAAGTGTCCAATTTGGAGCAGGCTCTCGACTGGGCATTTGCGCTCGAAGAGACACGGCCGTTCCTACACTGGCTATGCGAAGCCTTGGATGGGAATGGAGGTCGGCCTGACGGAAACCTGGCACGATGGGCTGGATACGCTGTCTTATCGGCAGAGGAATATGAGGCGTAAGTCTGCGGCGATAGTTCTTGTCCTTTCAGGAGCGCGGGTTGAAAAGTGACAACGACTATTATATAGGCTAGAAGAATTGAAGGCGAAAGGCTTCTTGAATCCCGTACGTGTTTGAGCATGCTAACGGACATAGACTTCACGTCTTTATTCAACCTGGCACATATTTTAGAACGAGGCGCGGTGGGATGTCCAACCACAAAACGATGATCTTGATGACGTGACCATTGAACAACTAGAGTAATGCAAATAGCAGCCCATTATCTTCATCGAATTTCCCAACGTATTGATATTCAGTAACTAGATCCGACGTTGCGTCATTGGAAACTGAGCTACGACGTTCGCGAGAACAGCTTCGCTTACTGGAGGGTCAACGTACGAGACTAGAGTGAGGATCGCGAGGTTTTGTAAGCTGTGAAGTACTATTGCTGAGATGAATATTTAGGCAAAGTAGGACATCATGCCAGAAGCGAACCGAGCGCTTAAATTCCGAGATAAAGGCATCGGACAGTCGGATGCAAGAATTGGATTTGGAAATGAGCAATCTGTCTCTACGAGTGCGTTCCAATGTTACTGATTCAGTTTTGTGAGGATGAGGTTTTGTTATTTACGCTGATTAAAGGTTGATGCCGCCATGAAAGAGGCCACGAATACAGTTGGTCAGTTGGCGGAGGCTGTTGCGACCAGAAATGATGAACATACCGAGGATCCCCCATATTTTCTGTTCCAGTGCAGAAAGGAACTAGAGGAATGGCATCATGTTGATGATACGATGACAAGCTTACTCCAGGAGAAATTTGCGGGGTTGTATCCCAAGGTCCGAATCCTTAACGAGTTCCATGGAGCCGTCCTTGGTTAATTGATGGTTTGTGTGCAGGAAGGCGAGTTACGTACTGAGGAAACCCCGGCTATATTTCGGCATCCTTTGCCACAAGACATTAAGAACGGTATGGTGCCCGCACGATGCAGCACCAAGTGGTTATGCTGACACCATTTTTTGCAGTTCCATTTGATTTTCCTGACGAGCTTCGAAATGAGCTAGACAGGTTAAAGTCGCTGTAAGTTCCATCACATATTACTTGCCGCCCTTGCGATCGCACACCGTCCATTGACCGGATGATTTTACATGCTAGCTACCCTCTGACAGAACAGGGATACCTAGATGCATTGTTACGACAGCGGTACAACAAAGCAAAATTGGAAGCGTTGCAAACAGAGCTTCAGCGGCAGAATGACGATATGACTCAAGAATCAGTAGCAGAGGAGCGAGACCGTCTACGAGCTGAAGCGCAGTCGCTGAGAGAATCGATAGAGCAAATAAGAACGCAAGAACTTCCGGAGATGTGGACAACACTGGCCGACTTCCAATTGCGCATGCCGTTCCTAAAGGAATATTTTGACGAGACGCTACAGCATAACCAAGCTACTATACAAGATAGCAATGAGGTGCGGGAATTGTATCTATCTTCTCACAACAGCCAATGTCTTTTTAAAATACTCATCTCATCTCGTGTTCCCTAGTTGAAGCGGTTGCTTCTACAACAGTTTGCCCGTCGTCAGATCCTTCTTTACGGTCTAATGCACGAAGACAAAACCTTGCGCCAACAAGGACATGTTGTAGGATCACTCTGTAACGAACTGGAGAGGAAATGGAAAGAGGTCCAAGACCGGATGGTAAGAATTGTTCGTGTGCGAAAAACTTTGGTAAAGTAATTTATTTTCCGTTGCGTAGAATTGGATTACTTCTCCTGAATTGGTCGATACTGGGTCTGAAAGCGGGCTCATTGATCCAAGTGACGAGTTTATGCAGCTTGTTATCAAGTCATTAAAGTTTTCTGGCGACAATGGTATGCCATTTTGTACGTTCTCTCTGCCGCGTAGCGTCCCTTCATTCAAACCTTCTTGCTCGATCTTTAGGAATGCAAGCAAATTTACAAGGAGGGAATACTCTCGTGTCTATGGAGTCGGTCAAAGAAGCCGCTGTAAAACTGGTGGAGAGCGTACGACGTGGTAAAGAGGGTACTGAACAAGAAATCATGAAGCTGGAAGGTCAAATGAATGACAAGTAAGCCTGCCTGGATTCATGCTAAATGTCCTGTGGATAACCTCAACTTTTCTCCCTGATCTATTAGGATTGTATCGTCCGATATATTACTGACCACCCTATATGAGCACGCCGTTACTGCCAAACCTTTGATGGCACCCAAGGTAAATTTCCGATGCAAATCCCTTTTGCTGTACAGCAGGATATTAATATAAGAGCAATAGGAGCTGTATTGCATTGAGGACGAGATCCGTTTAGCGACGGCCGACCTGGGCCCAAAGCTACAGGAAGCGACACAGGTGGGGTATGCAGCCTTCCATTCCGCTAAGCCCTTGTCGCTAATAGCTTCATATCGTCACAGATCGCTTTAGAAATGCAACAACCGTTTTAATTAAATTTATTATTCGTATATACAATCATTCGTCGCTCTACTCTATACATGCAGGAGTGAGAGATCCAGCTGCCACCTTACGCCTTCAGATAAATTGCTGCTGGACCAATCTCATTGTAATCAGCCTAAAAAATTGAAAATATGAATGAGATGACGAGACTCCGTAGATGCAGATTAGAAAAGAAAAAATACCTTTGTCAGATATCCGAATGATGATCCCAAGAAGATGATCTGTAACGATCGCAGGAGACTGGTTTAAAAACGGAATGTTAACATGTTTAACTGCAAACCCGGGCTGACCTTTGCGACGACCGACGCTCCAACATAAGAAGCGTCTTGTAGCCTATCCTTATACGCGGTAAAATAGTCTGGCATATTGACCCACTTGATATCTTTCGCCTGGAACTCATTGGAAGTCTCTGAAGCTGCAATAAGTGATCCAATTTCTGCCTCCAGGCGCTGTTTCACTCCTTTGAGCAGTGAGCATCCACCTGTGAGCACCAAATTGTCCCACAAAGACGTCCGTCTTTCTGGCTCGCAAGCCTCCGTCACTGCTAGATAGCACAATTCTTGGATGCTCAATGTATGCTTTCCGGCGGCGATTGGATCAAAGAGGATATCCGTTGATCGATGACGCGCTGAACCGATGCTGATCTGCAGTATGCTCGTTAACGGTGATCAATCGGACGAGAGTTTTGTTTTCACATGCTGACCTGTTTCCCCTTGACCTCTACGGTCACTCTTTGCTCCTCCCCCTCCGCGCTCCATCCGCTCTGTGGCTTGACCTCACATGCATCAGATTCCTTGATGATACGCGCTATATCCTCATTCATGCCAATGTCCCCCAGTTCGGCCATTGTAGTCACATCCTCTCTAAGTAGTTGCGCCATTCGATGTTCTATATCACGTCCCCCGAGTGGAATAGTCTTGTAGGCGTGTCTTATGATGATGTTGTCAATGATCGGCGTAACATCTGCATTTGACCGAATATTAGGCTCAGTGAGATTTCGATAATATGAATACAGATTCGATTATAAACCTGTAGTCTCGTGGCCGATATCAATGACCAATCCAGTCGTGACGTTGCAGCCGTACAAAGCAGCAAGTGGTTGCTCAATTATGGAAAATGCCAAAATGTTCATGTCTTCAAACATTATCTGTGTCGCACGTTTATGATCTTCTTTGCTCCAGGACATGGGAACCGTAAGCATAACAGACCAATCGTTGCGCGAGCGTTTCATCGCGGTTGGCAATTCCCGGAGAAGAATGTGCTGCCTAGAAGCACTAGGTAAGCACCGCGAGGTGTAAATTCTGTTCAGAAATCGGCGCTTCAACAGACCATAATCCAGAAAGAGCATCCCAATCTTCTACCAATCCATTCCGAATTGGTTTCACCACCTTCCATTCTGGCGTATCCTTTGGCTCAGCTTGTTCAGTCGCGAGGGAGGCCCCCGCAACATACACTGTCTCAAACTCCTCTTCTTCAACCTCATTGGATTCATCTACACCTGTCTCCGTAACACTTGCCGCTGAGCTAGGCGGTTCTTGAATTTCCATTGGCGTTGCAGTGTCCTCTGGAGTCGGTTCCTCTTTCACTGCATCTTCCGTGGTCTTTGCGCTTATGCTATCGGCGAGTAAGGATTCTGCAGCATTTTGTTGACGTCGTCGGACTTTCGCTCCTGCTATTGAAGGTACATTCTGACTCTCACATGTGAGCAAAGCTGTACAATCTTGAAAGATGAGAGATATCGCCTTACCACCACGGAGAGCGTTGCTTGATCTACATAACCTGCCTTTGTTTGGAATGTGCCCGGCTCCAGAACTATCAGGCGGCTTTCTCGCGGATAGACTTGCGTCATCATTCTTGGTACAAGATCAGCAAAAGAACGGGAAGACGAGGAGGGCAGTGGCCGTGCGCAGTAAGTTGTTGCTATGACAGTGTTTGGTGAACGCGTTCGAGACGCGAGATGCTTTCCTCTGTAAATTTGGCATCGACCATGGAACTGCCAGAGTCGCCCACACTAGCACGGCATGTGCTTAACAATGCGAACATGCAAGGTTCGTTGTTTTGTAACGGCAAAAGTCTGGCATCTGTGTGATATCTAAAGAATGTACATCTCGCCACGCTTCCAGCCAAGGTTGGTCTTGCCGACAAGTACAAAGCCAAACTGGCCGCGCGAAGAAGAGGGACAGGGTATGCGTGAGCCTTTTTAATGAACATGTCTCCTCACATATGTGGATCTAATTGAATGTCGTGGATAGGACACATCAGACCAAAGATCGCCACTTTGCCATTAAGGTTGCCGCTCAACCACCCTCTCCGGTAGCAGTGAGCCGGACTAGCCTGCAACCTTCTGACGTCAAGAACGACAAATATCTAGCAAAGGCAGCAGCTAGAAGAAGAGGCGCTGGGTTCGTAAGCACTTGATATAACACGTCTGAGGGTCAAACGCTAAAGCTGGAGTAGAACACACAGAATAAAGGAACGACCGTTTGCTATAACCGCCGACTACAAAAACGCGCCAGCTTTAGCTGGTACCAAAACGCATCAGCAAGATGTACGCGAAGATATTGGGACATCCGATGAAATAATTGATGTCCAGCGGGGGTCGACATCTACCGAAACGGTGACAAGAGACTCTGCATCAAGGACCACAATCTCTCCCACACTGACAAGCTCACCCGAGCCTCGACAAACAGTTCCTGCTTGCCGGAAGTCTGACACTCCTAAACAACCCCGCCAAATATCAGACACCTCGCCAACGCGCCGCCGTGATCCACTGACACCAGTAGTCGAATTGAGCAATATCCTGCCCCTGGATAATAGTCCCGCCACATCTCGCACCGGATGCGAATCTATACAAGGGAAAGCGCTTCCGCACTCCAAAGCGACCAAAGCTATCAAGAAGAAGTCAAAGCCCAAATATATCCCACCAAAATTATTGGAACAACCCATGGCACAGGCATCGCCGCGTGTGCGGACAAGAGCTGCGTGTCGACGAAAAGGTGCGGTTCGTGTTTTGTAGAACGCTGGGCCAACTATCCACTGATCCTACTCATTTTAAAGGCATCAAGCCCATAGTCAAAATCATTTGGGGTGGACCCACCGTAACCAGTTTTGAGCGAGTTACAAAAGCAGGCGTTGACTCAGCTACCCCCAACGCAGACGATGCAACCGACAAACCTGGTTAGACCGGTAAATCGCTTATCACTTTACACAACCCTTTGGCAGTTACATCCTGTGGACGTAATCTACGACAGAGGAGAACTTTATAGATGCGATCGTTTGATATTTTCTTTCTACATGTTAGACTGGAGCATATTTTCCAAAATCTGGATTCCTGTACATACTCTACATCAATGAACATTGTTCATAGACCATACTGTGGTCCGGGAGACACGAGTTCTCTATGCATCCCTGAAAGGATATCTATATAATCAGGTTCATTCATGGCAGTCACGAATCCGTGGCGGATCAGAAAGTCGATAACCACCAAACCCGCCTCTGGCGTAAATTCACCACTGTAGAGATGCTCTTTGAGCTTTGGAATGGCAATCAGTCATCATGGATGTCAAGAGAGTTGCACACTTCTTCAACACACCTCGTCCACGTTCAACAACTGGAACCCTTGCACTTCCCCATCCACAGCCTTTGGCATGAAGCTATTCCCCACGTCAAGATCATACACATATTCGGTCGTAGGAATCCATCCTCTTTCCTCATTAACCAAGTAGAACGTCACCGCACCTACATTGACAATATTTTTGGCAACCATCGCACCATCTAGTCCAGCCTCTTCCCAGCACTCTTTGATAATGTTGGAAAGTGGATCAACCCCCGCTGCTAGCCCGCCACCAACCAAATTATCCAACATTCCGGGATACGTTTGTTTCGTCTTGCTACGGCGTGCAATCCACATTTTCATCTCCCCAGTTTGCGGATCCCGCTGATACCCGTTCATATGACATCCATAAGATCGCACGCCTAATACGCCGGCTGCAGCCCTCTCCAGCTCCATGAGAATGCCTTCCTCTTTTTTCCTATCGCCGTGAACATCGTAACGTTCATTTCGCCATCCCTTCAAGCACACAAGTTCGGGATCGTCCACCGTCTGCAGCTGCCGTAATACAGCTTCCACCGCATCTGTTCTGGCCTGGGGCGTGTCTAGGTCGGGGTTAAGACGTACGGCTGTTGGACCAATCTGAAATACGGTGCCATATTGCGATATATGCTCTAGTATAGACGGCCGAATGATGCCGATCTGCGTGTCATTGGGCCCGACAAGGAGTGGAAGTCCTATTGTGGAGGACGGGGATGTAGCTATGAGCTGCTCCACGGACCGGGGCAGTGAATCTGCGAGACGAATCAACTCTAGTAGAGAGAAGAGTTTTGACATTTGGACATGGACGCGACCGCGTTCAGATGAATTCCAACGCAAGCCAGGTGGAACACGGGTTTTGCGATATGGATTGAACGATCGAAATTTGAACTTTATCTACATATATAAACATTAAAGTCCACTATTCTACTCTTAAAAATGATTAATGTTGGTCCCTAATAGCTAAGGGGAAACGGAAATAGTACAGATTCTATCCAGAACAGTTGAATCATGAAGATGCGGGTTCCAATGAAGAGATGAAAGGAGCACTCAGGCCTCTTGGAGACATGCCACAGGAAGCAAACCCTGTTTTCCAGTGTCCTCGTTGGTTCCCTTTGCCCAGCCTGCAGAAAATAGATTGCGTCAGAACCATAGGCGAATGGGATTGCATCTAAAACTGTATTCGTGAGCTTACCGTCGTTAAACAGCAAGTCTAAGCGAATGCGATCGCCCACAGTTAACTTAATCTCATCTTCGGCTGCAGGTTCGTAATCATGTCGAACGACTGGACAAAGCAGTACTTAGTCTCAGAGAAAACCCCATCATTGCGGGATAACCTTACCATATTTCTTTTCCAGGACAGATGTCACATTAAGCGTTCCAGGACCCAAAGTCGAAGACGATGATCCGCCTTGAGTCATTATCAATCCTTCTTCTTGGCGTTTTCCCGAAGCTGAGAGAGTTGCTGCGGTTGCGGTCGCTGCCGTCGGTTTTCCCGATCGGCGCCGATAGAAGAACACACCGCCGAGCAACAAGGCGACCCCAGCCAAACCACCTATGATACCACCTGCAATAGCTCCTGCATTGGATTTACCATCGTTGCCGCCCGATGTAGAGGGTGCACTGGTACCCGAAGGGGATTGAGTGGGTCCATTCGAGGGTGTTGTCGAACCGCTAGGAGCGCCTGTGGAAGGGAGTTGGGTATTCGGGGAGGAAGGGGAAGGGGAAGGGGATATGGCCCCACCTGCACCGACTTGCTGATTGTTCGAGCACAAGGACTTGAAGGCATCATCATTGGTACAGACGGTGGAACACCTGTTTTTAAAGTTCCGTCAGCAAAAATTGAGATCGGGCGCCAGACTCAATTCCATACCTATTCTGTAGTATCCATCGTCCTGAAAAAGAGTGCAGATGATTGGTCAGTATACGCCTATACTGAAAGTCATGAAATGGTCATTACACCCACCAACATCCTGACAAACCAAAAAGTCCTGGCCGTTACACCCGTTGAAGTCGACCTTTGGGTTGCATGTTTGCCCAATTGCTGGAGACTGTGCAGATGCAGCCGCAACGAAGAAAAGGACGCTTGCAGCTGTTGCAAGGCAACTCTTTGCGGAGGGCATGATCGGCGCAATGGAAAGTCTTGCCGTGTACGATGATTTTCTAAAAAAGTAAGAGGCACAAAGGACAGCCCCGATCCCCATAACGGTTTATTCGCCCATCTCGAAAGAGTGGCACAGTTATGGCACAGTCATACAAGAGGGAAATGAAATTATGGCGGTCAGCCTCTTCACAAACGTTTTGTCAATCCCCAGCCATGGCAGATTCCGCTCTGATTCTGCATCTCAAGATTTGCCATCAGTTGGACAACCATCCACAAGCAAATACAACCCTCCACGCTGAGCGCGCGGCTGCACACGCAAATCTGGGGAAAGCACATCACATTCTTGGGCATTACAAACAAGCAGAACTGGAGTATCTACAGGCTCTCGATTTATACCAAACTGTTGCTGGAAACAGATCTCATAACCACGGGAAGCTAAAAGGACCTCGCGCTGAACCGGACTCGCCGGAGGTTGGCGCGCTGGGTAGTGACCTCAACCCAGTAAAGAATGGCTTGATAGAAGTGACACAAAATCTAATGAATCTTTGCAAGGAGTCTGGCAAGGGTGGTATGGCCAGAATATATGAACACAAGTTGGAAAAACTCCAAGCTCAGGGGACGCAATAATGGAAAACGATCGATCCTATGATACAGAAGGAATAATTTATTACATAAAAATGGGTCATCCGCAATATGGCAAAGTCCGCCGGTATGCTGGCGTTCGCCTACAGCTCTTGTTCATCCTCCAGCAAGACCAAATACGTTAAAAGAACAACCATGAAAAGGGCCAGGAGACATAGAGGGATGAGATACAGCGAACCTGTCATTACGTTCATTAATACGACTCACACGGAAGCGTCGCGGCAACATTCGTACCTGAACTTTGAGGGACCACGGCTATATGGCATGTACCGTCCGCGGAACCGCTGACCAGTAACTGTGAATTGGGGCTAAAAGCAAGGGTTGTGACGGGGAATCCGTGCGCGTTTGGCACACGATACACGTTCTGCGCGAACTTTGTAAGATACAAGAATCGACGAATCTACCACACTGGCACGACTCACCTGTAAACCCTTAGCTGATATGACACTAACGCTCAAATCCGCCGATCCATAACCCAGTAGCTCGCCGTTGTCGCTGCGACAGTGATGAGATATAGTTAATAAATATTACCGTTGGCTGGAATACATAAACACGAACCTGATGGCGAATGACGTCGTTGGTTTGTTCGAAATGGCCTTCTGTCTGTGAAGCTTCCACCCTGAAGTCTGCCATTTACATATATATGATTTCTTGCGGTCTTTTGTGTTGATTACGAGGAAGAGGTATCCTTGTGATGCCGCTATCCCGAACCTGAATTTCATCTCATTGTATTAGTCGACTGGATATCAGACTTCGTTCAAGGTGTTGGAAACCTACCGGCAGGCACGGAATGCGCTTTTAATGGTCTTCTGCATCATCGGGTTTTCTATGGACCAGACAGTCCGTCCGTCCGACGTATCCGTGACGTAGCATTTGTCCGCTGTCACCGATGCGAGCTGGTTGCGACATCAGAAAGGATGATCACGACATGCTATCATCTGTAACGCCAGTACCTGTTTCCCAAATGGGTCGAAATCAGCGTCCGAAATTTCTCCTCCGTGGTCGATAGCCGGTACCGCAGACCGGAAGTCTGGCCATGTCCAAAGGCTAAGCTATTTGATGAATGTCAACGATGAGTCATCTATGTGACTACAGATATTGAGTTCGTTATGCTACCTTGCCGTCTGTTGTGCCTGTCACCAGGAGTTTACCGTCCGGGCTAAAACGTGCAACTTTCTATAGATCCTCTGTCTTTAAGTTTCCCTATATCTTCTTGAAAATTGAAATGGTATACTTACTTGATGGAAGAACGGATCTTTGCTATCGAGTGTCTTATGAGTATCACGCAGAATGAACCTGGAGACCGAACATATATATAAAAACATTCCGCCGTCCGTTGGTAGCATTTCGTTCAGCTTACTGGTCGCCTTTCAGATGGAAGACCCGACAGTTTTCGTTCCTTCCCTCTGCGACTTGATCCTCAGGGCTGTTTACTCCAGCTACAAATGCTTTCTCCTATCAATGGAGCAATTACTTCTGGGCAGTTCAGTATGACGTTTCATCAAACTTATCCGCACCTTTGGATGCACCGCGATGCTCATGCAACCATCATCCTTTTTTCCAAACTGGTGCTCAGCGACAGGTGTCATATCCAGGGTAAGAGGATTCAAATCGTAGAGGATCTGTGAGAAAAAGGTACTTTAGCGTGTTCGTGACGTGATGTGTCCAACAATATGTGGAGTTTCGCCAAGCATACCATCGCATTCTTCACCCCTGCTCGTGTAGCACCGCCGCCGCCCCCTATTACAATACGTGGTTTCTTTGGGGTAAACCCAACAGCGAATATGGGGAAGCCAATATTTATTTGCTTTCTCGGCGGCGCCATGATGGACGAAGGTCAGATTGCGTTGAAGATGGCAAAACTGCTTCGCGTCCACACCCAAGACCTTAACTGAATCCACCTTTCATGTGCAAATGGAACCTGCTGAGGAAATGGTGCGAATGCGGATGGATTTACATGTGACAGATCAAACCAGCTGCATTTGAGGGTTCCAACCTGACGCGTGTCAAAGCCTTGATGACTTGAGGGACCTTTCAGCAGGATCGCCTTGTGGAGAGAACAGAGTCCATTGGGACAATAGCGATGAGTACGACCACCACTAACCCAAAGGCTTCTTGGGTCACGGTGGGCAAACTGCTAGCGCTTGGGTAAGGAGAATGTATCCTCACTTTACAAGAAACGGAGATAAGGATCTGACATTAACCTTATGTACCTGCAAGAGTACTCTTCCACGTAATTTATTCATGGTCGATATTCGACATATATTTTCGATCTCCGCTAGTGCATGGAATGACTCCAGTACTGCCTCCGCAACCTCCGCCCGCCAAGAGACTGTTACTGGTTGTTGGTAAGTCACCCCATATAATGGATTTAGGACTACCTCTATGACGCTCACGATATCATTTCAGCTGACGGACTTCGAGCGGATAAGTTGTTTGAGAATCGTCTTGAACGTGCTCCCTTCCTACGTGGTATAGTTGAGCATCATGGTACATGGGGCGTATCGCATACCCGTGTCCCCACCGAGTCACGACCCGGCCACGTTGCTTTGATCGCTGGATTTTATGAAGATGTCAGCGCAGTTACAAAAGGTGATGTCGGAATTGATGTTAGAAGGCTGGGTAAATGATGGAGTTGCTTGCTTATATATCGTAGTGCCATAGGCTGGAAAATGAACCCCGTTAATTTCGACTCTGTCTTCAATCAAAGCACGCACACGTGGTCGTTCGGTTCGCCCGACATTCTACCAATGTTTGCTGAAGGAGCCAGCGATAAGAACAAAGTTGAAACATTTATGTATCCTGCTGAAAGCGAGGATTTTGCCGAAGGTTGATTTGTAACGTGTGAATGGCAGATGGGACATTGCTGTGTCTAACTGCATGAATCGGCGCAGATGCCAGTGGACTAGACACTTGGGTATTCGAAAAATTTGAGGCATTCCTAGACAGTGTGAAGCACAATACTACCTTGGAAGCACGTATCCGCCAGCAAGGAATTGTGATCTTCCTGCAGTAAGTGTGAATGATCGCCATAACCACCAGGTGATAACTTGTAAAACGTTCTAATCATGTTAGTCTTTTGGGACTTGACACAAATGGACATGCATATCGACCTTATTCTAAAGAGTGCGTACCGGCTTTGATGTCTGAAAACCGGCTGTGGCGTCTTGGTATTGACCTGTTCGTGCTGTAGATATTTGAACAACATTCAGCTGGTGGATGAGGGGCTTCAAAAAGTTGTCAGGAAATTTGAGAGTCTATTTGACAACGATGGAAGGACTGCGTATATCTTCACTTCCGACCATGGCATGAGTAACCGTGGTAAGATAATGTGCAATTCGCGGGCCTGAGCATGTGATGATACCTAAATATGTACGTTAATTACACCAAGGTAATCACGGAGACGGTCATCCGGATAATACACAGACTCCGCTTATTGCATGGGGCTCAGGTGTGGCTACACCAAATCGGACGCATCCAGTAGGCCACGATGATTTGTCCAAACCATGGCAATTGTCTGATATTAAGCGCGTGGATGTCGAGCAGGCCGATATTGCTCCGCTGATGGTCGGATCCGTTTCTTGCTGGTCATTTCTTGCACTTCATCCTCTAAACATATTCATATCTATCCACAGTCCACCTTAATTGGTCTTCCCTTCCCTATGAACTCCGTGGGTGTCCTTCCCCTTCAATACCTATCCGCTTCCGTGCACGCCCAAGCCCTTTCAGCGTTTGCCAATGCAAAGCAGATATTGTCACAATATCTTGTTAAGGCAGATGCGAAAAAGAGAACCGAGCCTTTTTTCAAGGAATTCCACCCTTTGTTAGGATATGAGGAACTGATTACGACAATCGAAACAGAAATCCGTCAACTGAGGCATTCAGATGCTATCCGACTAAGTTCGCAGCTTATTCGATTATCTTTGCAAGGCCTGCGATATTTTCAAACGTATGGATAAGGCAAAACATTGCAAGTACTGGTTCCCCGGCTGACCGTCAGGTTTTACAGATACGACTGGCTGTTCTTGAGATCCATTATCTCCTTTGGCTACCTAGGATGGATAGCATACAGCACAATATTTATCCTCAGGAGGGGTATTGTGCATGTAGTCAAAGCGCAACCGATGCCCCTCTACGGAAGCTCGGATTTTCCACGTAGGGTTGGTAGGAAAGAATAGCACAATCTTCAGTCCTCTGCTCATCATCTGGCATCGCTTTCCAGGTCAATATTCTTGCGGTGGTAATTGCTCTTGCCTTCGCCGCACTTTTACACCGGAGACAAGCACCTGCTTTCTATTACGCATACACTGCGTTTCCGATTTTCTTCTGGGCAGAAGTTTTCAAGCAACGTGCATTCATAGTGTCATTGCTGAGAACGGCGCAGCCAAGTCGAACAACCTGGATAAAGACTCTGGCTGGTATAGCTCTTTACGTTGTAGGCCTGGAACTCCTGGTATTTATTGTGAATGCGCAGCCACTCGCCACATCTCATATCTCTAATTGAGATTTAGGTGTATAGTTATTTTCGACGCGAGCTATTGACCGTTTGCCTCTGGCTCCTGGGAGTTCTGTGGCCACGTACGATGGCGAAACGTGTGCGTAGCGAGAACTCTGGGTTAGTCTGGGTGTGGACTGCTTTTTGCCTGGGCACAAGCGTCTTCCCCCTTCTTCCGGTTGAAAAGGGCGAGGATCTATCACTAGTGTAAGTGACGCTGTAGTCGAGGTATGTCTTGTGTCTGGTCCCAATGTCCGTTTGATAGGTTAGCTGGCGGAACCCTGATATTGGCCTCGGGTGTATTTGCTCTGTTTCGACTCCCTCATATCACGAAGCTCCCTTTGTCACATAGAGGCGGGCCGCAACCTCAGAAGCTGCTGCGGATTGTTGTCCTGGAGGTAAGTTCTTAGATGGAGGAGTCAACGTCCAAATGAATTTATAAAATTTCTCAAATCGTCCACAAGATTTTATTGATCGCCATCAGCATCCTAGTCACCGCTGACACAACGCTACGCTTGCGGGCCAAGACCGGGCTACCATTCTTAAACCAGATTTTTAGTTGGGGCGTTATTGGTGGGTCCCCCGTAGCACGCGAATCTGGACTCGCGCCTCGGCTTCATTCTCACATTTCATCCTAGTGCTTCTCGTTGGCATCCTTACCATTGATGGTGCTCAGCACGCTCAACACTACCTTCGACGACTGACTGTGATCTATTTGGCTTTTGCGCCAGCCTTTATCCTCCTTACCATATCATACGAAGCCATTTTCTACTTCTGCTTCTCAGGCACCGTACTGTCATGGCTTCTGCTGGAGAGATCTATATATCTGGAATCGGAGCAATATCCTGCGCTAGAGGATGACAGTGCAGTAAGTAGCATAATCAAATCCCAGTCGCTGCAAGGCTATCTAAGCAATGTTATAGGACGCAACGCCGGACGGAACCAGCCGTGCGCCACGAACTTTGAAATTATCGGACTTGCGCGTTGCTGGGTTTTTCCTATGTTTTATAAACGTCGCATTCTTTGGGACCGGTAATATCGCGAGCGTCAGCTCCTTCTCCCTCGAAAGCGTCTACCGCTTTACCACCGTCTTCAATCCCTTCCTAATGGGCGCGTTGCTCATCCTCAAAATCCTGATTCCATTTTTCTTGCTGAGCTCCGTTTTTGCCGTCCTCGGGCGTGCATTAAGACTCCCTCCCTTCAGTCTCTTCCTACTGGTTCTCAGTACAACGGATGTTATGACCTTAAACTTCTTCTTCCTCGTGCGGGACAGTGGCAGCTGGCTGGAAATTGGAACAACGATCAGTCATTTCGTCATAGCTAGCGCGTTTATTGTCTTTCAGATAATCCTGTTTGTGGTAAGCTACGGGCTTGTTGGTACCGTCTTAGTGCCTGATATAGTAAGTAGAAGGAAGAAGCGAACCTAGTACATGGTACTATAGACTTCACATGTAATGGCTGGAAACGCTAGTGAAGATAAATTATGTACATTAATGACCTAAACAGAAGCGCCTTGTGGGTAGCCAAGACTGCTTTTTTGGGTAAGATAGGCGCCCTGTAAACCATCCTATTCCAGCTTATCCAAATAATCCAGGCGGCTCAATATTGCCCCTTTGCTAATGCGACAGCAATATTAGTGACTCGGGAATTACCAGAATAAACGCATGAAAGCAAACATCGAACCTTGTCTCTTGGATCTCTCCTGCCAGAAACACTTCATCAAGAATAGCATACACCTGCATCCACGTCAGCAACCACGCAGGAGAATATTGGAATTGAACACTACAGCACCTTGTAGAACTGAGGATGTTTCAAGATGGACAGTAGTCAGTAACGGTTCGTTGGCATAGATAGTATTGACAGTGTACACGTACATTAAATACTAGATCCAGCTCGCAAACGTTACGGAAAAACGCATCAAGCACTTCCACAAAGAAGTGTATTGCCTCCAAGTACGCCAATTCGTTGTCATTGGTGTCGACACAGAAGCAAAAAAATAATCCTGCATATCTTCGGTAGACGATTTTGTAGTTTCGAAACTGGAAGAACAGTACAAATTGTGTCAGCAGATTGGTACAGGCGGCTTACACCCAAGGGTAGTGGGTACCTCTACAAAGTTGGATTGATGTTTTTGATCCCGTGCAGCCACAAGTTTGTGTACGTCCGCTTTGAGCTTTTGCTTCTCCTCGTCTTCAAATGGCATGTACCATTTTGAAAGCCGCGTTTTTCCTTGTCGATTTTGCACAAGAATGAATCTGGCAGGATATCAACGTCAGCGGTTGGTATTCCGCTCATTCATCGGTGCACCCATCTTACCGAATCTGCAAAGTAAGAGTGCGTTGTTGAGAGTGGAATTAGGTGAGCTGGGTATATCAGTAACACTCTTGCTACGATGGGGTCCTCACCATTGTCAGCTGCTGGCAGGGTGAAAAGTGCAAAGCGCTGCGCCGATCATTGAAAATGCCCCGTCCAGCTTACGATGCGCGCGCCTGGCAAAGTGATGGCACAGCTCTGCACCGCCGTCTGGTTTGCCCTTCTCCATCTACACACCAAATCCTCAACCAACGTACCACAAATCCTTGGACTCTTATCTGGGTTCACCTTATCCAACAAGGGTGCTTTGCTATCAGTTTTGCATACCAGAATTCCATAATGTCCAAATACAGCACGCTCCCTGATCTAGATACCCAGCCCGACGTGTACGAAACGCCAGATTCATCCGAAACATCTGGCGTCGGTCTCCATGGTCATGCACGAGAAGGGTCTGCGTTTTCGGATTACTCTGATGATGAAGAGAAAGAGGGTCTCGTCCGCACATCTGTGTCAGTCTCAGCAGCTTCCGGTAAATTTGAATCCGCTAGGCCAGGAATAGGCAATGTTGACTTCTCAGGAAGAGTCGGAAGAAGGCGAAGAGAAGGATACCGACGCAAGGGACTTCCAGAGCAGGAAGAATACGAAATGCTTGGAGCTATGCGGACAACGGAAAAGGAAACTCCCGTGCAGCGGTTGCGAAGGCTCATGTTCGAAGTAGAAGAGCTAGGCAGAGAGATTGAAAATGTGCATCCCGAGGGAACGTTGGAGCAGGAATCACAATCCACTTCTGGCATAGGAAAGAAACGTGAACGTAAAGGGAAGACAATCTCGCACGCTCAGCTATTGGATCAAGTTTCTATCCTGCAATCGGACTTAGCGGGTATGGGCCGAGCATTCGTCGACAACTCAGAACCGAAGGATTTGGATGGGAAAACTGCTCCGGGAACGCCTGCAAAACAGATGGCTGAAGGAAAAGCACTATTAACGCAGCTGAAAGCATTTCGAAATTTAAGCCTTTCGGAGGAAGTTGCCGACTCAACGGCGGCGGCGGTACCAATCCCCACTACAACACCTGAGGGCGCGGATGGATCATATGTCACATATGAACTTTTCTACACTCCAGAGAGCGCAAAACTCACTCAACTAGCGAAGCTAACTGATGTGGAAAGCAGACTTGCCTCGCTGGAGCGACTTATTGGCACGCATTTTCTCCAAGGTCTAGATGGAGCAAACGAATCTGTTACCTCCCTATTGCAGGAAAATGGCAGCCTGATAGGAGCACTACAAAAGCTAGACAATCACCTTTCTCTCCTGACGCAACCACGGCAACTTGATATCGTATCAAGACGAGTCAAGACTCTCGCTGGCGAAATGGAGCGCGTTGTAGACTTGCGAAAAAAACAGCAATTGGAAAGTTCACTGACGTTGTCGACTGAGAATCTGCTGCGCTCGAGTGTATCAGCTCTACAAGATGTCGAAATGCACAAAGCCCAAACAGAGACGGAACGAAAGATTAATTATCTGTATGAAACAATGGAGAAACTAGATCCAGTGGCACGCGTGATTCCACATCTGGTATCACGCCTGCGCGGATTGCAATCGCTGCATTCTGAGGCAGCAGTGTTTGCTGATAGTTTGAAAATGCTGGTTCAGGAACAAAGCAGGGTTGGCGAAGGGTTCAAAGGTATAGAGGATGCTGTGGGGCGCTTGGAGGAGAGTGTGAAGGCAAATGAGATAGCAGTGGGAAAGAATGTTGAAGCGCTACATGGCAGGATAGAGGCATTAGCAGGTCGTGTAGATAAGCTAATGTCATCAAAGAGTTGAGGGATTGGAATCGGGTAAACCGCAATGCAGCATAGTATTGTTGACCTAGTGTAAACTTTTATATATATATATAAGCAATGGGGATCTGAATGTGTATCACGAGCTAGGCGTAGACGTTGGCACTCCTGATAGTACGGCAGGCTCCTTGCCGCCGACTGCTGGGTCGCGGCTGCTCTCCTCACTTTGGTCCTTTGTTGCCTTCCTCCTTCCGCGTATTGCGTCTTCTTCTTCGACTCTCTCGGGCTCTTCCCTCTCCACGTCATCGGAGCCAGATCCTTCCTGCTGTGCTTTCCACATGCTCGCATACACTCCGCCTTTGAGAAGCAGTTCGTCGTGTGTCCCAGATTCTGCTACGTGGCCCTCTTTCATGACAACAATTAAATCACAATCCATAATTGTACGAAGGCGGTGCGCGATGAAAATGGCGGTTCGCGACCCCAATCCAGCTGCCTGTGTCGCTGGATGCGGGTCGTGCAGGAATTCGCGGATGGTCGTCATAATGGCAGTCTCCGTCGATTGATCTAAGGCTGATGTTGCTTCGTCAAAGAGCATTATTGGCGGGTTCTATGATAGCAAAGAAATAATTTAAGTTTGGAATGAATCGTGCTGAATTACACAATATCGGCGAACCTTCAAAAAGGTTCGTGCAAGCTGAACCCTTTGCTTTTCTCCGCCACTAATCATCAATCCTCGTTCCCCGACTTTGGTTTCGTATCCTTCAGGGAAGTTGTTTACAATGACGTCGTGGATTCTTGCCTTTCGTGCAGCTTCCTCCACTTCCTCTCTGGATGCATCAGGTCGCCCATACAGAATATTGTAATATATCGTTTGGTTGAACAGGATGGTATCTTGCGGCACGACCCCCATGGACTGCCTCAGGCTTTCCAAGCTTACCCCTCGAATATCATCCCCATCAATCGTGATGGTGCCACGCTGCGGATCGAAGAAGCGAAACAGCAGTCGTAAAATTGTCGATTTACCACATCCACTTGGACCAACGAAAGCTACACTCTTTCCAGCCGGAATGGTAATATCGACACCGTTAAGGATCGGACGACTGGAGTGATAAGCAAATTGGACATCTTTCAACTGTATTTCTCCTCCTTTCCGGAGGACCAAGGGAGGAGCATTCGGAGGTGCTGTAATCTGAGGCTGGACATGACGAAGGCGGAACATTGTGTCCATATCAATGAGGCTCTGGCGCGTTTCGCGGTATACAGTTCCGAGGAAGTTCAAGGGCATCGATAGCTGAAATAGGAGACCGTTGACCATAACTAGATCTCCGACTGTCAGCGATCCCGCTATGATGCCCTGAGCAGCCATCCACATCATAGCCGTCAGAGCTACCGAAAATATGGCACTCTGTCCTGCGTTCAAAAACGCCAGCGATGTGACAGATTTGATCGCAGCTTCTTCGTACTTCGCCAGGGATCGGTCATATCTTTTCATTTCGAAGCGCTCATTTGTGAAATACTTCACAGCTTCAAAATTGAGGAGAGCATCTGTCGCCGTTGACGCAGCTTTATTATCAGCAGCATTCATTTGTTGGCGAAATTTAACACGCCAGCTGGTAGTTGCAAAGGTAAACGCAGCGTATGTGCCCATTGTCCCTAATGTGACTGCTGCGTACGCCGAACCGAAACTGTAGGCAAGAATACCGCAAACCATCGAAATTTCGAGTGCGGTAGGAACGACGTGGAATACCATCGAGGAGAGAATTTGATTGATTCCTTTAGTGCCCCGATCAATAGCTCGAACCAGTCCGCCAGTTTGTCGATTAAGATGGAAGCTCAGATCCAGACGCAGCATGTGGTAGAAGATACTGCAGGCAGCGCTTCTTATTGCACGTTGTGCAACTCGGCCAAACACAGCAGTTCTCAATTCCTGAAACAAAGATGATCCCAGCCGGGCCGCCCCATATCCAAGGAGAACTGTGCCAGCTACGGTCATAACTGTAGCCCCTGGCATAGGCTGGAGGATATCCACTGCGTGTTTGAATAGAATAGGAATGTTGACATTTAAAACTTTGCCTCCTATCAACAGTGATAGCGCAACAATCACTCTCGCTTTTATTCCTGGCTCGCCTTTTGGCCAAAGGTACGCAGTCAGTTCCTTGACAATTTGCCAATCCGCCGCTCGAGTGCCCGGTTCAGGATAAGATGGCACATCTGAGGCGGCTAGTGACGTGCTCTTTTTCTTTGTCTCTACGGCTTCGCTTGCCGACGTTCGAATTTGGAAAAATGTGGTAACAGCCTGGCCATGCCTGTGTTATTCACCAGATGGACGTCTAGCAATCGAAGGGTACAAAAACAAACCGGCGTAAACAGACGCTTCTTGTTTTCGGATCCTTGTATCAGACTCGAGGAGCAACTTAGACGTTCCAGAGAAACAAAGCGGCGTGGCTAAGAGGACTCGTGAACATTCCTTGATATACGGTATCGCCCAGCAAACATATCGCATACCCATGCGTTCAAAATGCCTCTTCTTGCAAATAGCTCTCTTGAGCAGTGATAAACCGGGCGCAACCCCGAAGGGTTAAAGCCTGGTCGGTGCATAGTGTCATTCGCCAAAGCCCGACAATGGGAGGTCCAACGATCTTATCACGTCGGGTGAGTCATTTGCTTGTTACTGTGGTAACATGCGCAATAACGACCACAGATGGGAATGAACGGCTTGTTGGGTTGGGCGAATCACCTTTGAGAAGTTCTGACGGAAACCAAAGGAATCTTCAACAGATATGGCAGAATATAAGGGAGCCGGGTCGGAAGCATCTCGGGCTGCAATGCTTGAGAATCAGCGCAAGATGATGATGGCAGACTTCCAGAATCAAAAAGATCGGATCGCCAAGGTTTGAGAACAGGATTTTTTGCCTTGAGTAAATCTTGTCCGTTCATCATGACTAACTTCAGAAAGATCCGATCCTCTTGTATGATGCATTGCACAGGAAAAAACAGTTCACATAGGCGCAGATAAATTTGTTGCCCAGAACGATTGGGTGGATAGCGAGCTGAAACGGCAAACTATCGGGTTGGTTCAACTTGAAGACTTCCAGAGGATTAGAGAGAGCTTGGATCAAAAGCGACGAGAGGACATTGAGAAGGAGCAAGCAGCTCTGTAAGTACGGGTGACTTCCAAGTTACTACTGCACATATTCTGACTATGTCGTGATGCACTGATAGACTGAAGCAAAAACGCAAAAAGAAAAAGGAGAAGATTAAACTGTCTTTTGATATAGACGGTGAGGAAGGTGAAGATGAAGAAACGAACAAGGAAGGTAAGCAGCGAGGGCTGGAGAATATGCGGCTGCCCGATGATGATGATCGTAATGTATCGTATTATTTCCTTGATCATGTGCAATCTTTGCACTTGACATGAGAACCTTAATCTTCTCACTGAGGGCCGCCGTGCGAAATCCTTATTTTCAATCCCAGATTCACCTTTGATGCTAACAAGGAATTTCCGTCCATCCAGAGACAGATGAAAAACCAAAGAAGAAAATAAAGAAAGATCCTGCTGTCGATACTAGCTTTCTGCCGGACAGAGAGCGGGAAGAGGAGGAGAGGAAAGAGAGGGAAAGGCTGAAAGAGGAATGGCTCGAAAAGCAAGAACGGACCAAAAGTATGCCCGGAACACTGTACTTTGTTTCCGAAACTTTTGTCTCACATCGTCTTCAGAGGAGAAAATTCTGATAACGTACAGTTATTGGGATGGCACAGGTCATCGGAAACAGGTTGAATGCAAGAAGGGTGATACGATTGGGCAGTTCCTAGAAAACTGTCGTCAGCAGTGGCATGAGCTTCGGGGAGTCAATGTTGACAACTTGATGTACGTCAAGGAAGATCTGATCATACCACATGTAAGTAGGCCGCAAGTAAGACTTGCGTATTGGGCACGAATTCTAACTGCTATTGCGTTTTTTTTTACGGGCAGCACTATACATTTTATGACTTCATAGTGAACAAAACCCGTGGAAAGTCTGGGCCGCTATTCTCCTTTGACGTGCATGATGATGTGCGGCTTGTGAACGATGCGACCATTGAGACTGAGGAGGTGAGGTCATCTCGGCGACATATCAATGAACAACATTTCTTATTCTTACTTCCGTTCTCAGTCACATGCGGGTAAAATTCTCGAACGCGCCTGGTATGAAAAGAATAAGCACATCTTTCCCGCCAGCCGGTGGGAAGTGTTTGACCCACAAAAAAGCTACGGGGCGTACACAATCAAGGATAAAAACAAAGAACGAGAGAAGGAGGGCCGATAGATAGTTGGTGCTTTGTTACTCCGTTGAATGGCCATTTGCAATACTCTGTTTACTTTTCTGTTCATCATGGGCACCTGCTTTGAAGCATCTGAATTCCTGTCCACATGTGGTCACTCATTGTGTTGAGGAATGATGATTTACTTTGTCCTTTACGACGATATCATTGCCGGGAAGAAAGCCTGGCGAGCAGTGTGCATGTGACAGCTCACCAGAATACCTGTTTTTTAATGATGAATTCGAATTATTGCAGAGATGATTTGCGAGCGAAATTAGGATGGTCCCCTAACATGGTTTCAGGCGACAAGTCCCTTCCAAGATGGATATAACTTACGCTTAACTAACATGTATGCTAAGCTCGGTTTGCTCAGTTTGAGATCTAGAGCTTAGTCGAGTGCATATTGTGGACGTGATTGAAAATGGCACTAGGACCCATTATTATCCGGCTCAATCCGGTTAATCATATCGCATAATCAGAACCCCCATCTATCGCTCAAATCGGTGAGGCATGCATGCTAATGTTCTCCAAACTGCAGTGTGGCATGCTAATGTATTTTTTTCTTTTTCAAACTGTGGTGAGGCGCATGCTGAAGGTCTATAAAAGGGGGGCCTTTTGCTGTCTCTCCCCTTCCTCACCAGTTCCTCGACTCTCAAATCATCTGCACAACTCTTCTCATCATGACTCTCAAGTCCAACCATGAGAATGCCGATGTGGTGGTGCCGAGGACCTCGACCGCCCAACAGCAACCATGATCAGAACCAGTGGCAACCAATTGGATCCGATAACAAAACCTACTATTATGCTGCCACATTTGTTGAGCTTGGTTGGTATGTACTGATGGCATTTCTTTTCATTCTGTCATTCTGTTGCTGACATGCATTTTTTTGTAATCTCCAAGCCTTGTCACTGAAAATCCTCCAGCTTGTGACGCTGCCCAGTCGATTCGCTCCTGGATGCAAGAGTCTGGCTTCAATGCCATCAAGAGTTCTGGATCAAGGCCTAGTAGGGACCGTGTGTGGTGGTGGGCAATTATCCGGTTAGAACAACAGTTACGTATTGCGTGTATAATTGCCTAGTAGTAGTTAGTTAGCTTTTCCGAACCAGTTGTCGCTGGTTTATTCCCTGGTGTAGTAGCTAGTGCCAGTTTCTGTCACCTCTACACTAACATATCTATCATTTCGTGATGAGAGTAAATGACGGCTGATACATGCTTGCAACCCGTTGCATCTTGGATGGCATTGTACGATTAATACGACATTGCCAACAAAACCTTTTATAATTGGTGATGCTCTTCAAAAAGCTTCCTATTGCGCAATGCAAAACGTGGAACGCTACTGTACTTGGCCCCCTTCGGACTCATCCAAAAATGGCAATTGAACAGTCAGTTCGCGTACATGTCCGTAAGGCGCGTCATTCGGACACCTCACCGACGTTTCCTTTCACACTTCCTCCGATCCAACTTTTTTTTTTTTGGTCGAGCAACAGGCTTGCTTTCCGCATCATATCATACTTGTCGCTGAAACTTGACTTTGTCTGCATTACCTGAGAAACACATCAAACGACACATGCCGTCCGACGAGGTAGGTTCTTTGCAATTAGTGTGCCTGAAACACGAAGCTCTTTCCTGATCGGCGTGACTCTATCCGACGTCTAGCAAAACTCGCACGGCACTGGCCAATCACTGCCGAAGAAGCAGCAAGTCTTTAATGCAGCCCAACAAAATGTCGGCCGTCCGCGAGGAATGCGAGGTGGAAAGTCAGTTTCAGAGGTGGTGCGTCTTCTGCACGCCAACCTGGACAAAAAGCACGCAGGAGCGCCTCCCGTTATTCCTCCAGTTGTGCGCAACCGCATTGCGGCGTTTGAAGGACCGGAAGTGGGGAAAATTCAAAAGAAACTTGAACCAAAGATTACCCAAAACATGCTCAAGCCTCCTATGACACCCTCACGCAGAGCGGCTATCGCAGCCAGAAGGGTGACCAGAGCTACTTTTGCTGAATTGAAAAATGGTTTTGAGGAAGACGGTGATGGACATTTGGTACGTCCCGAGTGGCCTGATGTAAAGGCAAGGAAGGCTCTTTTCGAACCGATTTCTGGGGAAATCAACGGACAGGACAACGTCCCTGGTCGCAAGGTTCCAAGGACTCCTACGCGCAAAAGCCGCCGCTTAACTACGGGAAGCATGTCCGATGATTTTGCACGCAAGAACAACGAAGAGTTCACAGGCGCGCTTCTCTCGGTGGAAAACACGTTGAAATCCGAGGCCATTACATACCCTTCTCCATTTGATGATGTCCCAGCTGCTAGTGATGATATGAAGGAAACTCAAGATGATAATGTCCCAACGACTCCATCAAAATCCAAATCGACTGTAGCTCGGTCGGCGCGTAAACCCAAGAACGACGAATCGTCTAAAGAACCTTCCGACGATGCAATCACGCCGCCAAAGATACACGCTGGAGCGGAAGAAACGATGGCTACACCGCGCACTCCGACTAGATCCGCTGCTCGAGGGTCAGCCCGCAAGCCAAAACGTAACGATGACATGGATCAGTCGACTTCTGACGAGCAAAAACAGCTGGCAGCAACGGGAAGCCCATCACGTCGCCAGGATGCTGTTGATCAGCTGAAAAAGGACGAAGGAGAGTCTGGCTGCCCTCCGTCTCCTCGTCCCATCAAAACGCCAACTCGGGCCTCTGCACGAATTGCTGCTTTGAGCAGCAACGGGCGAAGCCCCAGGGTCAACAGAGGTCCAATTCCGCAGCCAGACTTTTCGCAGAGCCAGGATGCCATGCAAGTAGATTCTCTTCCACCACGTTATCCAGAGAGCGCTGGAAAGCGTAAGAGGTCCTCACAACCCACAATGGAAGAAAGTGACCAGGCTACGGTCTTTACGGAAAAAGCGTCTAGGGCAACAAAGAGGCATCGGACGCTTGTGCTCACACCTTTGAAGGAGGCGCCGTGGCCGCCAAAGGTGAATCAAACGCGACAAAATATTCTAGTCAACAAAGAGGAGGAAAGCAAGAAGACAGCAGATCTTTGGGAAGATAATGTCAATGGAAATATGGAAGATGATGATAGCGATGAGGAAAACGTCTGCGAAGAAAATGGCAATGAAGACATGGAAGATGTTGATAGTGATGAGGAGAACGCTGGCTGGCTCATGTCCATCTTTTTGAAAACTGCACGTGGATTAGGATTGCGGTGAGCAAGATCGCTCCCATGCGTATGGTTGCAGTTTGTTTCTTGGGGCGTACAAATGTATTATAATAATCGCGTTACCTGGCTTGATGATTGCTTACGAGATGCTGCCGCGTTAAGTCGGAGTTTACAAACAAGACGGCAATTTGTGGTGGGGGGCAACTTGCATTTACCACCTTCACTGCAACACTTCCAAGGCTCCAAGAGTAATTTTAGCGTAACAGAGACACTGTTGATATCGTCCGACATTGCCTGTTATTTTTGAATTTCCTATTTTTAAATCTAGTGGCCAATGTGACGTCTGCTTGAGTCGCGGCCTATGCTGACAATCTTGGCCCGGCAAGGCCCCAATCAGCCGACAGCCACAATAGGCGGGGGTTAATAGGTTGTTTACCTCGCGCCACTTATTTGGACAAACAATAGGTGTTCTTCCATTCCCATCCTCTTCCCACAACTCCCCCAGTACGTAGTTTCTCTTCAGGTGGGATCCGTCTCCTGTGTGAATATTTGTTGTTGTTCGGATTTCTGCCGTATTTCAAACCGCTGGTCGAAAACAAACGCTTAAAGCCAGACCATTCTTGCCTTCCATCTCCTGCAGTGTTCTTTGACTGCATATCTTCGCCTGGCGCAAAGTTTGACTGCTCAATCCACCACAATCAGAGTATATCCTTCCGGTGAGTTTTACAAGTCCTCTGCACTCTTTTCTGCAACAGCGCAGGCAGAAGTGTGACGTCCGTCGGACGTTCATTCTGCTTGGACTTTTGCAGGATTGCGGAAAAAACTGTCTGTGGGGGGCTAGCTTGGCCCTGGTCATTCGTAAGCTTGATACTAACTCCGCCCTTGCAGTTCGCATACCCGTTCTTTTTTAAAACCCTTCACCCCAGCACACATCAAACAAGATGGGTTGTTTCATGAGCGCCGAAGAGAAGGAGAATAAGCGCAAGAACGACGAAATTGACAATGCCCTCAAGAAAGAAAAGGTCAACATGCGCAATGAAGTCAAGATGCTTTTGCTGGGTAGGTTTCTGAAATAGTCTCCATTACACAATCTGGACGGAACCTTACATTATGTGTGTCTACAGGTGCTGGTGAATCTGGCAAGAGTACCATTCTTAAACAGATGAAGCTTATCCACGATAATGGATACAGTAACGAAGAGCGAGAAACATTCAGGGAAATCGTTTTCAGCAACACTGTCCAGTCCATGCGGGTCATTTTGGAGGCGATGCAAAACATGGGAATCGCCTTGTCGAATCCCGCCAACGAAATGCACCGAGCAGTCATTATGGAACTTCCCCATCAAATTGAAGCTGAAGTATTCCCTCCCGAAGTTGCAGCTGCCGTCAAGTCGTTGTGGGTGGATGATGGTGTGCAGGCCTGTTTTGCACGAAGCCGTGAATACCAGCTCAATGACTCGGCAAAGTACTATTTTGACTCTATTGACCGTATTGCTGCTCCCGACTACGTCCCAACCGACCAAGATGTGTTGCGCTCTCGTGTCAAGACGACGGGTATTACGGAAAACACCTTCCACATTGGTGACCTCACCTACCGTATGTTTGATGTCGGTGGTCAGCGGTCGGAGCGAAAGAAGTGGATCCACTGCTTCGAGGAGGTTACTGCCATCGTCTTCTTGGTTGCCATCTCCGAGTACGATCAAGTATTGGTCGAGGATGAGACGGTCAACCGTATGCAAGAAGCTTTGACCCTCTTTGACTCCATCTGCAACAGCCGATGGTTCGTCAAGACCTCAATCATTCTCTTCTTGAACAAGATCGACTTGTTTAGGGAAAAGTTGCCAAAGAGTCCTATGGGCAAGTACTTCCCCGACTACGCCGGCGGTGACAACTACGATGCTGCCTGCGAGTACATTCTCAACCGCTTCGTCTCCCTGAACCAAAGTGACCAAAAGCAAATCTACACGCATTTCACTTGTGCAACAGACACCACACAGATCAAGTTCGTCATGGCTGCTGTAAACGATATCATCATTCAGACAAACCTTCGGGATTGTGGTCTCATGTAAAGCTGGGTATTCTCTATTTGTTTCCTACCTGTCTGTGGAAGCCGAAGGTGATACCCATAAGTAAAGAGGGAGAGCAGTTACGAATATGGACAGAAAGTAGAGTGCTTGGCAGAGTTTGGGACAGTTTGTGACATGTTAATCTTAATAAATAATAGAACACTGATCTTTCACTGAATATCTCCTGTGACAAAAAGCCGCAGATGTTGTCTGGCTGTGCGTTCTTCCCGTACGAAAAACGAGGATATGTGGGTTAAATCCTTCCGGTGCAATCACATATGTTGCCCGGTATTCATACACTAGGTATTCGCTGACGTTCATCGTACATCCTGATCGTCCCAGGCATATGCTGGGATAGCAAAGTAGTGCTCAGGATCAGGTATCTGGATCAGAACTAGCAACTACACTTGGACGGAACGTGAACCACTTCCAGACAACCATCACTCATGTACGCAAAAAAAAAGAAAAGAAAGTTTTCCAAGAGATGTGTACAAAGCCGATTATATTTGTCTCAACAATTCCCCCGTCACAAGACAAACAAGCTTATTCCTCAACAGTCTGAGTCTGAAGACCTTTGAACGTAAAGATGACGTCCGTAAGCATGCATTCCCCATGTAAACAATATTGCTCTGCACAGCAACTCACCCTTAAAGTTCGTAACAGGAACATAGCTCACAAGAGTGTAGAGCTTTTCCTTTGCGTCCTCGGCGTCATTGCGGCGCCGGGAGAGACGCACACGAATGCGATGCGGGACAGACTTGATACCCCTGGACCACACAGCCTTGTTCAAGGAAGGCTCAAGACGCACGTCAGAGGTACCCATGGTCTTGTGGGCAAACTCGCGAATCGCCTTGACGGCAGTTGGCGCACGCTTCTTGAAGGTCCTAAGAGGTAAAGGGACCGGTGGTTAGACACTGTTCGTCCACTGTGACAAGTCCCTCTTCCTCAACAATCGATCTCAAAGTCTTTTGCCCTGCCCAGCCAGCTCCCGACATTCGCATAATCCCGAATTCTCAGCTTATCCTCCATCGCTCCAAACCCAACCACCTCGCCACAACCCCATCGTCCCACCCACACCGTTCTGATAAGCTATCGACACTCACTTTCCAAAGACATGCTTGTGGAGGTGGATTGTGTATTCACGGGTCACCACCTGCAACAAGAAAGCAGAATCCAAATTAAATCTCGATTCCAACGCCGAGCATAGGTTCCCTCAGAAGGTAGTGCCCACCTCGTTAAGGGTGCTCTTCTTGGTCTTCTTGTCCGTGGGGGCCATTGCGAATACGGCTGTGCAAGGGGATGTTCCAAGCAATTGGGCAGGAAGAAAGAGCTCTTGTCAGTTGCCCAATTCCCATCCCACAAGTAGCGCTTCGAGTTAGAAAATTTACAGTCAAATGATTGGCTGAAATGGACGACGTCACGCGAAGATGCTGCGCCATACGAATTTCCATTTTGGGACTCTATTGCATGTGGTAATCAACCGTGACCTTTTGGACGATGAAGGACGGTTTGCGCAAAATGGCACGACGACGACGAACAAAATGCGCCAACAAGTTGCGCCATATGAACCTCCGGTTTATGGGATTCTCTCCGTATTGTTTGCTACGTTGGATTTGGAGTCATTGCATGTAAAAAGTCTTACAAATCGACACGGCGCACGGCTATATGGGACAGATGGCTGTTGCTAATTAACGTGCACGTATTAGTCATTGGACCGTGTCCATTTCAGCACTGCCCGATAAGGCCAGTTAAATAAGAGTCCACTCCAACAATTCTCTTCCTCCATTCAAACACACACTTACTCATACCATCGAACAAGGAAATCATGCCCAAAGCAGTATTAGCCAAGCAGGTCGGAAGCCTTTCAGACAATATATATGTCGGAGATGTCGAAAAGCCAACGCCAGGGCCGGGGCAGGTGGTTATCAAAGTCCACTCTGCAGCCATAAAGTACGTTATGTAGACATCATCTTTTTTGATACAAAATATCTCAACCATGACTCTGGCAGCCCCATAGACTGGAAAATAGTCAAATCTGGCTTCATGGTCTCGTCTTGGCCTTCACAGCTCGGCATCGATCTTAGCGGGACCATCGACTCCCTCGGTCCCAACACTGAGGAATCCGGTTTCAAACCTGGGGACCAAGTGTTTGGAAGTTCCATTTTACAAGCCTTTAGCGAATATGCTCTAGCAGATGCAAACAACATTCACAAGAAACCCTCCAACCTCTCTTTTGACGAGGCTGCTACACTTGGCACAGGACTGAACACGACGATTGTTGGGTTATTTTCAGAGACAAGTGGGTTGGGGCTGGCTAGGCCACAGGAGAACAGGCGGTGGTTTGTTCCAGAGTGGGTGCTTGTGTGGGGTGGAGCTACTTCGATGGGCGCTTATGCGGTACAGTTGGCGGCTGCTGCTGGATATAGCGTCGTTGCCACCGCGTCCCCTAAAAACGCCGAGGTAAAAAAAAAAAAAGAAGTGCCTTTTTGCTTTATCCTCCTTTAGCACATGCTTACCCCGTTGTACACAGTATGTCCAATCTCTAGGCGCTGTCCAAGTCTTTGACTACAACGCCCCGGACACTGTTGCCAAGATCCGTGAACAAACAGGTAACCGTCTGCGACTCGCCTTTGATGCCATTGGCGGCGAGATCCCAGGCCAAATCGTCGAGACACTTGTCGCAAATCCAGAGTTTCCCTCTACCATCGTTAGTCTGCTCCAAAAAGCAGATTCATTGACATTGCCTGACGGCGTGAACTTCAAAGCTGTGTTTGGAGCGGCGCCTGAGACAGTCGAGTTTGTATCGGGCGTCATAGACGAGGTGCTTGGGTACATTCAGGAGGGAAGGATCCGTCCAAATCGGGTCAAGGTCATCGATGGGGGATTGGAAGGTGTTAAGGAAGCACTCGAGTTGTCTGCAGCTGGAAAAGTCAGTGCAGAAAAGCTCGTCGTGCAAGTTTCCGCTTAATGATGGCAAGGTTTTGGATAGCATTATGCCCTTGCACTTTGTATCTAGTTTGACAGTTTTCTTAGTTACCAACGGCAAGCTTATTGAGATATATCAATGGACATATTCTCTCATTCATCATGATAAATAGTATTTCTTTGTTTGACAAAATTAAGGATTCTTGGGCACCACAAAAAGTCTACGCAAAACCAGTACAACATTAACCCGCTCTTGACCAACGAGTGCGAATGACACAATATACACAGCAAAAACTAGTACCAAACATCGCACCCACACAACAGGACGAGTGCCCACTCCATCGCGCAACGAACAACAACGATCACCACGCAACGAAAATGACTATACAAGAGATTTAAAATAAAACACCTAATTACATAATTACAAGCAGCACCGTTCTTGTAAAGTCGTTATGATTCAGATATCCTCATGTAAAGCCCACAAACACTCTGCCGCAAGCTTTTCCACTTCGTCATCATACGCCCGACCCGCCACCATGGCCAAAAACTCTTTTTCGTAACCCATGAGCCAGGTTCGGCACTTTCGTTCCTTGGCCAGTTCGGCCAGTGTCCGCATGGACCGCTGCGAAATGGATTGAGTGGGAAGAACGTTCATTCCTGGGCGCGCGAATCGAAAGTGAAGCTCGGCAAGGGGCGGTCGGCATAGGCGGAGCATGAGGGGAATGAATCCGAGGGTGCGGACCATGATGCGGCGTATGCGATCGTCGGTGGCGGAGAGGTTAAAGAGAGCGATGGATGCCATTTCCCAAGTGGCCAAATCTTCAGGTGTAGCGTCGGCAGAGAGGCCAGTCGAGGGTAGCATGTGCACGATACGTTCCACCAACGGATCCAAGTGCTTTGCTTTAGCAACAATGCTCCCATTATCGTCAACGAGGGTAATTTTGGCTAGTGCTTCCAGAGCGGGGTACGCATAATACGTATCAGACTCGTCGATAAAGTCAGAGAGCACGTCCAGAATTAGTTCTCCAGCCTCTCGATCTGGAATACGTACGAAGGCGCCGATATTTGACAACATGATGGTAGCATTCTTTCGATGCTCCAACGCGGCAATGCGTCCCACATTGTCTTTTCCTGGAGCCAAGCACAGCATCTGGACAATCAACGAAAGAACCTTGCTATGCTCCGCCAAGAATCGCTGATTCTCCAAATGAAAAGACAAATTCCTCAGCACGGTCCCAACACACACTGCCCTGTCAACCATCTTTTCAGATTCATCCAGAGTTGCCTCCGCATCATGTCGCAATTTGAAGAAGCCCTCCCACTCATCCTGAAATAACTCGGAATACGACCGAAACTCCTTCAATTTAGTTGCACCGGTTGCCGCCAAACACTCCTCCATCAACCCCAATAGCGCATCCAGCAAATCTGTGCATTCCATCAGGTAAATTGGTACGCGTTCGTCAGCAGAAGCCAGCGTCAAAATGTCCAGCGCATAACGGACTTCAATGTCCATCCTCGACTTTATGGCCATCACCAAATGGTGCCCATCCACCCTACCTCCAAACAATTCCTTCATTGGTCGGTACACGTCGGGCACAATGCCCTTGAGATCCAACCCTCCGTAAGATTCGACCTTGCGCACAGCAGGCTTAAAAACCGGCTTTGGCGGCGGAGGCGGGGGCGCGGGCTTTTCTATTACTGGTGGCGGGACGTTGGTATAAGGTACAGGCGCAACAGATGCCGGCACCTGCACAGGTCGTCCCGGACCAGATCCCTGGGGTATATTATACGGTTGGAACCGATTGTTTCGCATATAGTCAGCCTGAGAGGCCTGCAATACCAGGTCAATACCGAAGGAAATGAAACGAATCAGACTATAGATCTTACATTCATGTTTGGAATACCACTTGAGGGTCGCCGTTGCACTCCCGCGCCATTTGCCATCTGACCACTCGGCTGTACTGGAGCAGCACCTAACCCAGCCAAGTGGGGATACAGCCGTCGTTCAAACTGATACAAAAGAGTCGAATAGTTCTTTTTCAGCGCCGACGCTGCGGCGCTATACGATTTGAGTCCCAGGAGATCTGCAACATGCCGCCATCGTTTTCCAGCAGAAACCTACATCCCAGTAATTGCAGTGTCAACGTCGGTCGGAACGGAGGCAAAACTGGCGCAGACTCACCTTGTCAAATCCTCCGAGTTCCACAACATGATAAAACAGGTTGAACATGTCCAGCTGCTTGCCCCCAACGGATGGAATCCGAGTAAAAGGTGTGTTGATAGTCTTCATAAAATCCTTATACTGTGTCATCCACAGCTCCGGGTTGGGACGCAGCATTCTTGTTTGCTGCGGTGTTTCTTTTGGCGTAGTTGGGGCCCTTAGTCCGGCATGCGCTTGTTGTGGCGTTGCTGGTGGGTTGGCAGGCGCTTGTGTCGTCATGTTTCCAGGCCCGTTCACATTGTTCATGCTGAAGGATTGTTGGCGCTGGTGCTGCATGTGTTGCTGCATCGCTTGCTGCTGTTGAAGAGCCTGTTGATGGAGGGCCTGCTGTTGAAGAGCTTGTTGCTGAAATGCCTGCTGTTGCTGTTGCTGCATAATCGCCTGCTGATGTTGCATAGTTTGCGGCATAGCTTTCTGCATCTGCTGCTGCAAAGCCTGTTCCCCAAACACCGCTGTCGAAGTAGTTCCACCTTGACCTTGTCCGAAAGAGACTCGCGGACTTGGCGCGCTCTTTTGTGTACCAGGAACACCTTGCATCCCCACCGCGGTGACTATACTCGTAGGCGGCTGGCTCGAATGTATCTGCGGTCCGTTCAGACTCGCGCGATGACCCGGAGTGGGGTAGTAAGTTTGAGCCCATTGGACCTGTGGCATCTGCTGCTGTTGCTGCTGTTGCGGCGGCGGCTGTTGCTGTTGTGGTGCTTGCTGGTGTTGTTGTTGCTGCTGGGTAGATATTTGCGGATGGTTCGGCATGTGAGGAGTGGTTTGATTGGCAGGCAGTCTAGGTGAAGGTGTTACTGGACCCTGTTGTTGATGCTGGTGTTGTTGTTGTTGCTGCTGTTGTTGCTGCTGTTGCTGTTGCTGTTGCTGCTGTTGTTGCTGCTGCTGCTGCTGCTGATGCTGTTGTTGCTGCTGTTGCTGTTGACGTTTAAGCTGCTCCCCCGCATCGTGATGAGTGCGCTGTTGGTCTGCCGCCTGCTGAAGGTTCGTTATCTGCTGTGAAAGCATCTGTGCCGTTTGTGGCGTTGCATGCGGTTGCTGCTGCATCTGCTGAGAGACGCTAGACTGTTGTCCCATCTTGTGCTGATGTAGCTGTTGGTGCAACTGCTGCTGTGCATGTTGTTGGGCCTGCTGCATTTGCTGCAACTGCTGGAGATGGGCCTGTTGCCGCTGTGCTTCCGCCTGCCGATTTACTTGTATTTGGGCCTGAATTGAGTTTTGGAGTTGATGCTTCGACTGTTGATGTACTTTTTGAATATACTGTTGGAAGCCTGCAGGCGCTTGCGGCTGAGAGGAAGGGTGCGGTTGAGCAGGCATATTTGGTGTGGTGACCGAAGGCTGCGGTGATGGTTGGGTATCGCTTGTTTGTTGCTGAGTAGCCTTTGCCTGCTGTGGTGACGATTGAAGAGAGGCGGGTGGATGTTGCTGTGTCGGAGATTGTTGCTGGCTTTGCATGCCATCCGGTCCAGGCCCCTTTCTTGCTCGCTTCGCAGCTGGTGGCATTAACTGAAATTGTTGAGGTGCATTGACCTGCTGGTTCCATTGAGCATTCGGCTGTGCAGGTGACTGTCCAGTAGCTTGTGGCTTTTGCTGTCCATGAACAGCGTTTTGTGGCATGAGAGACTGGAACCGCTGCTGGGCCAGCTGTTGATACTGCTGCTGCAAAAACTGAGGATGCATATTTTGCTGCATACCAGCAGGTATCGCAATCTGCCCTTGACCTCCCATCAAAGCGTACTGTGCTAGCATCTGCTGTTGTGACGACGCCATATTTGGGTTCAACGAATTCGCAGCGCTGGCGGCCGGGGTCAAAGACGCTTGAAAACCAGCACCCGATACAGGAGCAAGCGATGCGTTCATATTTGCCTGGGCAGGAATGGCCATCTGAGTTGCACCGCTTGCGCCTGATGCCTGTGGCCATCGGTATCCATCCGCCGTCTTCATCTGTCCCAGTGCCGCCCAATTGCCCGCAGTGGGCATTCCAACAAATCCGGTAGCCGCTCCCATTGCATTCGACAAGTACTGGGTTTGCGCCTGAACGTTACCAGCCTGCGGATACGCATTTGCTTGCACTGCCGGGGTCATTTGCGGTCTCACAAACGCTCCTCCTGAAACCACTCCATACCGCTGCTGTTGTTGCTGCTGTTGCTGTTGTTGCGGTTGTTGCTGCCCTGGCTGAGACTGTGATTGAAGGTGACTTTGCTGCGGCTGTGATGGGGGCTGCTGTTGAGACTGATCTTGCTGCTGCTGCTGCTGCTGCTGCTGCTGTTGTTGTTGCGCTTGTTGTTGTTGTTGTAATTGGTGCTGCTGCTGCTGAATTTGCTGTTGTTGCTGTTGTTGAATCAATGCCGTTTGGTTAATTGTCGACATGTCCAGTCCGTAGGGATTCTGCACTACGGGAAAGCCATTCATTCCCGCATAGTTTGCGCCCAGCTGATTTGCAAAAGGATTGATGCCGCCGTTTGGTATTCCAGCAACTTGGTTCATGCCCGGCACGAAAAAGTTGGCCTGCTGGGCGCCACCAGCAAAAGCTTGTTGTTGTTGCTGTTGCTGTTGTTGTGGTTTCTGCAATGGAATGCCTTGAAAGGCGAGCATGTTGCCGGCATACATGTTTTGATGAACCGCGTTGCTTCCAAGCATGTTGGTGCCGGGTGCATTTCCAAATGGGATCTGGACCTGCTGTCCTGGTCCTGCCGATTGCGCTCCAAACTGACGTTGCTGTGGGCGTGACTGAGGTTGCGTCGGATGAGTAAAGACAGCGTTCCCTTCCATTACCGCACTATGCGAAAAGCAAAATCAGCCTAATCCAATCATTCGTCAATCTCGAGTGCGCGATCAAAAAGAACTCACTGTGCCCACTAACTGACGAGAGGGAGGCACAACAGATCGCCAGCCTCCCAAAGCAGGACGACGGCGAAACGGTTTAGAAAGAAAATGACCAGATGCCCGTTATGCCCCCTGTGGGAAGATATGCATATAAGCACACACGCACACACAGAATATTCACACACACTGACGCGCGCGTAGCCTAAACAGAAGCCACAAGAACAAAAAGCCCAACAACACACCTTTTGCAATAAAAACCCTTCCCAGTCTACGATAATAAAACGCTAATAACGCGTTTAAAAAAACTAGGGAATAAATAAAACGCATATAAGAAAACAAAGCGTTTTTGGCGTAAGAACGAGTGGCACAGTATGTCATCTACACCAACATTGCTAGTATAAAGCGACGTATATCCCGTTTCCAATAATAAAAAAAGAAGGGTCGGGTAAAGCCGCCTTGGTTGTGGTTGGCCGTTAAAAACGCTGGAGTTGGAAAGTCGCTGTGGATTCAAAGAGAGGGACGAGTGTGGGAAAAAACGAGACGGTCGTGGGAACAGTTTGAAAGAAAAAGGGGGCAGATGTGTTTCACTTTCCCAATATAGTAATAGGCACCTTGTTTGTATGACGTTCTCTGCACGCGTGTGGCACAACGCGTTTTCTCCCACATGGGGGTCACGTGTGTTCATTATACGTAAGCACAAGTAATGCTTATGTCACCCTGCTCAAAGGCCCATGGGAGGTTGCCTATGGCAGCCTATGGCAGCCTATAGGAGGGACTTGCTGGTATGACACGTGATTCCTGCAGGGCGAGTCTTCCATCTGAGGCCCTTGTAGGAAGGACGGGCTTGGAAAGAGCAATGGAGTGCATCCAAGAACGTGTTTGGGAGGAATGTTGAAGACGTGCTTGGGAGGTGTTCATTCCTATGGGATTGACCTTTTAGAGCGGGATGGGCGTATTGCAAAGCTACTCGCGCATACCATTGGTTTGCATCGCAGAGTTGAGTGTGTGGGGAAATCTCACAAGTGGCTGTGCAAATGGCTTAGGCAAAGGCTTAGCTGCATGGTGGGGAGACGCCACAAGTTGCAGGTTTCAAAACGACTTGTCTTTTGCCCATTTGAACTTTGTTGCCCATCAAGAAACACACAGCACAAGGCAAAGGGAAAGGAGAGCGATCGGGCAACTTCCACTCGACACAATATGGTAAAGAGTGCTGACGCGGCTGCTTCTTGTTGCACCTCATGGACCCTCAGGTAAGTGGCCTTTTTCTTCTGATTCCGTTTTTATCACTATCTCACAATGTGTGTTTAGACGCTCTACAACCGTCTCCACAAGCGCCCTTCGCGCCCGGTGATGGGCCCGAACCCGCACGCTCATCTCATTCCTCCCGTTTCCCCAGCAAGGGCTCTCGCACCGGCCGCTGTTCCCCCAGACAGTGTTAATTCCTCTGCAGCAGCTGCTACTTCTTCGCCTTCGTCATCAGCATCCTCCTCTCGTCCCCCCAATCTTCAGACAAGGCGCTTGTCTACAGCCCCCTCGGTAGGGAGAAGGCTGCATCAACCCCTCAAGCCATCTCAACGAATTGCAAAAAAGAGGCCTCACAGTTTGAACGAAGCCGAACTGATTGCCCCATTTGTCACAGGTCCGCCCACTCGTGCTCACTGGAAGGTAAGCTTTGAGAGTCGGCAAGGGAAAAGTTAGCCGAAACTGGTCGAGGGACTGAGTTAGCCGAATGCGTTGCGAGAAGCCGGGTGATGGATCGTGATTGAGATGACGTCCTGGGGCGAGCGAGCAGGCAAAATATATTGCTATTCATAATCTCATTGCATTTCATGGCACATGTTCAACTATAATATGTTAGACTCTCTTGGCTAACGTGTTCTTTTTTAGCCTGACTGCGAGGCGCCGGATTGCGATCTGTGCCGCCAAAGATTTGGGTTCCTGTTGAGGCGACATCACTGCCGTCGGTGTGGAAACGTCTTTTGTTTGTCGTGCTCTACGGTACGTTTCCCGTTCCTTCCCATATATGTGCAGTGGGTACTGTTCCAGGGACGTTATTCACGTCGAGCCGCCGAATTGACATGTATACCACATTACCTTCCACTTGACAGCACTTTGTACGATTAGATCAAAATGCAAACTTTCATCCAGCTGGTGTGGTGTCGCGGATCTGTCGAACGTGTTTCGAAGACTTTCAAACCCGCATCGTACCCCTGCGTCCCCCGACGCCAGACGGATCGGATGAAGAGACGAGAATTCCTGAGGCAGGGCCTGCGGGTGAGTTTTCACTTTGATATACAGACATGCATGTCGGTGAATTCATCTCGACATGCTAGATCGCGTGCTCCCCGTTCCAATCGAAACTGGAACTAAGCCCATGGGTGAGTTGTTCATGTACTCGTCTTAATGCGCCAAGCTCTGAACAATATGCATTCAGAACCCGATCGAGCCATGTCGCTCCTGTCTGTCCCATCGGATTGGCAATGGTCCACATTTTAGTGTTCCCCTTCCGCAGGCGTAGCAAGATGCGAATGGGAGATGCGACGTGTTCATTTTTTTATAGTTATATTGGAAGCCATGTCTGCGATGCAGATAGACATGTGTAATTTTGTAAATATTAGCGTGTTGGCATGACACGATATTGACTGACATGACAATGGAGAAATTGCTTGGGGTCTTTTTTGCTCTACAATATTCAGCACGACCACACAATACTGAGGATCGGTCTGATTTCGGTCCTCCAACATGTCAAGTTGACTCAAATGAAGCTTGTTCCGTTCGCTTCGCTTGAAAGTAACCTACATTAATGTAAATGGAAAAGTAACAATGCCAAGAGTCCTTCGAGTCTTGGACCTAGGGAGAGGGACTTTGAGGGACTTTAGATACCCTGCCGCGATTGCACACCAAAACACATAGAAGCTTTTTGCTGCGTGATTCCAACTCTGGTCTCATCCCAAAATCCTGGAATTGCCCATATCACAGCTTTCCGGTACGTATTGACCAAGCGATTTACCACGGATGACTTATCCTTTATTTATGGTTCATGGGCCAGTCGCCCCAAATTTTAATCGACTTTGGACTCATTACATAATCCGGTCGGGATGATCGGAAGGTAAATGGGAAATAGGGATGTGATTGCAGCGGATCTGGACTCGGCCTCTATATATAAAAAGAAATATCGGCCTGGGATTCGGGATGTTGCTTATTTTGCATATCATGTCCTCGCGCCTTTGAATTCCCCGATTTTGTGTCATTTCCCATCATGAAGAGTACCTTTCGTTCCGTCCCGTCGTCGGGGCAGGCACCGACGGACACATTAACAGATACCTTTGATACATTCTTGCTACGCATCAAGAACGGTCTATTTGGTGTGCTCTTTATTGTGAATAAGGAGGAACATGGGAGTCATTGGATTTGGGCGGCATTGGAGAGTTTGATTGACCATTTCCAGGATCTGTCGCTGTTGTTTGGGTTTGCGCCTTTTGCTTGGCAAGAGGAGGTGGATTGGTTGAATCTGATGTTTGAGATTTTTTCGCCAGAAAAGTTTGTGAGTTTATTCTAGGTTATTGGTTATTTGTTTTCGCTCAAGCGTGCTCACAGTTTGGGATAGGTTCAAAACAGCGAACCTCTCTATATTTTCCTCATTAGCATTTTGGGTTTGGTGCTTTTGAATACCTTATGGGTCGGCTACTCCTTTTCCAAAAACCGGTTCAGGTTCATCTGGACTCTAAAGTTTCTGCGATTCACCCTCGGGCTGTTTGCGACCGTGCTGTACATTCCCATATTGGAACGATTTGTGCACAGTATTGTTCGATGCGAGGAAAGTAGTCTTGTTGAGCATGGAAATGAAGAGGAACCTCTCGAAGGATGGGGAATATGTTGGCAGGGAAAGTACCTGTTTAGAAGCATTGCAACAACAATTATTTCCCTCATCTTTATTGCGTGAGTGTTTGCGTTTTTTTTGTTTCTCCACAATTCCCTTGGGTTAATGTTTAAATCTCGCTTCTATTCAGCCTCGTACTAGCTGTGGGTGCGACCTACTTTGACTTTGACCCCAAACTAAAAGACATTGAATCCCGGCCGCATTCGAGAATTGAAACGCTTTATATAGCTTGTCGGACAGTTCTCATCATTTTGTCGGTGGTCCTCGCAACCTATGGAGAGCCGCATTCGGCGGTGAATAAAGGAATATTTGCAGCAGTATCCGTCGTGGCGAGCGGGATACTCGCATTTTCTTACACTTGGGTATGTTCTAAACTGTTCAACTTGCAAAGCACGTCACCGTTCTGTTTTCTGACTCGGATGATTTGGACAGTACATCCCGTACTACTCTTTCAAATTCTCAGTCTTTCGAGCAGCACTCCAGTTCAACTTTTTCTGGTGCTCCCTTTGCAGTGTATTTATTCTGTTCCGGCCTTACAGCGACATTGGTATCATCTATGTTCTCCTCTCCCCAATCGCCCTTCTCCTTGGTTCCCTCCTCATCCGCGTCCGACGACGTGCCATTGAAAAGATGAATCCAGAAAAAGTGGATGCCCTCACGTTTGAGTTGATGGTGCGATTTCGGTTGGAAAAGGCCGGATTGTTGTACAAGGATCCTCCCAAGACAAACATTACCATGCTGACTGCAAGTCCGGGTGACCTTTCCACGGAATCCGCCCAACGTTCCAACGCTGCCCAAGCAGAAGAGAAAGAAACTTTGGATGCCATCACCAACCTCTTTACCATTGCCCTCCGTGCTAATCCCCATTCAAGTTTGCTGCATATCTTTGCGGGGCAATTTTACCTCCTCCGGTTGGGAAACAGGGCCCAGTGCATGGCTTCGTTGACTAAAGCGGAAAACATGGATCCCAAGGTGGATGAGGCGTCCATGATATTCAGAAGGCAAAGGCTGTTGAATGAGAGGTTCAGCGGTGGGGATGTGATTGATTTCATTGCATACGAGCAGAACTTGAGCTTTGCCAAAAAATATGAAAGAAGAGCAGAAGGTTGGTTAATTATGTCCATCTCGAAACATTAAAAAAAAATCACTTTAACGTCTTGAATCTCTTTCCCCCGCTAGCTGCCGTCGTCCAATTCTGGGCCGAACTTCTCCGCCGCAATCCCTCTTTCCGCCGCCTCCACCATCACGGTGCCTCACTCACCAACGCTATATCAAGCACCCAACAACACTATAACCAAGTCCTCAAACTCTCCCCCAATTCCCCGCATGTGTACCGCATGTACGCCGGTTTCCTCATCAACGTCCTCAACGACCATAAACAGGGACAGGAGCTCATTGAGCGCGCTGACGAATTGGAAGGCGATGCGAGGAGGAGTCATGAAGTTTTGGACGAAGAAATGGGGGAAGAAGAGGGCGGGGTGTCAACGGGATTGGATGCTGGGGGATGGGCAGACAATGCTTTGGTGACCATCAGTGGAGAGCTGGATAATCTGGGCTGCGTATGTTTTCTTGTCACCTGTTAAGCTTCCTTCTAGTGAGTTAACCTGACTGCAAATCCAACAGATCATGAACGTCAATGCACAGTGGCTTAAACTCTTTGGATACAGAAAACACGAAATTATGCAGCAAAACATTGATAAGATCGTTCCTTCCCCATTCAAAGAAGTGCACGATGACCTGCTGAAGCGGTACTTGGATACCGGGTATGCCAAGGTACGCACGCATTGAAAAGACGTTTGTAGAGTACGGTCACAATGGCTTTTGTATTCACATATTGTTGAAAAAGGTCATTGACCGGCCCCGACAAGTTCTTGGCATAAACGCAGCCGGATATCTCTTTTCCGTAACGCTATTGGTAAAGCAAATCACCTCCAGCGAAGGCAAAATCTCTTTTCTGGGCATCATGTCAAAAGCGCGGACCAGACCTGGAGACGAATTCATGATCCTTGATTCTTCTTTTGGCATTTTGCATGCTACGGAGCCCTTGTCTGACATCCTTGGCCATGTTGATCAAGGGACACCTGTCGGTTCCTGGATTCCAAACTTGAACTTTGAGAATGTGATTAAAGCCGGGCGGAGTGGGTCGCAGGTTGACTTTGAGACGCGGCGGACCATCTATTCACTGACGGTTACGGGGGATAAGGTGGTCGTCGGCGATCTCGAATGCTACATTTGCAGAGTCAAAGTCGCGGATAGCGTTCCCGTCCAAGAGGTGGCGGGTTTACCGGCCGACCATCCTCCCGTATCAGGCCCTGACGGTCGAATAGGTGTCTGTCCAATGGGATACGGACGACAAGTAGAAGAAGACCGTCCCGACGAATCTGGCCCCAACGACGAGGAAGCTGTGCCAAACGCCAGCCGAGTCAGCCATTCTTCCCTCAATTCCTCCACCCACTCAGCAATGCCAATGAGTTTCTCCCCCCACGAATCAACAACTAACCTCCCAGCTTCTAACAATGCATCCGCGAAGCACCTAGCTACCGAATTTCTGCAACTCAAGCGCCGTACCCCTGTCAATTCGAATGATCACGAAGATGACGATGACGATGAACATAGGAGCACCACATCCAGCATCACCCGCTCGGGGACGTCATCCTACATCAAAAATGTCATTGCCCTCAAAAATATACAGACAAATCGACAGTTGGGCTACCTCCGCATGGCATTTATCATTTGCCTGTTTGTTCTGGGTGTGCTGTCCGTTACCGAAAACGTTCGGTACAAACAGCTCTACACAGGGGTGCTGAACAAACTCGACAAGGTTCGCCGAAGAACAGACACTTGTTTACGCATGGTTGACATTGTCGAACAAGTCCGCACGATGCAAATCGGCGAAGGCGTCGGAGGTTTCGACAGTGGATTGGCAAACGTTACGGAAGCACGACAAAAATTGGAAACGGATGTCACGGTCCTATTAAGCACTGTCTCGGACTTTGCCAACCTCGTTCCAGGTACCGTCCCCTACGCTGAAATCCAATTCTATACAGCCTCCCCGAGTACACCCTTTCAATATACCCAAGTCGAAACAGTCACATTGTACGATGCTCTCCAAGAAGCCATTGCTAGCACTCGGTATATCCTGGACACGACGGGCGATGCACAAGGAATACGGGCCGCGATGGAAAAGATTTACATTAACGGTCCGCTGACGATTCTGCGGGGATTGAATACGTCGGCTGGGGACGTGTGTATAGAGTTTCAGAATGAGATCATAAGCACCAAGTGGTCTCAGTTGGGACGTTCGGCTGTTGGGCCAGGGTTGTGCTTTTTGGTGTTTTTGATGTTGATTTGGCCTCTCTATGTCAAGATCCAGTCGAATCGGCAGCGGTTCTTCCAGGTAAAAGCTCCGTATCCTTTTTGGTTTTGCCTGGCTCGTGCTGACCCCGTGTCTGTATGTACCAGATGTTTCTAGATATCCCAAAAGAAGTCGTCAAAGGAATTTATTCGTCCCACTTGCGTGAGTCTTGACTGGAAAAAAAAGTTTTGATAATCAGCTTAGTATGACGCTGACAATATGGTTCTATTGATGGTATAGAACGACTGGCCGAAAATGAGGACGACGAGGATGATATGGACGTGACTGACGCCGGCAACCGATTTGCCCTTGACAAGCTCCTTCAAGACGAGGAAAAAGGGCTGATTTCAACGTCCAGCCCCGAAGGCATCGACAATTACCATTCCCCGTCCCGCAACAATCGCAGAAGATCTGTACTGTATGCTTCAATCCTAGGACGCTTCGAAGACCCGCACAAAATGCTCCCAAAAGCCGGTCTCCTCTTCCTGATCTGCCTCGCGTACTTTTTCAGCGCCGGAGGCCTGACCCTTTCCTGGCTCACTGATCATAACCATATCGCAAACGATGTTTACTGGTCCATGCAGATACCAGTGTTGAGCCGTCAAGCGGATTTTCGATTACGTGAGCAGGTCCTCCAAACCTACGGATACAGCGACGACGGGTCACCAGCCATGTTGGCACGAGTGGGCGGTAATGCGCCGGAGAGTGCAGCAAGCTTGTTGACAGCATTGGCAAGAGTGCAGAGAGGTCTGATGTATGGAGATCCAGACATGTATACTTCATCAGTGATTCAGGCCAAAGACGTCAAAGGGTTGTCGGAATTGATGCTGCAGGATGCTTGCACGGAGGGGGTTCCTGCGGACTGCGAATCGTTTATGAATGGTGCGTTAGGCACTGGGTTGCATGCTGGCCTCAATCGGTACACGCAGCTGGGTCGAGAGATTGTATCCCTTTTACCGAGCACGGCTGCGGCTTCAACTCCATCACCTACCATTCCCACCAACATTACTGGCCGGATGACAAGCTTTCGCTTGCTAGACCAGCATTACCTACCCCCTCCTCTGACGCTCACATCAACGATCCGCATCCAAACCGTGGAACTTCATGCCAATTGGTTCAACACATTCCACCTGGTTTTTACCATCTTGTTTTGCACAGTCCTCGGCCTTTTGTACGTTCTGCTGTTCCATCCCCTGGTCGGTGCTTTATCAGAGGACAATCGTCGGACGCATGTCATGCTGTATATGATTCCCCCAGAAATTCTAAGCAAGGTTGAGAGCATTAGGTGCGTTGCTTACTGTATGATTGCCGCTTTTATGCATCTGTTCATTGTTGACTTTGTTTCAGGCGATGGGCTGAGGTACCAGGGAAAAAAAGAAATGATGAGAGGTCCCATGCTTACACAGAACGCAAAGCTAGCATGGCAGCGCAAGGACGCAGGAATGAAACTTCCAAAGTAGCAAGAACCGTAGAAATCGTATAGCCAAGGACCTATCACACTTTGCGTCTTGGGCATGTAATATCGAGGTTGCTTGTACCAATAAATAGCACAGGTATATTAATAAGTTGAAAATGAAAAAAATCTACATTGCCGTCACAGGAAAGTCAAGTCGATCATGTCAAACTTTCGCCGTCCCTTTTCCATCAATCTCGTCTCAAGCGCAGCCTTTCTCTCTTTATTATCCTTTTCTGAAATCTCCTTGATCTTCTGTTGGACATATGCCAATCGACCCTCTCCGTCCATATCCAGATATTTCTCTAGGTCCAAGCTCTCTGCCAGTCTCTTCTTCATCTCTGGTCGGGATGGTAATGGTGGCAAGGTACCGTCATCCACTGACACGATTTTTCGTTGCTTGGCGAGATCGTAGTGCAAGACAACTCGTCCCGGAACAAGGGCAAACAGTGTATGGTCACGGCCAATGCCCACATTTGTTCCCGGATGCCATTGCGTTCCCCGCTGTCTGATGATAATATTGCCTGGCTCTACTTTTGCACTGTGGAGTGCTTTGAAACCGAGGAACTTTGGCTGAGAAGTTCGCCCGTTCTTTGACGAACCGCCGGATTTCTTTGTTGCCCAACGGACTTGGAGAGGGAAGCGTGTGTTGGGTGCATGGAGGGAGGATGGCTGTGGAACTCCTGCCAAGCAAGGAGTGACGGGGGTAAAGCCAAAGCCAACGTGTCGTAGAGGAACGCAACGGGATGCAGCTGCTCGAATCATGCCTAATGTGCACATCTGGTTAAACTTGAAAGATCTTGAGCTGTTTCTTTTTCACCTGCATGCTCCTGTTGCCATGCCAACATGTGAAACACGTGTCACACAGAGCGGCTTTGGCGGACAACACGCCGCAAATGAAAGTTCACCGCAGAATTTTCCCACACGGCCCGCCCCCCCGTGTTGAGAGGGTTGTGGCCACGGCGGGACTCGAGCATCTTCAAAAGAAAAGCCAAAGCAACTCATCCCCTTCCGCCAAACGCTTTGGCGAAATAGACATTAGACTTTTCGTTTATCACGGCCATTCGGTTTACCTCATAGAATATACATTATAATACACACGAAATGCTTTTCAAAAAGACGACTCTTGCTGCAGCCTGCCTGGTTGGCGTGGCCTCGGGTGCGACTCTGGATGTGACAAACAAAGGTATTATTAACGCTGGCAGGGCCTTTAAAGGAGTTTCCACTGCTTTTTATTGACAGCTTGTTTGTTTGGTGGCAGCCGCTCTTGGTGACGCTACTCACAAGGCCGTGTCCAACCTCGTTTCTCTTTACTCGGCCGAGAAACAGGCGGGCAAAACCACAGAGGGAGCATTTGACCAGGCAAATGTGTCCTGGTACGTCTCGGGTATCATATGGGGAATGGTCTTTGACAACTCCAAATACAATGGGGACAGAGCACAAGACAATGTTGCAGGAAGTGCAATGTTGGAGGCGACCTTTAAAGAGACGGGCGATTTGTTGGGCGGACCACAAAGGACAGTCCAGGAAAAGCTACGTGGGAAATGGAACGACGATTTGGGATGGTGGGCGCTGTCCAGTGAGTATACCCTTTTTGCGTGTCTTCAAAGTCGACCAAAAGGTCTCATGGCTATTTTCTTAAAGTGATGTCGGCTGTGGAGGCTTATGATAAGAACGTCTACATCCCCGGCGGAGCAAAGTTCCTGGACGTGGCTGCTCTGACCTGGAACGAGATTCTTGAGCAGTGGGATGAAACAACTTGCAATGGTGGTATCTACTGGTCACGTAATCGTGAGGACCCTAGCCCAAACAAGAGAACCTTCAAATCTGTCATCACCCACTCTCAGTTTGTTGAGCTTGGTGCGCGCCTTTCGATCGCCACAGGCAACACTACCTACCTTAACTGGTCCGACAAAGTCTATAACTGGATGAAGACGAGTGGGCTCGTTACCGCTGACTGGGCTGTACTGGACGGTGCCAATGCTCCTACCTGTACCCAAGTCGATAGAACCGAATGGTCTTACAATGCGGGCACACTCATGGGTGCTTTGGCCTACATGTACAAGGCAACAAAGATGGCTACGTATATGGACGACGCAAAGAAGCTTCTACCGGCCGCTGTTGGAAAGTTTACTCAAAACGGTATCATCATCGAGCCAGTGTGTACAACCACTCCGGCAATGTGTGGACGTGATACCCCTGCCTCAATGCCCCAGTTTGCCAAGGGATTGTCTCAACTCTACCTTGAAGGCGACGCTGCAATGAAGCAGCAGATTCAAACTGTCATCGACACCACCCTCACGTCCGCTATCCGCAACTGCAACAACGATTGGTGGTGTAACAAGGAGTGGCAACAGAGTAAGTTGATAGTTTTCTGAAAGCAAAGGCAGTCTGCCAGCGCTAACTGCAGACTCTACCCTTAGCTGCCGCCCCAGCTCAAGATGTGTATAACCAGTATCCCACAGCCGAACTTTTGGTCGCTGCCTCTGCCATTCACGGTGCCTCAGCACCCGCTGGTACACAGAATGGACTTCCATCCGGCCCCTCAAGCGCCTCAAACAACAACAACTCTAATAACAAGAACTCTGGTACGAGTGGTGCCTTGGGCGGCTCACCAACAGGTTTGACATGGGCCGCAGGAGCAGCAGTAGCAGCTGGCGTTACATTCTTCCTAGTATAAGTAGGAAACATCATTAGTGGGAATAGGGCAGGTCTGTCAGTTGCAATAGCGCACACTGATGGCACGGTTCATCCCAGACTTTTGGTAGGGTCCTCCTGTACAGTTGTAACTTTTTTCTGTCATTTTTCTGTTGATTGTGCATAGTTTAAATAAGATAATAATTGATGAGATTACAGAGATATCCGTGTACTGCGCTTCCTCCTTTGTTTGAGTGGGAATTCATTTACATGTGAAATGTGCTGCGCATATCCGCGCTGGTATCCGCATTGACACGCGAACGCCAAGGACCCTTCTTACTCCTTTGACCTCGGCATGGAAACGACCTTCTTTCGGCGAATGTAATTGTAGCGCCACAACTCCATGGACGTGATCCTGTTCCTTGCTGGTCTATTTAAGGCCGCCCTGCTTTCCTCCCCCTCCGACCTCTTTCAGTTTGCAATCTGTGTACGTTTCTGCCCTTGGGCAGTTGGGGCAGAACGATACTCAATACTCACCCAATGTATTGATGTCGGTATTCATCCTTTCCGACAGGAACGAGACCGATCAGCAGCAACCAGCATCGCATTTTTGGCCCGTTTTCCCCAAGTTTCCATATATAAGGTGAGAAACTGACGTGCGGGCTCTAGCATACCAATACAAGCGACGTGGTGTAGTTGGTGAATCTTGTAGGTCAAGATGGAATTGCGTGTCAGGGCATTGCGTTCCCACGCGTGGAGTCTTAAGCAGGTGCGTTTCAAACTAAAGCTACGTGAATTCTTTGTGTTGTAACAGGCTTGAAGCGTGCGTGGTGAATCCGTGAAAGCCATGATGCCTTGGCGGCTGGATCTTTGACCATGGGTGGACTCTTTGCGTTGTAAACGGTGAGTTTCAAACCAGTAACATGCATGTACGTGATATTTCATTGGTACAGAGTGTGCTCGCCGGGTGTTTCAAGGTGCCTTATGAAGGTGAGCCGCCTTTGACTACATTCCTATAGAAACTTTCCAGATCGAACCGCACCTGTTGAATCTGGCGCAAACGATGGCTGCGCGTGGACTATTGGATAGGGGTTTGGTCTTGGGATCGCGCCTATCCAGAGTATTCCAAAAAAGGCTGTGACGTGCATCGGTGTCTGTATGCGCTTTTCTAATCGCTTCGACGGCGAGGCCCAAACTCGATCCGATGGAAGGAGTAGGTGGTAGATGGTCGAGCTCTATGTTCGCTGAACACTTTTGTTCCGTGTTTGCTAAACACTCTCGTTCATGTTTGCGCTTCTTGCTTTACCTGTCGAGTCCCACCTCTATGGAGTCGTTCATGGCGTTTCAGCCAGGGCCACTATTTTATATGTTCGGGAAAAGAATGCAATGTAACGTGACCATCTCGGCCAGGACTGTCAAAGGGAACAAACAATATCAGTCCTTTCAAAACATGCCAATTAATCGCAAGCATTTTCAGTGTATTGGCTCTATGCTTCGGTCATAGCCGGCACCGCAAAGACTCGAGGTGGGAATGACCTAACTTGGGGACCACCTAGGGTCGGCTGCGGGGCGCCGAAGTGCATGCCGAGTGCGGCGCACGCGCGCCCCATGGCGCTATGTGCGGGCACTTTACCACGTGACTTTAGTCCTGCCCATCAAACCTGGTGAACGTTCAACGGGTCTACAACTTGTATCGAAGTTTTGATCGTTCAAGCAGAGCAGGAACGTTGCACTGCATGCGCACATAAGTTATTCGTAATCAGAGGAAAGTGGACGGTTCATACCGTTGGATTGTTAATCGCGGATCCCAAACGCTATGCTGAGGAATGGGACTTTGATCACAAGCAATGATAATGGAGCATGTAGTAGATCAGAGTCTTTCTCATCATAAGATAGGCATTCGCAAAGATCCGTATGCAATCTCATAGCCTGACAAAGTAAAGGTAAGTTTGCCATCACGAAACGCGACAAGGCGTGTGTGGTTCACGAATGGCCTGCGTGTTCCGCTGGAGTCCTTGATCGGAGCGACTGAACACTATCAGTCTTGTGGACATGATGGACTTAAACACCCTATCCCTGACAGGTGATGTATTGATGCATTACACGTATGTACAACGGAAATATTGCAAACCGCGAAAAACGATATATTGTAAACATTGTCCAGCACTTGTCCAATTTGCGGTGGCAGGTTTTGTGATTTGGAGCGCAAGTTATTCGTCCCTATGCCTGGTTAGCTTCCAGTGAGTTCGAAGGGTCGCTGCGGGGACCCAATGGACCTCATTGAACTTTTTAGCAACCTTTCGCCAATCAGTGCCATGAATCATCACCAAAATGTCAATGAGTGCATGGTCCTCAGGGGAAAACGGTACCGGAAAGCTAAAATGAGCAGGCCAATTGGCTGGCTCCACAAATCGGTACTCGCACTGCCTACGCACATCTTTTGCTAGCACGCGGTGAAGCCGGTTGAAGATTTTAGCAGTTTTGATCCACTGGTTGCCGTTCATCGTGACGAGTGCTTGAAGGAGTGCCTCCGATTCAGATGTAAACTTGTAGCCTTCATACGGCTTTTTCGGAACAAAATCCCATCAATTAGGCCGACCATCCATAGGTGAAGATAGGAATCAAATCTGTGAACGAACCTGTAAACGATCTGCGTGGACGCCTTTCTTGCGTCGTGTCCGTCGCCTGCGCTGTAAAGCAAAGCTGTGAGCAGGCTGGCTGTTACCGTCATTTCTTAATGCCATATCTTGTAAGTCACGGTGTTTTTGAGACAAAGACTTTTTGGAACGTTGTGGTAATGGACTCTGGATAGACGAAGCGAAAGGAAGGTCAGCTGTAGCCGGGGGTACCTATGTCAAATGCGGCAGGCTACGTGAATAGGCTCAGCACTTTGGGAAGCTATACATATTCACCTGAGGAAGCTATACATATTATTTGAATTGGGTGAGTCTATGATTTACAAATGAGCATATAATCACCACGATGATTTACAGCAACATATACAAGTGAAGTGTTTTTCCTCAGACAGGCAAGCATTGCTCTAAATTGAGCAGTAACAGTCTTCTGGAGATGGACTTTGTGGAGCGCTATATCTGGTCACGACTTAGGCTCCACGTAAAGAAATCCATGCATGCCCATCCTCACCCCCCAATTGGACGAGTCCCAACTTTTCCGCATTCATTGCGAGACCCGTAAAGTTCTTCACCTCACCGATATAGATCAGTGGATCTCTGTCCAGGATGGCAAGTCCAACTTTGGACCGCAGGGGCCGTCGGTCCCCTCGATATTTAAATTCATTGAGAATTTTGACGAGAAGGTGCACGGACGCAGGGACGGAACCCAGGGGGAAGGCTACTTTTGCAATAGTGGAAATAGTATCGTCATGTTGCCTCCAGGCACTTTGTGATGCCACAAAAGATGATGCAACCACAGTGCCACTTTGCCCGTCACAAGTGGACTGCACCGGCAGATCAAAAGCGCTTCTGGGGATCACCTTCGGGTTCGCAGCATTTTTAGCATGGTCGTCGGATATTGGACTCTCACCAGACTGTTGCCCGTCCAGGCCCTTTTGCTTTCCAGCATTGCCAGTGCTAGCATCGTCCATGGCCATATCACCCATCTTCAAGACATCTACCCTGCAGTCCAAGACTTCATGGGCTTGTGCCTTTAGTGACAAGTGAGCCCCTTGCTTCCCAGTGAGGAGAATGATATGGTACTGCCTATTCCGGAGCGTAGAGAGTGCATAGGCAAAGTCTCTATCTCCTGAAATCAGGATAACGGTGGCCGGCGGCCTATTGTCCAGCGCAAACGCCATCATGTCAACTATCATCATCTGGTCCGCTATTGCAAATTTTGAAATGTGAAGACTTTCACGTTAAAATGTGCTTGTACCAAAAAGGCTGACATACCTACATTTTTCCCACCGTTGGCAGGGCAGTCTATGAGGGAAATGCCAGAGCTTTGCAGTTCCGTACGTAGGCTCTTGTTCGGCATATGCTTCTCAAATCCTTCGATATATGCCTACTCCATCAACAAAAAGCAATTCGAAATCTATCCACGCGCAATAGAGATAGAGACTCAAGTACCTTGCAAGATGTGAGAGGTCCACAAGTATGAGCAACTCTTCTTAAACTCTCCGCAATATCATACCCAGAAAGCCCACTGTTTAAAGTTATTAATGTCAGCCCTGTCAGGCAGGGAAATTACATGGAACCGACGCCTACCGAGGAGGCGGACAGTTCTGCAACAGAGATAATAGGTAACGCTGCTTAGGTAGAAGTTCAGGCCTACGCACTACTTCACCTCAAAGTCCCAGAAAACGGCCACTGGGGAGCCTTGACGGGAGCCTTGAGCTGTAGCCGCCTGACCTCGCCCATGTTCCGAAGGCGGACGAGAGAATTGTAGAACCGACGGTTCATTCCTGAAGGGCTGAAACGACCCTATTCCAAACATAATGGCAAATGCAGCTCCCTATGTGCAAGTGTTCCGCTTCGTATTTATCCTTTGCTTCTTCTTATTCAGTCCAGACGAACGAGGACGCTTGCGCTTCCCTTCTTTTATGGACAAGATTGCGATTGCGCCTTTCTTCCTTCCAAACCCACACACACATCATACGCCCCAAACACACGGCCGAGGACCGGAAGTCAAAACACACACACACACAGAGCTTACAGTCAGGTGACTCAGCTTGTCATCGCGTTCACGTGGGCGCGGTAGCTTGTCATCTTCCAAGTGCTCGCGATGCAATCCCCCATCTCAAAAATATGGACTCATTTCAAGGGTTTCCTCTGCTTCTAGCCATATTCTACAGTGAATTTCACCCAACTCAAGGGCCCAAAGTCACCTTTGAAGTTCCCGAAAACTTTGTGACTTCAGCATCTGCCTCCTCCACCTCCCATGGAGCGTCTACGGCTATCAGTCTTCAGTCAGCCCAAACCTCCAACTCCTCCCCATCACTTCCGCCCGCAACACTAATGTCTCAGCCCAGCGCACCTGAACCCATCCTTGACTTTGACTCCATATCAGAATACATCATCCCAAAACCAGAGCTTTGTAACCGACTCGTCACCATATCTACGCCGTATTACAAGTTAATGGGTTATCCCGTATCCATTAAAGACCAAAAGTACGAGCGAAACGCATTACTCTTTAATCTATGCTTTGTGTTTGAGAAAGACGCAAACACGATCAGTTATGAACAAGTGGTTCGGAAGATGGCGAGGGTGTTAAAGTCTTTGGAGGTGTGTACCCAAGATCGTCGCGCAGGACGACACTAAGACAAAAGCAGGCTCATTCTAACACCTTCCAACTCGGCTCATGCTGAAAGGTGGAAAGCGAGTTCCTGTCCAATGCGAATACGAAGGGGGCGATATTGAACATTATGGAACAGCTGCTGGAGGACTTGAACTCATACTCCGAGTGTCAAATACCGATAAGTATGGTGTACTCTGCAGTCCATTCATGTCCATGAGGATATCACGGCAAACACCGTTTGGCTTATGTCTTGTAGACGATGCCAATATGATCAATATTAAGCTATTCCCAAAGTATCCAGACCCACCTCCAGTTCACGACTATCAGGTCCCTGTCCTCATTGTTGACCTCGAAAAGGTGATGGACAAGTATTGGGATATGACTATGCGACGAGTAAGTACTGCTTGTTCTTACCGAGAGATTGGCGCCTTGATGACCAAAGAATTCCAGATAGTACCGCATATAAATGGCGTACATTTTGTAAGAAAAATCGCAGAGATTGCCGACGTAGACGTGACACTCGTTCGGATAGCGATTCAGCATTTGTTGTAGGTACTCGATATATTCGCGAACAGTGCCATTCTTATTGATTTCTATGATTGTGAAGGTATTACGGCTGCGTCAAGCTTGTTGATATTTTCCAGGTATGAAGCATTATCTCATTGATCTTACTGCGATGTAAAAGCGATTGGATGGGGGGACGGAATCGTAAGAGCTGTTAACAATTCATTGATTCTTTGTTACCACACTAGTTTGGCAATGTATACGCTATCCGTCCATCCATCAGCTATCTGCTTCGTTCTCCTGAATCACAGGCAGAATGCGTTCAGTTTGTCGCTCAGCCCGAATCAAGTCCTCCAGCTTTTGCGCTATTATTTTCGTTGTACTGTGCTTTGAAACCTGGATTGTCTATCCGGGAGTGGACTGAGGAGAACCATATGTGGGCTTTAAATATCGATGTTCGGTAATGCATTTGGTCTTGCGCTCCGGTGAATCAAAGCTGACTGAGCTATTATATAGGAGATTTATATTGTATGGTGTTATCAAGGGTTTCGTGTACAGAGTGCACAAGTATCCTGTTTGGCTTGCACGACCCGGAGAGCATCTTGGCGACTCGCCCAATCGACAGTTGAAGCGTTATCTTGACGGAAGAAGACATTATGATGAGTTATGTACCATCCTGGGATGCAATGCGCGCGAGTTGGACGAAATATTGAAAACAGAACCGTCTGTGAAATTTATATGGAAGTGAAATCTTAATATGAGTGGGCCCGCTATCGCTAAAGGACAACCTTGCCAGTCTATGATGCTGTTCAATTGCGCTATGTTCCTAACCTACATTCTGACTCTCCACGAGCTACAATTAGGCCGCCTCTGTCCCCTGCTCACCCTGTTCCGCCTTGATGACGCCCTTGTCTCTCAACAATTGGTCCAGCTCTCCGCTCTGATGCATGTTGATCATAATATCACATCCGCCCACGAATTCACCTTTGACAAAAACTTGTGGAATCGTTGGCCAGGATCTGTGAGAATGAGCGTAAACGACAACGTTAGTGACCTCGAGCAGAACTTTTTCTTGACGCACACTAATATTTACGTATATTCCTTGATTCCTGCTCGAACCTCATCGTCAGCGAGTACGTTAACGGTTTTAAAGTCCTGGACTCCCTGAATCTGCAGCACTTGTACTACTGCTCTACTGAAGCCACACTAATAGAAGATCCCAGGAGCAGTTTTAGACGAAAATAAACCACTTTTACAAGCTATCAAAAAGCAAGTATTCTAACCTGTGGCGCTTCCTTGTTGCCCTTCATAAAAACTAGCACATCATGCTCCTTGACGGCCTAATGTTGATAGCCAGCACCTTCAGTGTCGATATCAGTTGCGACAAAGGGAACCCACGTACCTTGTCGATCTTACTCTTGAGTTCATCGGACAAGTTGCGTCTCCATACAATTGGCGCCTGCGTGCGAATTGGAGAGAAAGCAGTCACGCGAGACGACAGGCGGAAGAGGTTTCTTGATGGGTTCATTGTCGGTTGGGTGGTATTTGTTGAGCCAACTTACTGCCGATCAATGACGGTTTGCATCTGTAATGTTGTTGCCATGGCATCATGTGGCACAGTAACCCAGTTTCACGAGCCGCCACGGGCATTGTTGAAACTCGCGACTCTTTGAACTTCCTCATCCCAAGAAAAAGGACCTTCTTGCACACTCTGTCCATCGCCTACCATCGCCTACCATCGCCGTCGCTCAAAATTATGCAAATCTCTGCAGCTCTGACTCTCATAGTGGCCCTGTTGGGGAGCGCTGTCGTAGCGCAGCCCCCTCCTCCAACGGTCCCAAATTGCTTGCCAAATGACCTGCCGTGTTTCATGACGCAAGGTATGTTTGCACCCGCAAAGCGATACGTCAAGGACACTTGCTGACGTTGGTGACTTTTTGAACAGCTCAGTACACTATTCTCGGTACCGTCGTTGGCAATAACGCCAACACCCCACCAGGCTCGGCGCAGAATTACAATGCGACCATCGCCGTTCAATGTATTTACGCTTCCTTTGGTAATAACCGCGGCCAGGGAGGTTTTGTTGGCCAGCAAATTACCGTGACCGGCTTCGGTAACCCTAATCAAAAGTGCCCCAACAACATGGGTGCTGACGCCATCCCTAACAACTCGTCCATCTTCTTCATTTACGTGGCGAGCAGTGTACCTCAAGGTGGCTTGCCCATCTTCACTGTGTTCAATCCGTGCGGTGGAGGTATCCCATACAGTCCTCAAAACCTGCAAACCCTTGCCAATTCCTTGGCCAAGTTCCCTCAGAACGCCATCGCTGGCGCGCCGAACTGTGCACTTCCCGCTCCCGAGGCTACGGCTACTGCGCCTGCGGGAGGCGCTACCCAAACCCCAGGAGGCAACCCGCTTGCGCTTCCTGGAAGTGCTGGTTACTCAGCTGTTCCTCAGTGGACTCTATTTGGAGGCATTGCAACCATTGCACTTGCTGCGATGACAGCGCTATTTTAAAGGCGCTACTATTGGATATTGCGACCTAATTCTAATTACATGTGAATGTGCACAAAGAAATGAAAAAAGTCTCTCATTGCTAACTGTAGCTGAGTCTTCAAATTATATATTGTAATATATTGAACATAGTTTTGCTCAATAGTGGCTACAGTACGTCTAGGGTGAATATGTTCTAGTTTCTAACTTACTGAAAGAACAATTCTTTCAAAATACGCGCTGTATCTTCCGGTGAAGTGACGCTATGTCCAGTAATGTCATTATGAGTGTAGATTTCATAATCATTACCGCCCTGGAATGTCTTGTCACCGAAAAAGTGAATCGAGGCGAATTTCTCATTTTTCAGATGGTTGAGGCAGTAGGTCTTATCCCATCCGGTAGGGAACACGTCGAAAGAGATTTGCCCCCCAATAGAGTATGTCAAGCTCAGGTTCGAAAAGTTTGTCTTCAACGCTTCGACAAATTTCTCGCGGATCTTGTGTTGCTTGTCATAGACCTCGTATTCATCGCGCTCAGCATGGGAGCAGTTACGCCCGATGGGAGAAACATTGATCATGCCGTTACGGAACTCGACGAACGTGCCGCTGCGGGGATAAGGTAAGACAACCTGAGGGAAACCAGGAGAAAGATGGGTACTAACCGCTTTTTTGGAATGTCGAGCTCGGCAATGTACTTGAGAATGAAGTTGACTAGCTTCTTGTATGGTTCCTCGCCAATCCAGTTAATAAAGCTTTGAGACGCCAATTGCTGGCCACTACGGTATGCAGTCAGGCCATTCTCGGAAAAGCAAAAGTCAAAGTTTTCTAGGCCTAGAAGAGAATGCTAATGAATCAACAGTGCGTGCGAGCTCCTCTCCCATCTTGTGAATCCCAACTTACAATCGTCCCCGAGCTGTTCCTTCTGCTTGCTCAAGTCAGAGCCGCCAACGAACCCGATGACCACTTTCTTTCGCAAGTCAGCAAGGAGTTGCTTCATCTCTGGGGAAATGGTCTACATTGAAAAGGACACTATGAATATCGTGCATGGGCGAGTTATCGCAGCATTTCATGTCGCGCAAACCTTGCGGGCAGGGGTTAACGTCCCATCCACGTCAAAAAGAACCAAGGTGTTGGAAAGTGGACGTTCGCTCCAATTCGCCATCGTGTTACTCTCGTTGAAAGAAGGTGGTTAATAAAAACAAGTAAAAAAAGACCGTTGATGAAAGCGATGACAATGCAAGATGGCGATAGGAGGCGGGCGACTGTGCCAAATATGGCTGAAAGGCACGGGCACCCCCGCGATTTGTTGATTAGCAAACCTTACGCGCGATCGTGAACGTGTATCCAGGCATGCGAGACTCTAGAATTGAGCATGACAATATGGCTGCAGCATTACACTTTCCTGCAGCCAAGCTAGGACCAGGTCCTCTGGGAACCTCGGAGCAAGAAGATGTTCGTCGACAGCGCTTCCGACAGGAACTGCAAAATGACATGCAAAGCTTTCTGGCAGCCCAGGCTCAAGAAAACCCGCGGCTTCGGCGTCTGAGAAGAAGACAAAGCGAGGTGACTACGTCCATAATCGATGCAACACGCGGAGGTGCCGGAAGGAGCCAGGCGAATCATCAAGTGGAATCTGCTGAAAATACGGGGGTTTCTCATGCGAGGGACAATCAACGAGAGCGTCTACCATATCACTGTGAGGATTTCGTCGTTTATGCACGTGTTTGATCGGTAACGAACTAACGCGGTCAAAGCAGCAACACAAGGACATGAGCAAGAGCTGCGAGAGAGTCAGGGGAATAGTCATTTGCCAAACATGCACTCAACCACGTTCCCGAACGGGATGTGGCCAAGGTAGTTTCGCTGGTAAAATTAGTGTAGACAATTTGTTGAAGCTGATTTCCTTTTCTAGCAACCAACCTTCAATACTACCATTTGGTCCTTCCGGACCGTACGCATATAGTACACCGATACCCCCAATACCCGAGAATCCCCCACGCTGGAATGCTCCATGGCCAGATTCTCGGATGCATTTCGAGCGGCCTTACTATGATGAGTTCTATCGCGGCAATAACATATATGCACCATCTAGTGGCTATGGACCCGATTTGAGACTCATGCCCCCAGTTAACCCGTATGAACGGAATGGGTACGGTGATATGCGGGGACTCGGCTACCTCAACGTAAGTTTAAGATATCATTCCTAGTAAATCCGTGGTGTAATGACGTGTATCTCTCAAAGGCGGGCCCACCACAGAATGGCTTTCAACCTGAGGTACAAAGATGTAGAGTTCTGACTTGCGAGCATTCTCACCCATGAATCATCCATTGCCCTTAGCAAAGGAACCCACAACCGAGATTGGATCCGAGAGAGCAGCAAAAAAGGGGATTTTCCACACAAATGGACTCAAAATCAAATCAATACGCTGCTGCTTTAGGTACAGCCCAGCTTTTGTTGCCACACGATACCAGGCATCCTTAACTTGAATATATCCAGAACGCCAGATGGCGGAAAGGAGACATGCTGAAGACCAGGAGCGAGCATTTCGACGTCAACCCGGCTATAGCTTAGGGGTAAGTGTACAGTAGTAGCGTAAATACTGTGCGCTGTCCTAAAGTTTTGGCTATCTAGGGCAACCCACTCATTGGAGAGCATACCACCTCCTCTGTCGGTGTACGTGCCCGAGGGTTAGGGAACCCGTTGCCACCTGCTTCTGCTCAACCGCCGGACCAGAGCACCCGACAAAGGAGAACATCGGTAGGTTACAGCTGTGAAGAGGATTTGATACGTACTGGAATCTGAAAAAGCTGCCGTTTTAAGAAATCTGAGTACCTACGAGACCTAGGTTGGTTGCGCACGCTGTACTCAAGGTTTTCAAGGATCTCACATTATATCCTCATGAAATTCTGTCCTACAAGAAAATCAGATACAACAGAAGAGAGACAGGCTTGAATCGGAAAAGACATTTTGGAAATCCCAGGATGAAAAGGTACAATTGTACCACATTTGGGGTCAATAACAGGGATCTCAAGCCCTGCCTTCTCTCCACGGAAGCTAGAAAGATCGAGAAATTGCAGAATACAATCCGTGGGGCCGTGCTGGGGCCGGAGCTCCATTGAGGAAACCAGATGTTGTGGTTGATGAGCGACTGGTAATATGCGCCGCCGTTTGGCCAAGTGAATGCAGCTGTTTATGCGTGCTTGTCATAGGGTCAATTGGGTACCAGCGGATTTCAACAACGCCAGCTAGTGCAGCTACAAAATGGCTTGGGAGCTTCACATGTGCTACAAGAGGGTGGGAATACATTTCTGGATCCCGGAAAAAGCACGACCGTTGGATTCGCCGCGAATCCATCGACCGGGTAGTTATCAGCCTGCTATGAGCCTGACTGCATGTCCAATTTCACTGACTCTTTAACTCCAAGGCCGCCGTTATTTGCAAGTCAGCAATCTCCCCTGCCGCCTATTCCTGGTAAAGGTTAGATCTTGGTCTATCGGTGTATGTGGCTTTAGACACTGTTGTAACCGTCTATGTCGTAAACCTTAGAGAAGAGCTTCCAAAGAGGTCAGCGCAACATAGAGGGAATGTCAGCCACGGAAAGAGAGGAGCTGATACGTAAGCAACAAATTCAGCAGAATCATCAGGTATGGTCCAATAGTATGAGTAAAGGTAATTGGCAGCAATTAATGCAAACACCTATCAAGGAGGCGCTGCGACGACAGGTGGCAGAGCGAGACGCAGAGAAAGCGAGGCAAGCAGCAGAGCGGAAGGCGGAGGAAGAGCGGGAACAAGCACGTATTCTTAAGGAACAGGAGGAGCTGAAGCTGAGGTATGCCAAGGAGCAGGAAGAAGCTCGAAAGAAAGAGGTAGTGACGCGCGTCCGTTTCAATTGTCTTGTTTTCAAGATGCTGTAACATCCTATCACTAGGAGGAAGCACGTTTAGAGAACGAGAAAAAAGCGGCTGAACGGGCGGCTGAGCAGGAACGAAGGGAGCGAGCTTTTAAGGAAGCTCATTTAGCCGCTCAAGCCAGTAAAGTAGGAAAAAGAACAATGAAGAGCCCTGTGCCAACTCCAGAAAGTTAGTCGCGCAACCGCCCAATTACACCACAGATATTTTTCGTGCCTCACCAAGGTCCTTTTGCAAATAGCATCCAATAGAGTATCAGCAGCCCCAGTTCGCTCAGAGTCTCCTCCCATACCAACTCTCCGCAATAAGGGGTTTGGATCCAATCCGGACAATGTAAGCGCAGTGCCTGCGGAACCAGCCGAACCGCCTCCGACTTTTCGTACGAACTCTCCCCCGATACCCACTTTACGAGGTCACGCAACAGCATCAAACATGGCGGAAGAATCAATCCATTCGATCGGCCCGCCAGCCACCACACCAGTAGCACAGGAACCAGACCAACAGATGGTATGGGCTCCCAAAACGGAAAGACAACCCAGAACGAAAAGTGGTGGAAAGGAGAAAGAGAAGGTAGAATCGCTCAATGCTAGACGCCGAAAGTGATATCATTAGGATGATGGTAGCGGAATAGACCATTGACTGAGATATTTTATATTCAAGCTGGTGGTGCAAAACGAAACTTCGGAGACTAAAGCTGTCTTGGACCAACTGATTGCCATTCAGCAGGTTGTAACTAACATTATACCTAGAGTTGGTCTCAGCGTATTGACTACTGGTTGATGCATAAACAAATAGGAACTAGAACGTGAAGACCGAGCTATCCAGTCTCAGCTCCATTCATCAGATCAGGTGTTCAGCATAGATAATACCAAGCAAACAGTATCGCAAGATTTGCCCACAGGACATGGCATAACTTCATCCTTGAGAACTACGCAAACTCCAGGTAAGACTGCTTATAATTCCCTGTCGTTCGAATACTTAGGTATTGCCATGTGTTCCCAGAATACTCCGCCTCGGATTCCATACCACCTGCGAAGAGTGAGGATAACCTCTCACGACATCAAGCATCGCGGCGAAATAGTGCAAGTAAAATCCATACGCGAAACAAAAGTCAGCGCTTCGACTCGTTTCAGGATAAGAGACCTTCATCACGAGACGACGGGCAAATGTTTGCCAAACCATCGTGGGTGAAAAGCTTTCGGGAAAGTCATCTGTTAGCGTGGATTTTAAGCCTTTTTTTTACCCGATAGTATCCTAGCCCAACAACGAGCATACTTGGAACAACAGGATAAAGAGTTGCGGCGACTCCGAGAGGGCCAAAACGCATTCTTAGTGAATGAAAACTCAGCTCGTGAAATGTCACCAACAGTAGAGCAAAAAGGAACGGAAGCTGACAATTTGGTCGTGAGTACCGCTGCTGATCGAGAGCGGAGGAAGCTGATGATCGAACAGTTTCTCAGAGACGGAGAAGCCGATGAGCGGTGAGTTATATACCATCGACCAACGGAAGACGTTAGCATGCGTTTTAACCACCGATTCACAGACGAACAAGAGCAAGGAAAGCAGATGATCGAACGTATTCTGCCGACATTGTAAGTTCATTTGATGCCAATGGATCAACCTCGTGGTATAGCCAATGCATCTCGATCTCATTGTGATATTTAGGACAACGCTTTGCAGTCAGATAGCAAACTCGTGTTTCTACGGAACGGTGGCCGGTAGGTTTTCATGTTGAGCTTGGATGTACAACACCAATTGGCTGATACGAACTTGGACTCGTCAAAAGGAACGGGCCGATAGATCAGCAGAACAGTAAATTACAAAAAGACGTGACGATACAGTCCCGCGCAGAGTTTGGTGTCTCGTATGTATTCTGTATGTCCCGCTTGTATAGCAGTGGTGATATCTAACCCCTCGTGACATTGAGAAGAAACGATAACAGACTTGGTAAGTGTTTTACCTCTTGCAGAAAGATGGATAGCGGGCCAATCTAAATGAACCCAAAGGTATAAATGACGATGATCCAGCAAGTCAAGTAGAAATAGTAGAACAAAGGAACGAGGCTCGCCTCAAAGGTCTCGCGGAATTGCAAGCGGCCCGTGAACGTAGGAAGTGCAACGGAGATGAAAGCGACATCATCTTGTCCTTCCTGAAGAGGGTAAGGGACACTGGATTTGAACTTGACGAATGGTCCCGTTACTTCCAAGCCGGCTGGGTCACTGATTGATTTGCGTCCTAGGAGGAAAAACGCAGGCCGCGCAGCGGCCGTTTACGTGAAAGGGAAGGTAGCATTCCTGCATCGTCTTCGACATATAAAAATTTAGAGATAGGGCGAGCAGGATTAAGTCTTTTCCCGAACGTATGAATTTGAAAATAAAGATAATTTTATGTGGCTGGCAAGCTCTAGATGTGTACCCTAGGCTCATAAACAGGAAACCTCATGAGGCATCGACTTTACATATCCAACATTTCTATCGGCTGGGTTGGCGCCCAGCTGTATTCTATCGGTTACCAAGGTCGTATCGGGACAGCTTTTTTGCAAGCTTCGCATCGAGCGGAACAGATTCGGCAATGGTGAACATGGAGTACTTCTTGTCATCGGTCACCTCTTCCATGTCCAACCAGTCCGGCAATCGATCCTTAATTGCATCTGAAGAAGTAGACGCAGATGGCCCATGGAAGTCAAAGTCTAGATACGTTTCAAGAAGGGTAATTCCAGAACCAGGATGTAGGTATACGTCGAGCTGAAAGTAACGGTCGTTGTGGAGGAAACAGCGGCGCTTCTTTGATATGATTGCTCGGCTCGGATCGGCTTGAGCCCGAAGAGCCTCGTACTCTCGAGGTGTCAAGTTTCGTCGCGTCTCGACTCGCTGCCCATCGACCTTGACATGGTACTGTTAATCAAGGAACCTAATATCGATCTCAACATGTGTGGTACCTCTGGATGGCGGATGGTCATGCTCAGGTGCACTTCGTTGGACCCAATTTCCTCGCGTCTAAGGTGTTTCCAAAGGGAACATCGTACGCTTTAGCCAATGGAGTTTAGCCGGCGGTCGACCTAGCAGTATACCTTCGTATTCGAATCTGCATCCCGTCTCCCGAAGTATTCACCAAGTAGATATCTAATGGTGCACGAATCCGAATAAATGAATAATGCCATCGCAATGCTTTCAGCAGGACATTGTGTACGTACGCTCCACATTGAAGTCACGGTAGGACACAGGAAATGGCTCATCCAAGGCAAAATTATTGACCAGAAACTTGTGCTTTCGAACATGTTTCCCGTAGCGGCCAACATCTGCCACCAGCCCTAACCGGGTTAGCACTGCTTGAACCACCCGATCGCACTTTTCCGCAAAGTTGCTGACGGACGTATTGTCAATAACCTGAAGGGACGCATGTCCTAACGGATAACGGGAGAGTCAGCATATGACGCTGGACCACCGAGACGGTAACCAACCTAGCCACGCATTCATGACAGTAGCATCCAATTCACGGGCAGCATCCAGCCCTTCGGACCTCGCCCGGTTATTCTCCAACGTGTAGAAAGCCTCTGCACCTTTCGCGGCGGAAACAAGATGAATGACACAGTCATAGCGATTATCTCGTATGGCCACTTCATCCAAATTCAGTTCCTTCAGCATTTGCAGCCACGCTGTCCGCGACATGTATGCGGAAGGATCCATTGCACCTCGATCTAAAACTCATCAGCTACAGCTTCCGACAACAAAGTTGTTCCCAAAGCATACCACAGATAACAACAGTCTTCTGCCCGCGTTCCCCGTTCAGTTTGGCAAGCTATGAAGACAGGTTGAGTAACGCTACCGAAAGCAAAACTGAATGATGCAATCCCGGAGCCATACTTCAATGTATGTATTCTCGATTGTAAGCATTGTTTGGAGGAGACTCTTTTGAAAGCTGTACGCTTGAGCGTCGTTCAATTCACTAAACTGCACGCCACCGTTCAGCAACGTCGTCGCAGTTTCTGGGACACGAAAGACTTTCCATCCAAGGCTCTGGAACAAACTATGAAGAGAGAAATGGAGCGTTCCACGGTTAAGTCACTTCTGGCGACCATGAAGGATCCCCAGGGAAAACATACTTACTCCCCAAGTATCTAAATATACGGCGCAGAAGGAGCAGAGCAGTGAGCAACAGAGCCACCAAGTTGAAAAAGCCAGAGATAGCATACCGCAAGTGAGGAAGTCTTGCCGCCGCAAGGTCCTTTGAAATAACAATGAGCACTGGGAGTTCAGCAGCACTAACTGGAACAACGCATACCTCCAGTTAAACAAATGACCTTGAACGGAGCAGTTGCAGAATCGCCGATCGGGCTCTCGTTGGGAGACATTGCGTTGGAAAGTGCAAGTGCTTCGGCCACCAGAGTTGGACTTGGAGATCCCGCAATGTGGCTGGCTTCTTGTTTCGGAGTTTTGTGCGGTGCACCCCTCACGCGAGAAGGGATGTTACCTGTTCAGCCTGATAATTAGATGCGTGCAAGGTTAAGCTTATGCTTGTTTAGCGCACCCATGTCCGGCTCTGAACGAAAAAAGTTCAGGGAAGCGGAGCCCTGAAAGCCACGATCGAGGACTTCTAAATAATTCGAGTCGCGTTTTTGCTGGGAGGAGGCGATCTCTTCATTTCAAAAGAGCATGTTCTTGGACCTCAACGTCCCTTACCCTAGCCATGGAGGCGACCTCGCAGAGCTGAAGAAAACCGTCAGCCTGTTGCGCGAGCGTGAGTTGTCAGAATGTCGCTGGTCATTGTGTATTGTGTATGTTGGTTCTTCTAACATGCACTGTCGTCAGTGGGATACCAGGGGGTAGCTTACAATTTTATGGCCTCTGGAAAAGAAGCAGCCAACAAGGTGACCTCCAGTGCTTCTGGTCCCATCACAAAGCTCAAACTAACCCTCCGGTGAAGACCAACCCAATAAAGATTCTCGATCTCTCGGAACTTGGTGGACACGGCGGGGTGAAGAATTCAGCATCAGACTTGCCTTCCGTTTTATCCGCTAGTCGAACTACTGCAAAGGAATTTCAGCAGTTGTCTCGGTTAACTGTTATTTTGGAGGACATCAGCGCAAATTACCAACTGGTGAGCTTAATATTTGTGATCCAAAAGTCGTGTTCTAGCTGACATCTCATGATGTATCCCAGACTGTTAATAATCCCAATGTCGCCTCATACGATCTGATTGCTGTACAGCCCACGAACGAAAAACTATTTCTTGCTGCATGTAGTTCGTTGGAAATTGATATTATAAGCCTTGATATGGGCAGTCGACTCCCATTCTACATAAAACAACCGATGGTTAACCTGGCACTACAACGTGGACTGTTTTTCGAAATATCATATGGCGGCGCCATTCGGGGTGATTACGATATTCCACGGGAATTAAGAGGAACACTGAGGATCGGCTGATGCCAGAGTATAATTTGTAGATGCCAGCGCGCGACGACACTTGATTCGGAACGCAGCATCTCTTATCCGCGCAACAAAGGGGAAGAACGTGATAATAACGAGCGAAGCACAGAAAGATTTGGAATTGCGCGGGCCGTATGATGTGATAAATCTGTAGGTTGGCCTGCGAGACACCCACATCTGAAATTGGACATTAACTTTCCACTGCTGCATCTCAGCGCATCTATCTTCAGCTTGAATCAAGCGTTAGCCAAGAACAGCATTAGCGCAAATTGCCGTGCAGTTCTATATCGATCCGGTATGCGGCTGGCTCCTGGATATAGTGGCTGTGCATAAACTGACTTCTGTTGCTAGCCACGAGAAGGCAAACGAATCGCGGAGTTCTGTCCGTCGAGCCATCAGCAAACTTGGCAGAAAGTAATAAATGGAAGGAGGGTATTCTAGATGACACAGATGAGGGAGAAGATGCAATGGACGAGACCTAGGTGAATTTGTATATAGCACACAATGCCAAATAAACATGTCCATTCAGCCTTTCACCCTATGACAATAACCTATTGTCCGGCTTTTTCGTGTTGCAAGTGATGCTTGACAGTTGATGGCGCGACACCAAAATCATCCGAGACTGGGATGTTATACTGAGCGGGACAATACGTTAGCGAAGCACACGCTTCAAAGCGCTGGACTTTCGTTGACTTACTTCGACGCAAATGGCACGTTGCAAGGCTGCGTGATGTATAGCGTGGTGGCAAACCTGCAGTACAAATTAGCATAAGCTACTGGCAATGACCAGAACGGTGCCGTCCTGATACGTACAAACCAGAGCTCTCGCCCAAAACTGGAGCTGAAAGGAACGTCGTGCTTGCGTGGATTCAGCGTTGCTTCCAGGGCAATATGTGTGTCCAGGCGCATTTTGGAAGCGGCTACTCGAAGTAGTGATTGCCGTATTTCTTCAATAGAGGCAAGGGCTGCATACGGATCCTGTTCCACTTGGGGCTAAAACTGCTATTCATCCTGGATCCAGTAGCATGTTGTCGACATGATCACTTACGTCGCGTTGTCGTTCATCGTAGTTCACCTTTATAGCACCCCGGGCGCCGTCCACTATTTCCGTTCCATTCTCCGGTGAGTCACCATCATGTATGCCCTGTGCTTGCTTGACTTGACGTACAGCTTCCGCTTGATTACTCGTCTCTGTCAACAGTATCCGGAAATGATCGAGAACATGTCGAACATGCTACAAGCCAGTCGTTAGCTTTTGTGCCTACTTATATCGTACGATCGCAAAAGACTCTACCTTGCCAATTGTTGATCCCGGCACGTATGTTGATATAGCCGTATACGACCGCAAGTTTTCCGCTGCAAGTGCGTTCAAGAAGTCTGTGTATTGCCGAAGCAAGCGAAGGGCAGCATCGTATACCTCTGCTGCAACCTCTTTCTCAGAATCAAAAGGTACCGTGTCGCTCATTGGTCTTCCAATACTGTTTGGCACGAAGAAAGTGAACGAACTAAACTGGCGCTAGTGTTGATGGTGTGCGGTGAGGCGGTGGGGAGTTTATGGGAGGCGAGGAACTCGCGCTGATGACGATCATTCATGTCAGGTGAGCGCGTTAGTCACGTGCGTTGCTTACCAAAGCTCATCAAGTAAGCGGTCTTCCTGTACCTGTTCGCACCTCACAGTGAAGGACTGGCGACGAAGCAAATTGGATGATGAACGATCCACAGGTGTGAAATTAATAGTAATAGACAAGAGGCAAAGAGACTCAAAGGTCGTTGATATATCTCCCGTACTTTTTTCTTAGAAAGGAAACGTGTGGGGGGCACCACCAGTGCCGGTTGGCGTTACTGCTCTCGAGCCCAACACAAGCGCTCCTAAACCAATTTCCCCATTCGCACGAAGTAGTAATCAAACGGCAGCCCCTCCGACTATTCCATCATTCTCAAGGAACCCTTCTATTGGTTCTGAAGGTGATTTCAAAGGGGAGCCGCCGAGACCGCCGCCTTGGGCGTCCATGGGGACATCCACTGAGCTACGTATTGGAATACCTCGTTCAAACTCCGGTCTTCCACCTCGGATACAGGCGCTAGATGATAATACAAGATCAATTGCAAATGCAGCAAGTCCTCGCTCTCCATTTGACAAATGCAGCAGTGTATCCCCAACGTCACCGTTTGATACGAGTATCCCCAGCGAAGGGAATTCACCCCGTTCTCCTTTTCCGCGAAAGCAAGAAGAGGTCGTCCAAAGTCCTATTGAAGCGGCTCGAATATTTTTCGGGGAAAATAAACCTTCCCCTGCACCACCACTGCTCCGACAGGTCACACCCCTACCGCAGGATCAACCTCAGCGGATGGTTGTGGTTCAGCCAAAAACATTAGTTAGGCATGCAGTACCTAGTGCAGTAGGGGTACAACAAGCTAATGCAACCGGCGTAAGGCAAGCAGTTGTCGTATCGAATACATCAGACGCCGTACGGACAGCTCCTGTCATGCAAGGTGCAACCGGGCCTGGGAGGGATACAGTTGGTATGCGTATCATCGGTGGCCTGCACTTGTCCAGAAATGCACTAATATGTGCATGAACTATAGTACCCGCTCTAGCACCAGGTCAACGACCAGCAAAGCCGATGAGCGCAGCCGCAGCACAGGGACTGGTTGAAAGCAGACGTCGAGCAGCGTCATCAGGTATATTACCGTAAAAACTTACTGCGTCCACGCCTGAGACTAATACATTATAATGTACTATAGCATCTATGACGCCACCATCCGATACGCTGCTCAATCTCTTCTCTTCGTCGGCCGCCACCACAACCGCTCATAATCCCATGACTCGGTCCTCCTCCACGCCCAAAGTTTCCTCCTTGTCCCCATCATCTACCGTCCGTTCATTCGAGTCACCCAAGATGACTTCGCGAAGGCCATCGGGCTCCCTCCCTGATCTCCGCCAACCTAAAAAGGACATCGATAAAGCAACAGATGACATGTGTACAGATCTTACGGTAACATGTTTTCCAAGCTCTTCAAGTGGCCTGTTTCCTACAGATTTTGATTGGGACAGTGAAGGTACGTGGTGCGCCAAAGCATATTGTAATACCACACAGCATATGAACGTCTGCGGTTTTCCAGAATTTGACGACCCGAAATACGTCATCTTTCGAAAAGCAATGCTGGAAACCTTCCAGATGCAAGTGGATTACCCGCTTCTAATGCCTCCTGACTTGACGGGAATGCTCCTACAAGAATTCTGAAACTGATTGCTTTGTCGCTGTTATATCTATACATGTATTTTTTGAAATATGGTTGCAAAACACGTGTGCGCCTATTTGTGGTTATTTAGCCATTATAACACCGAGAGAGAGTAACCTCAAGGTGCAGTAGAAATATATTGTCTGCATTACAAATAATGAATGAGGCTCCACGCCAACGCGCAGGAAATATACCAAGGGAGTACTTAATAATCGGATTCAGATGAGCGATGAGTTGCGATTGAAAACCGTCTGTTAATAAGCAAATATCCAGTCAGTATGAAGTGATGGGATGTTTCAAGTTTGCTGCCTCTAACCTGCTGCTGGTTGGGAGTAGGCTGGTATCCACCAAATGAGTTATCCATTCCTCCACTCCCTGTTGGAGCGAAAGGATTGAAAGCAGGTCGAGTTTGTGCTGATGTCGAACCCAGAGGTGCACCAGTTTGCGTAAATGGATTGAACGCCGGCGTGCTAGTGCTAAAACTTGGGTTCCCTATCACGCCAACATTCCCGAGAGCACCCATTCCCACCGCTCCAGTTGTACTTCCGCCAATCGGGTAAGAACTCTTTTGTGTCGCGGCAGATGTTGAGAGTAGATTGCTGCCACTGTTTCCAAACATATTAATAGACCCAGGCATGCTGGTGGTTGCTACGTAATTGGACTGCCCTAGTACGGGATTGCTCAACTGCGGTTGGAGTAACGCTGGTCTCACGGTCGGTTGCTGCAAACTGCCCATTGTGGACGATGGCGGACCGAACGGGTTGTGCGGGGAAGTCTGACTGATGATGCCGACTGGACGGCTCAGATTGAAGGGATCGAGGGTTGGATTTTGAGACTTTTGCTGAATGACCGTAAGACTAGCAAATGGGTCGGAACTGCTCCGGTTGGGTTGAGATGTTTGTGCAGCGCCGAACGCGCTACCCAGACCCTGACTGGATTGTCCCATTCCGGTATTAGCAAACACATTCGGGTTCCCAAATACATTTTCCACTGTGAACGCGTTGTCGTCTGCTTGTTGCGACTGAGATGCCCCAAAGGGGGAAGCGCTGGACTGTAGCAATGGGAAAGATTGATTCCCCAGTACCAACTGATTAGATGGAGCTGGCTGTGTAAGCGTCGAAAGGCCCGCTTGTAAGAGGGCCAGCTGATTATTGATGTCCTGTGTTTGCTTTTGAAGTTCCTGTTGTTTGACCGCAAAGGGGTTGGTGTCATGATGTCCCCCAGGTGCAAACGGGTTGCTCGCGCTATTTGGTACCCAAAAGGACCCGAATGCATCCGAAGTATCATACTGTGCTTGGACTGATGGCGAATTGAGGGCATTTAGCTCCTCATCTAAGCTCGAAAAGAAGTCGATTCCGGGTTCTTCCTGCTTTTTGGGAGCGACTGTGTTTTGCGGCTCCCTTGTCCCTTCCGACATGAAACAAGTGGTTACGACTGATGCAGCGCTTTTTTTAGGCATGGAAAAGATTACCTGCGGGCTTAGATGTATCTGAATTTTTATTTGCCTTCTTCTCCTTATATGCTAGACGCTGGGCTTCAAAGTCCGGTGCTTTCAAATATTCCTCTAATGCACCTGCCAAAGAAATCGGTGCCTATCAAGAATTTTATCAGTCATACGTTGAATATACCGCCAAGTAAGGGAAAGCTGAGAGTCTTACATGCTTGAAATCCGGGACTTCCAGGCCAAGCGCATGTCTCAATCTTCTGGCAATGTCAAAAAACTCGACAGTTTTCGTGGTTTGAGTGGCAAAGTTTTTATAGATCTGCAATGCTCGAGTAGCATCGGATTTTGACATCTCAAAATATTCACCTAGCACCAGAGGAGAGTTAATCAACTAAAACCTTGCAGTGAATCTAGAGGCTCGCGCATACTTAGTATGCGAATAACAGCTTCGTTCAGCAGATGGAACAAAGCCATCATATCACCGATAAGTAGCCTGAACGCCTGAAGTGTCACGACATTGTCGATCTCTTCCAAATAAAACTAAAAGGAGAATTGACAAATCAGCCTCTTAAATGGGGTTTGCGCTTAACGAATTTGCATATGCTTACTGTACAGCTTAACAAGGCATTGATTTGCCTTTGGAGCAGCTCCACTTCTTTGAGCAGGCCCTCTTCAACCGGCAAGGAGCGAAGACGCGCAATGATTTCTGGCTTCGATCGGACAAAGTCCACTTTGATCTCTCGATATCCAACAACCTTCTCTTCAAGATACAATGCATATGCGCGAAGATTCTTAGATTGCTGATATCCTATAGATCTCGGGTGAGTGTGTTTGGGAAACCGTGAAGGTAAGCGGTACATACCAACTGGAGAATTTGTTCGATCCCGAAAGTTTGACATATTCAACATGCCAGGGTTGCTAGCAACGAATCCAATCACTCGGTCTGTTGCCCCTTCTCGCATCAGTATATGGACCGTGATCAACGCTTTAAACGCAATCTGCCATACAGGATCAAATTTCACGCTCAGAATTTTTACGATACCATAATATCGCAAACGATCAGAGAAGGGGAAACGTTTGAGCAACTCACCACCCAGTGGTTTTCCCTCAATCTGTGATTGATGCAACGAAATAGCTCGGAAATTGGTATCTCTCGCTGCCATGAGGCGCCGGTGAGGACTGTTGAACGAAAATGCAGCGAGAGAGTGCACCGCGTTAGTAAGTGCTTTCACATAACCGCAGGAGGAGCACCACAGTCAGGCAACCAGCGTAACCCTCCCAAGCTACGGAATACATCATAAAATGTGCTCTCGTTTTTCAACCATATGAATTCCACCGGTCGACTGATTTGCAAACACTCGTGTAGGCAACTTACTCTGCACATGCTTTGGTTTAAGCGGCTTGACCTTTTTAGAAGTCAGCTTATTCACAGATCTCTCCATCGTGGTGCCTGTCGGTTACGTGGCAGTCGAGATGTCCCTGCGGTGGATCAACCGTTTGCAAGCTGCAGAGTTGAACACCACGAGCCGTCAAGTTTGTTTACTCCGCCCCTCTACGTAAAATTGCCGGTCGAACGCGTCGGGCATTTGCAAGGATCATTGATCGTAAACAAAGCACACTCCCGCAAACGCCGACCTTGAAGTAAGCGAAGAATACGCACAGGCAAGCTTTGAACAGGTCCAAATAATCTGCTTTGTGACTTGCAAAGATAGCAGACTCATGGATCTTAAAATGCAGCGGAATTACGCTTTATGTAAAATATTGATTGGAAATATTGATTGGAATTTGAAAAATGAGAATATCATGCGGTCGAGGCTCTGGCTCTTTCTTTTCTCCCTATACCCTTCCCAATCACTTTTCCTCCATTCAGCCGGAAATTCACCTCATCCACCTCCACCAACCCTTGGCAGGTCAATAACCTCCACCCTCTCCCAGTCTTTTCCACCAGCTGCTCATTTACATTTTTGCACTGGCTAACGTTCAGCATCCGTAGACGACGTGCGTACCTTGCTAGATAGGTAATTCCCTTCTCTGTCACCTGTACGCAGCCGCGAATGCTTAATCGCTCCAAACATCGGAGACCTCGTGCTAGGACACCGAGGCTTGTGTCTGTGACCGCCGTTCCACAGAAGGACATGTCCAGTGCCCGGAGATGCGGGCAACCAGCAGAAAGATGCTCAGCAAAATCCTCAGTCACAGCACAGCAAAATGAAAGGGAAAGTATTTGAAGATTGTGGCAGCTGGCAGCGATGGCAGCTACAGTGGCATCAGTTAGGAACGAGCAGTCGCTCAGAATGAGCTCTTGCAGTGCGAAGGAAGAGGCCGTAACTTGATGAAATGATGACGACAGCGTTCTTGGCGGGCCAGCTATATAGAATGGATCACCCTTATCAATGTCCATAAAGTCATCTTCAGCATAACTTTCCTCCTCAATCTCTTCTGCAATCTGTGTCACAGGACCCGCTCCAAGAGTCGCTGTAAACTCATCAGCCTCGGGGACAGTTTGGGTCGAGACTTGCTCCGGGTCGGGTTCAGCAGCCTGCGAGGCCCACCTACTGAATCCCGCATCAAATATGCCGGTGCTATTGTTTGCGTGCACAAGAAACGTAAGAACCAAGTCGTCCGCGGATGTTGTCCGCTGCCAGCTTACCATCGTTGCATATTCACCCTTCTTACTGTTTTCCACCGAGAATGTCCCAAAATTGCATCGGTAAGGTTCTTACAATAAGAAAGCGTGAGAGTGTCTATATTGCTGCAGGCATCCAGCATGCTCGATATCCCTGCATCACTCAATTTCCGGCAGTTGCTGAGATCAAGATCCTTAAGATGCGAGCACATTCTTGCCATACTCGCGATCCCCCCGTCGGTAATATCCCACACACTGGCTAAACACAATGTTTCCAGGCCATCTGCTGCGTAATGAGCTATCGCAGCCAACCCTTTGTCCGTCACTCCCCAGCAGTTGCGCAAGCTCAAACTCCGCACCGTCTGACCGCAGAAGCAGACAATGTCCGATATAACCTTGTCATCAATGCGCTTATGCCACGGGCTAAGGTCTACGACCGTGGTAAGCATCATTCGCGGGTCCAGGAGAAGTCTGAGAATGTGCATGCTGCAAAGTCGAACGCGCATTCGTTGACGAAAGTCGAGATGGCTGAGAATCCTTGCCATGAGATCACGGCCAAACACACCGAATTCGCGAATTTCAGTAACTGGCGGGGTCGTGAAGGTCTTTCTTAGGGCTAGCTCCGACGCAGCACGATGTAGATTGGATGGAACGGCTACCGTATGCTTTTCTTTTCCTTGTTCGTACTTTTCACTGGCGCTCTGGGCGAATTGCATCAACCTGTCATCCGACCACACTGCGACAGATGCACGTCGTCGTCCACCATGGCGCGCAGCAAAATTTGCTGCAGGGGAAGATAGACCAGCGCTGTCGGAGGTGGGAGAAAGCGGCACGCCACTACTGGGTGGCGGAGATCCTGCATCCACAGAAATCGCTAGTGCTGATGTTGTAAAATCGTCAGATGAGGTCCGACCTGGTGTAGGGATAGCCTCTGCTGGTAATTGATTATATAGTTTTGTCTCCTCCGATGTTCGCCGCGAGGCTACTCGAGACGCTGAAAGCTCGCGTAAGGATCCATGTGACGACTCCTATAAACTCCTGGGTTAGGAATCCTTCCCTAGAAGTTACAGCATCACCACTTCATACCTTTCGCATCTCGTGAGATTTATCACACAATTCCGAGCGCCTCCTTCGACCCGCCTTTTCCATTTCGCGTTTGAGTTGCTCATATCGCTCATTTGCTTGAGTCCGCAAAATGGTATTAATTTGCGGGTATCGCACCAGTTTATGATCGAGGTCGTCAGAGGTCAGAACAGCTAGTGTGCATTTTGTTTTCGCAGTGACGGTGGCCGTCCGGTTGATGTTAAAAAGAACCCCAATTTCGCCAACTACAAGAATATGTTTAGTGTCATACCATCTGCGTTGATTGCCAGGAGATGGAGGAACACCTTTGAGAACATACAGTAGCTTCCTGGTCTGAGTTCCGCGAAATTTATTTCTCCGTCTTCGCTTATCACCTTAACGATACCTGGCGAACCGTATAATTGGTCAAGGCAAAGCACAAAAGCTAAAGGTTCAGGACATACTGAAAAACATACCTTTTATCACAAAAAACATTGCTCGCGCCTTTTCACCTTCCTGAATCATGACGTCGCCGGGTGAGAAGTGACGGATGTGCATCACTTGGCTGATATCCTTGAGAAACTCATCAATCCCAGCAATTTCGCTTGCGTCTCGATCACGAGGAAAGAAGGGAAGATTCCATAGAATATTTTGCAGATCCGACGGCAGGTCTGAAAGCTGATCTGCAAATGGGAGCAAGCAGACATTGGATAGGGAATCGGATATAGACAAGGGAGAAGCGCTTTCAGGAATGACTGGAGGAGATCCAGAAAGAGTGGCTGAAAAATGCGGCGGAAGACTTAATTAGCCATTATCTACAGCTCTTTCCGTCGACATTAAGCACCACGGAAGCAGAAGCGTCGGATGATAACCCAAAAGGCTTCGACCCAAACCATTCCACCATTAACGCACTGACACTATGCCTTCACTGACAATCTGCTTTTGAATAGCGCAACCAGTTTTGGCCCAACACTAGCAGGCACTTTTGACGGCCCTACCAACCTGAGTCTTGCCGGATCCCTTTAGGCGAACTGCTTTGCAGCATGGGGTGGAGCAGGGTCATCGCGGAGGGCATTGGATGAGCCGTCATTTGGAGCTGTAGACCATTAGTACTGCTTTCTTGTTGTCGTCTACCGGCTTCAACGTGCGCAGGGTACGTGGTGGAAACAAGGTAATTTGCTCAAGTAAAGTTGCTCATCCTTTGAGCATACTTCGTACGGCGTTATTATCGACGCGACCGTGCATCATGATGCCGTAATCCATAAAGCCACATGCTAAGCGTTATCAACGCCAAACGCGGTTTTACCCACCGCGTGCACTTCCGGTCCCAGCCAGCTCTCTCCTCCTTGTTGCCGAAACCTACGTGGAATGATGCCAGCCGCTCTGCAAAAGGTCAGTTTCCGATATACCCAGCGGGTGAGCATGGGCTCCTACTACTACGTGGACGTTGCATACCACACGCACTGGAATGCCCCTCACGGCACCGACTGGTTTTCAGTCGCTGTGGGGACGTCGCATACCGAAGGCGGAATGCCCCTCATGGCACCGGCTGTTTTCAGTCGCTGTGGGGACGTCGCATACCGCTGGCGGGGTGGAATGCCCCCGTACAGATGTTTGGAGAGTACGGGAGACCAGCCCGGCATTGCCATGATTCAGCCTCACGGCTCATGTAACTTTGTCGCTAAGGACTCGACTACTCTCCAGCAGCCCGCATCGCAGCGCCCTACTACTACGTGGACGTTGCATACCACACGCGCTGGAATGCCCCTCATGGCACCGACTGGTTTTCAGTCGCTGTGGGGAAGTCGCATACCGGAGGTCGGAATGCCCTGCACCGCATCGGCTGTTTTCAGTTGCTGTGGGGACGTCGCATACCGCTGGCGGGGTGAAATGCCCCCGTACTGATGTTAGGAGAGTACGGGAGACCAGCCCGACATTGCGATGATTCAGCCTCACGGCTCATGTAACTTTGTCGCTAAGGACTCGACTACTCTCCTGCGTTGCTGTGTTTGCTTTGTGCTATGCCTGCTGGGTAGAGCAGCCATTCTGGAGTCGAGATTTTTGCACTAACCCACGATACTGTTAGGGTTGCGACAAGTTGCTGCCAACAGCCATACAGAGAAGGAGCTCAGAGTGTAAGGTCAAGTGAAAGCTGATTTCTCGCCATGTACATCCAAAGGATGAGACGGGCTAAAGGTACTCTTGATAAATGGTCGTTTTTCAAATAGCCAAAATATAAATCGTGTGCATTTGCGGCTCTATGACCTTTGAACGATCACTCACATCCCACGTCGTAATTAAAACACACCTCAAGTCAAGGACCCATAAACTGCTATCTATAATAAAGTCGGTGAGGCTGAGAAGATACCGATGATCGCTAGCCTGAGCGTCAAGAAACTTGGATTTGCAAAAGTTCAGAATCACTCAATGCAGGTGGCTGGTATATTCACATTGCCTGTTATGGACTGATGCCCAAATTTGGGCAAATGGATTCAGATCGTCCAAAAGTCCCAAACTTGAAAGACTTTTGGGACCATTGCGTTGGAAGATTGCAAGAGTACAGCATGTCTACAGTCAAGGTAATGGGGTGGACCCTCGGTCCTGTTAGAATTCTTTCGAATCGGGCATTTCTGTTGCGTCGCCTCCGCCTACCTGCCCGACAGCTGACCAGGCCTTTTTCTGTATGTCGATCTGGTGCACAGAAAGTTATAACAACCCATAGTGGCAGGTTGGTACTGGAAGCCCCCTCTTCTCTCACACAATGCTCACATGTATCGGTTGTTCTACCAGCTTTCATGCCGATGAGTCTTTGGCAATTTCCATGCTCAGGTAGGCTATAAGGAGAGGCGAACCTGTCACCGATAGATCACCTGCCGTCATGCCCATTACGGTACTAATGATACCATTGCAGGCTGATACCTGAATATGCGGATGCAGGTGTGCTAGGTAGAACTTTATCATCTTATCATCTTCAGGTAGTGATCAGGGATGCTTTAGAAATCGTTCGTTCCCGTGATCCCGCTGTCATTGCAAAAGCGGATATCGTGGTTGATGTCGGAGGAGAATATATTCCTGATCAATTCAGATTTGACCACCATCAACGTGGTTTCACCGAGACGTTTGGTCCCCAATACGACATTAAGTACGCTACTGGTCTGCTATCATGGCTGAGCGGGAGTTGATAATGACTGTTTGCACACAAGACTTTCATCTGCCGGGCTTGTCTACAAGCACTTTGGAAGACAAGTGGTGGCCCAAGTCTTAGGTTGGGAGGTCACTGATCCCAAACTGGCGGTGGTTTACCAGAAAGTGTACGACGATTTCGTGCTTGCAGTATGTATCACCTCTTAGAATAACAGTTACGGTAGAAGCTAAAATGTTTAATCACAGTTCGATGGGATTGACAATGGCGTGTCCCAATATCCGTCTGATGTGAAACCAAAGTATCGCGATTCGACGAACGCGAGCTCACGAGTGGCGAAGCTGAATCCTTGGTGGAATGAGAAAAACGTAGACTACCAGGAGCGGTTCTTAAAAGCTGGTCAGTTGTCAGTCACTTCAAAATGCTTTTATTCGATAGATGACGTATACCGTCCACCCAGTTGCTATGGTTGGGGCGGAATTTGTGGAAAGGGTGCGTGTTTCAAGCAGGCGGATTGTCGTGACAGACATGTTTTTGACAGCTGGACTGTAGGTTCGCTATATAGGCCTGTCGTGGCTTCCGGGACGAGAACTGGTTGAGCAGGCGCTGGAGGAGAGGGTCGAAGTCAGCTCAACTGGGCATATTCTTATCCTGAATAACTTTTGTCCTTGGAAGGAGCACTTGTAAGTGTAGGGGATTCGGTACAGCGAAATAATTCCAAATGGGCTCAACCATGTCACGTAGACATATTCTTGAGGAGGAGAAGAAGATACCCGATGAGAAGAGACCAATTTACGTCTTGTATGAGGACGAAACTGCAAAACAATGGCGTGTTCAAGCAGGTAAATACCGGAACGGCGGGTTGGAAGGCCTCTTTAAGCAGACTGACAATTCTTATTCCCACGACCAGTGCCCGTCACTCCCGACTCATTCCAAAGGTACATTAAATTTTCCCTACAATGGTGCTGGAAAATCGAATTTTAATGATTTTATCAATTGAACGATTAGCCGAAAGCCGTTGCCGGAACCTTGGAGGGTAGGTGTAAACTTGAACACTTCCGGCTCCGTCTGTACGCATCCTGAGCATCCTCAAAAAATAGGGTATTCGCGATCAAGCATTAAGCGACTTAACTGGGATCCCAGGATGTGTTTTCATTCATGCAAGTGGTTTCATTGGTGGAAATCAGACCAAAGTGAGTAGACATCAACGCTTTCCGCCGCCGATGTCACTCAATGTCTAATGCTCGATCCAAAGGACGGCGCGATAGCAATGGCTCAAAAAGCGCTCACCCTATGAAAATGAATCTTGACTGACATTCTCGACAGTGCCAGATAAATATCTATTCTGCTAAATACACAGATATATTTTACACAAAAATATAGGCAACCGTCGCCGTAAGATAGTTGGTGATATACTGGTTATAATAGGACCTACACGCTTCGCATGTTGAACCTGGGCAACTCGGTTGCTTCCTGTTGCAGGGGAGCATACGCAAGAGAGGTATCGCTGTTATGTCTTTTGGGTTCCGGGACGGAATCGGGGAGCCCTGCGGGAGACAAGGTCAAACGTTGAGCCCTTCCGCCAGATCCGTACGATGACTCACCATAGAGATGTGTGGCATACAACACAATCCCTGCCCCGACAGTGAACAGGAAAGTTATCTTAAAGTCGAAGAGGAATATTGAGGCGATACTGGAGAGAATTATGGATAGCGATGTGGCAAAGCCCTTTAAAATATTGTCGGCGTACCTGACCACCAAACGATCGGTAAGCCAAATATGGTGATATCCAACATTCAGTGTGTGGTGACTTACTTTACAACGAGTGCGACTATGAGACCACCGATCGCTTGACATGATATTGCGCCCCATGTCCACTTGTTATAGCCTTGAAAAAAGCCATCTTGCCGAACAGCAGCCCCGTCCATGAGGCAAACTAACGAAATGATGTCAGTCAGCCAACCCATGTCGCATCTTGCTTTGTTTAGTAAGAACATCCCATCCCATCGTACCACCAAAAATCAGCCCTGGGATCAAGCTGAAAACGCTCAATTGGATGTTTCTCAGGAACAAGGATGCTTGGGTTCCTTTCAACACCTTCTCGAACCTAGACATGTGACTCTTTATGAGTACGGGGAGCGGGCCACCTGTCTGATCCTTGGTACCTACCAGACCCCAGCGAGGCCCGAAAGAACACAGGCAATAGTCACCGCCAATAGGCCCAAAAACTGCTGCATGCCACTGGATTTCGCTTCGGTCGTCTTTCCATCCATCTGCACCAACGCAATTCCAAGGGTCAAAAGAACTAGCGACGTCCACTTCCGCCGAGACAACGTGCGTCCAAGCATCAAAACCGAAAAGAGAGCGGTAGTCAAGATCTTCATTTGATATGTCACCTGCATATATGCATGGATGAGTCTCCGTCCGTGCCGGCTGTTAGACATCCTACACGTACCTGAAAAGTCGCCGGGTCAAGATACTGTACAGCAACATACTGCAAATTATTTTGAATAAAGTAGAGTACGGCCGGCACTGTCATCTTCTTCCAATGACTGTCGCGCCCAAACAAGTCCTTCAAGACTTTTTGGAGCGATAGACGACCCAGCGCTTGTTCCTCTTTTGCATATACAGCAAAGCAAATCACAAGCTTGATGAACTCTGACATGACTACCGCAGTTGAAACAAGGTATGACAGTTCGTTTGGCGGCTTTGCCTTGCGAGAGTACGACATGACGAGCGCCAATGCCGAGTTTTGCACCACCAGGGTGACTAGCGACACCCATTTGAGCGGGAAGCCATAGAGCGTTTTTTCTGCTTCTTGAAATTCACCAAGTTTAAACAGTTAGAAAAAATATCGTTTGGGGTTGATTGCGGAAAAGGATAGAGACATACCGCCCATATTGACGGAGGAGCTTGTTGGCAGATGCAAAGGGATGCAACGGCTGGTAATGTGGCCACAGTTATCGCTACGAGCTTTCCAAATTGGAAAGCTAGTCCACGTCAACGACAGACAGCTGCAAGGAGCTTGCGAGAGGTGTTGGTATGGTGTGGAATGTTCTGCGCCTTGACGATCCCCTCAAAGGCAGGAGGGATATTAATCGGAACCACAAAAGGGCGACGAGAAGGCACCTGCTGCGCATTCCGTGCGGGGATCCGCGTTATGGCACAGTCACAGAATGCTAATGTGACTGAAGCAATTTGGGTCCTGAATTGTTTTTGATTTTGGAGTTGAACTTTTGTTGGGCGGCCAATTTAACGACAATGACGGCTGGAGCAACAGGAACAGACGGCGAACGTCAAGGTGAAGAAATAGAAGAGGTATTACCTCAACCGGGCTCGCGGACAGAGCAAGCACGTAGACGCTTTGTTGGTGTGGCACGGCGAACGCAGCGTGATGCGACCAATGGTGGAGGTGCTATAGAAGAAGCAGCCGTAATTCAAGGTAAGGCTTTTTTGTTGTTGTTCAATTCGTAAACCTTGCCCCTAAATATTTCCGACTTTAAGCTCCTGTTACTAGTTCATCAACCTCTCGTATTGTGAATCAAATTCCGGAGGACATTTTGAACGATCCACAGCTCACTGAGGCTATACAACTACTACCGAGAAACTACAACTTTGAAATCCATAAAACAGTATGGCAGATCAGAAGACAAGAGGCGAAAAAGGTTGCCCTGCAATTTCCGGAAGGGCTCCTCATGTTTTCCCTCACTATTGTGGACATTTTGGAACGATTCGCCAACGTGGAGACGCTCGTGATGGGGGACGTAACATATGGCGCGTGCTGCATTGACGACTTCACCGCCCGTGGTCTTGGATGCGACTTTATGGTACATTACGGCCATAGCTGCCTAGTGCCTGTAGATGTTACCCCCATTAAAACTATGTACGTGTTTGTCGATATCGGCATCGACTCCACGCATTTTGTGGATACAGTCCGGCACAATTTTGAACAGGGCAAGAAGCTCGCGCTAGTCGCCACTGTTCAATTTATGACTGCTCTGCAGGCAGCGAAAAGGGAATTGGAGAAGGACTATCATGTTGTTGTGCCACAAGCAAAACCACTTTCGCCTGGTGAGGTGCTAGGCTGCACCGCACCCCGTCTTGGAGAGCATGATGTTTTGATGTAAGTTTAACCCATGCATATCATGCTGACTGTGTTATTGACTTTGATGGTACTCAGTTATCTGGGAGATGGCCGCTTCCACCTTGAAGCCATCATGATTGCCAATCCTGACCTACCTGCTTTCCGATACGATCCCTACTCAAAAGTATTCACCCGCGAACGATATGAACATGAGGAAATGTATGCTTTGCGCAAACATGCAATCGAGCAAGCAAAAGATGCGAAGAGCTTTGGGATAATCATGGGGACGCTAGGGAGACAAGGAAGTCCTAAAGTTTTAAAAGTGAGTGTCTTTCAGATCAGGTGTTTGTAGGCTATAGATGCAGACACTGCGTGCTCACTGTCGTCTCACGTCTTGATAGTACCTAATGGCAGAATTTGATTCCCGATCGATACCCTATACCATCGTTTTACTTTCCGAGATATTTCCATCAAAACTAGAGCAATTTCGAAATATCGATGCGTGGATCCAGGTCGCATGTCCACGACTTTCGATCGACTGGGGTTATGCATTCGCCAAACCTCTCTTGACGCCTTACGAGGCGGCTGTGGTCTTGAAGTGCGTCGAGTGGCAGCAGAGATATCCAATGGACTTTTACGCAAGAGACTCGTTGGGAGCTTGGACCCCAAATCACGGCGCTGGACCGCAGCGTAAAGTCAGGGCCCCAAAATTGCGAAATGAAGCTCTCAAGGAAGAGCACGTAAAATAGCAACCTTGCATGGAACTCACTCACGGGAACGTTGTCGTAACTACATTGTACATTTTTATTATTCTCAACCAATTTTATTGTAAATATAATTGTATTCGTTCCTAATCATCAGCAGTCTTAATCGTTGTGTGCTCAAGCAGCCGACTAATAGCATATGGCATTTAATTAATGAACGGCTAAGCCACCTTCCGATCGTCGTCTCTTGGGAACTTTGCCAGCGGGCATCGGTAGGCGATTGCTTGCCAGTCCTTTTTTGTGAACCGACACCGCTGCACTCCATCATGTCTGATCCGAGAGGAGTTCTGCGCTTTCTCCATACCATTGAAAACTTGAAGGCACGTTGAGGTTCGCTTCTGCCGTTTGCATTCATTATTCAAACGACCGTTGGTGGCCGTCCTAAACCGTCTTACGGTAGTCCATACTTTAATACTCCTTCATGAAACTCTTAGAGGACCAAGCGAACAGGTTGGGTTGACCAGCAAATACCCGATGCAGAGTCAATTGCGGACCACATGCACAGAATGGTACTACATTGGCCCTACTTCAACCGATCTTGAACGAATGGTCGTTGATATTACCTCGTCATTAGGGAGTCCTCGCGCTTCTTATAGACGATCCGTCCTTAGACAGAACGAGGGCCATTAAAATGGCCATTGTCCACGATCTTGCCGAAGCAATTGCGGGAGACATCACGCCTCATAGTGGCGTGTCGAAGGAAGAGAAATATAGACTCGAACTGGAAGCTATGGACGAACTAGTCACGTTATTGGGACACTCAAAGGAAGCACTAGAAATCAAAGCGCTCTGGGAAGAGTATGAGGCGGGTGAGAGTCCCGAGGCACTGTACGTTAAGGATCTGGACAAGTTTGAAATGATTGTCCAAGCGGTCGAGTATGAAAAACGTAAGATATGAATGGCACTGAGCCTCATGTTAACGTTGTACTCAGGCCTAATTATTGTACAGGGCATGAAGGAAAGCGATTGGATTCATTTTTCAAGTCAACAGATGGAAAGTTTAAGCATCCCACAGTAAAGAGATGGGTGGCGGAGCTGCACAAGGAGCGACAGGAAGCTATGCAGAGTGCGCAATAGATCTTCCTTCAACCTTCAAATGCTCGCATAAATGGAGAATGACTTGGCCATTGCTTGTTTCTGCACGTTGAAGGAGCTCGTGGTCAACACAAGCGGCCATCTCCGTCTACGGTAGAATTGCAACCTACCGTGGAACTGGACCGCTCCTGGGATTTTGACTAGTTGATTCTAGTCTGTTAATCGAGCGGTGGCGAATGCATTTTTGCTGAACCATTCGGCAATAATAGCAAATCGGTCGTCCGATGCTTCAAGCTTTGGAAAGGATGATGTTTAGATGTGCTAGTTCATTCACGGCAGTAGTAATAAATATCACCTTATGCATGAATATCTCATGTCGTCCCGCATTCGCTTCCTGGCTGCGCACCAAATCTTGAATCATCCGATGCTCTGGAGCACATCGCGGGCACTCTTGATCTGCATCTCCAAGACATCTGTAGTGAAACACCGGCATGTTGAATTCACGTAAATGGATGGACCGTTGACACCCACAAACCAACCTTTGGTGATACGAATGTTTGCATAGAAAATGAACCGTCGGCAGTTCAAGTGAATGTCGGCAGAGCTCACACTTGGTCACCTGGAAAACAATCGGGCTTTGCAGATATCAGATCTTAGTAGATGGTGGAAGCGCCTCATAATTCTCATTTCGCTAGTAGCCACCTTGTCTTCAACTCCTCAATTTGCCCGCGCATACGTTCAGTTTCCTCTCGGTAACTGGCGATCAATTTCTGTGACTGTCGTTCACATTAAGAACAGGTGGGCGAAATTGAATGCAAGTGAGGAGGGCAGTACAAACCTCATCAATGGCCTTTTTTTCCGCTTCCACTCTTCTCACAATGTAGTCCCGCACCATCTCGATTGTCACGGCAGAATTCCGTGCCAACACCTGAATTACTTGCAATGGAGGAAGGAGATTGCGCCGATCAATGTTGTCCAAAACCTCCAACAGGTCTTCCTGTGGATTCGGCCCTCCAAGACCAGTCCCCTTCTCGGCAAAATAGGCTAAGGCATGTGTCCACAAACTAGGATCTTGATCCCTACAAAGATCCTGGGATTTAAAACATAATAAAGCACGGAAAAACTCAAGTCCCTAAACTCACCCGTAGGTCTTGCAAGTCGCAATTATACTAGAATAATCCTCAGCATCCATATGCTGTTGCAAGATGTCCTTATGGCTATGCATTTAGGTGAGCTTGGACTAGTCAACGGAATTGGTACCACTTTTGAACTGGAACTCACAGTGCTAGTCGCTCATAAACGTAGAGAATGCCCTCCCCAAAGGAATGCATCTTGCAAAGGACTAGTGCATGATCTAGATCGTAGGTTGCCTACAAGAAACGTGTGGACAAATTGGCTGTCTTGGGTAGAACGTAATCATGCTTCGAGGAGAGCGCTTACACTTGGACTACGCAGCAGATCAAACGCATGATTTCGCCAGCGCAACCTTGTCGTCTCGTCCACACTCTCCATCTGCGCTTGTTCATTGGCAGAATTCTGGTACACGACATGTAAGCAAACTTCGACGGGAATTCCACTGCGACCAATCCTGCAGACTCGTCAATGTGGCTTTTACCAACCTCGTCAGTTACCGTCAACGTTGACTGCTGCCCCGCTCCTAGGTACAGCTCTAACAGTGTATTGCAGACAATTCGCTTGCTCTCAGCATCTTTATCCATTACGTCCTGTGAGGAATCCAGTTGGACTTTATCTGGCGTATCAGTGGCCGGTCCTTTCCCTTTCCCACCGATGATCACACCCCATCGCCTTTCTAATATTCGCTCCAGGAAGCGGACACACCATTCAGCCCTGTTGACATAGAGATGAATTACGTCTTCTGGTAACGCTGCCGTCTTTTGCTCTTGAGCTCCGGACGCGAGTGGTTCTGAACACAATTTTAGCAGGACCTCGGTCATTTCTGAAGGCTTTTCAGTAACCAGGATGTATCCGTATCGACCCAAACTGCGCACCGCCTCCCGTGGCTCCAGTTCCGATAGGTATTCAACAGTTTCAGAGTACTGCTTCAGATCCTCTAACTGGATTCGCATATACCATTCGTGCTCGCCAAACTTCTTGGCCAGCCACAATGCGTGCTCGTGGTAACCACCCTGCCGGCACACACGAATGGCTGTTTCCACATCGAACTTTAGCTCTCGATCTGTTTTGACAAACTCATCTAACCGCTGGACATCCTTCAACTTTGTGTAGCAGTTCAGTAGCAGGGTGGTGTGGTCGGCATTGGCAAGATTCTGCTCATGCAATGCTTGCAAGTACGATGTCAAATTGTGAATCCGTTGAGCGTCCAGAAATTTTCTAATGACATAAGAAGGTTCCAACTGGCCGATGGTGTGAAGGTATTGCTGGATTGCGGCATCGTAATCCCCCTTGGAGTACAACCAATCTCCGTAACGCTTGTATATCTCTACAACCGTTCCAAAATCATATTCCGAGTTCGTCGTGGCCTTCGTTACGGATGCTGGATCCTCGTCAGTGGCATCAGCAGAGGTCATACTTTGAGTTGACATAACCAGGTTGATTGCAAGAGTGTACATATTCTTCTTAAATAAGATGTCCAGCTTGGTGTCCATGTCTTTTTCCTGCAGGCGATACATCTGCATGCAAATTCAGCTTCGGCGTGATGAATCAAATGGCACGGAATTCCTACCTTTCGGTCTTCCGTCACTATAAAAAGCTCTCCCCACTCGCCCAGAACAGCCCGAATCGGTTGTCCACGGTATCCGCTCCCGCTCAAGGTCCCGGTAAAGGCCACATATTTGTTCTTAAGGTCATACAAGGTCAGCACTGTCCCTGGTGTTGTCTCAGATGGAGATGCATGTATAATTGTGTCGGCGTCGTTTCCGGTTCCTCCCATGTAGTCCGCTAAAGCTGACGTTGGCGCCGTAGCATTCCGGGATTCGCGTGTCACAACAACCAAGTAGTTTCGAAACCAACTTAACGATGTTTTTTCCCCTAAAATATGACTTGAGTAAGTCCCGTCCCTTCTTATCAGCGGGTTGGTAGTTAGGGTTCAGACATACCATCGATCACAAAGCATGGTCCCCGCCCATCCAGCCCGTAAAAATATACTGCCTTCGATGAAAGTGAGTATTCTGCTGACGCGCATTATATCATTGCAGCCAACCTCTTGTCGCCCAATAACAATCTCTTGGTTGGTCTCCTGCGCTGTAAGAATAACGGCTCCTATCTCGCCTCCTTGGTCGTCTAGTGCTTGCTAAGGGGTAAAACTTTAATGTCTCTCTCTATAAATTCAAGCCACAACAAGCGTACCTTTAGGTCTTTGTTCGAAGTGTCACACGTTAAGATTCGCGCAAGGGTCACAATGTACAACCGAGTGCTTTTGCCGTCCTCACAGAAACCAAGACCTGCCGGCGATTGGTAACGCTTTGCTTTAATCAGAGATCTTCTACCACGTAGTCAAGGTCGCGTAAGCCGCACCAGTAATCATTTCGCTTCCTTCATGTATTATTTTCGACTTTGTAAACCGGTCTCTTGATATGTCACCTCGTATCAGTACTACTACTCCATTCTCTAATCCAATGGCTACTTGGGTCATGTTCTCCAATACAGCTAGCGCTGTGACCTTTATATATATATATCTTATCAGGAACTGCTGTGATATCTTAAAACCTGCCAATATATGGGCACCCACCGGAAAGACCTTGTGGCCATATTGGATTTTACTGCTACGCTGCAGGATTGGCGTTTTGGCAGCTTTGTCCGGCTTGTCCAGATTCCACACCTTTACAATTGGTATACCGCTCTCATCCTCCTGCAATACATGGTGAACAGTTAGGACCGTCGAAAAGCATCGTGGTAAAAACGGCACTAATTCACCCCAATGGAGACGAGTTGATTTCTGTACTTCATGTGCTTCAAGTGTGTAACACGTCGATCATGCGCTTGAAAAGAGAAGACCACCGAAAGCGCATGGTTGAGGATGATGATAGCTCCAGTCGCGTGTATTGGAAGGAAATGAATGAGTCAAGGATAATAGCGTCATTAGTGGGACAAAAAAGCTAGAATGAGCAGAAAATCTCCTAAAGGATATCTCCAAAGAACAGATGGCCCCTTCCGTTCGTGCTTGCTGTGATCTCCAGGTCCTTTGAACCGCATTATTGTGTGTCATAAGGTGGAAAATGCTGCCAAACACCGATATCATACTTGTAGCCATTGTGGTGACTGACTGCTGTCTTCGTTATCCACCACCTCGTTGCGCTCGAAAAAAGTGAACTGGCGCCATTGGACCACGGTCATCGTTCCCCGCTTGAGGCGAAGATCCGAATGGCAGCCGCTTGGATGGAGGTTAGCCAACTGCTGAATGAGTCATCGGTGGTCCGCGTTCCAAACTTGCAATTCATGTTATATTTAAAAACTACGTTAGGAAAATAGCCTGATGGACTCGCAGCGGATGTGGTTGATATCCTGCTGATTTACTTTGATGGTCATTATTGAGAATTCAGCAATCTTCAAATCATCTTTATGTTAATGGCAGAAACGTTGAAAACTCTGGTGGTTCAATAAACGCTCTCCAGGCAAATTTCTGCTATATTCCTTCTTCTAAAGCTCAATTATTCTACATCTATAGGATGATACAGCGACTTTCCTGCCTCAACTTTTATAGTCAACGTTGCGTACGATGCAACTTCATGCACCCAATTGGCATCGCTGCAGCCCTTTACCTGCTTAGATGACGCGTAAGTGTTTCCATGGCCACCACTACGTGCACAGTCATGTTTCTGGCTCTCAACCAGAAGTACCTCAACATTCGCGTTCTGTTACCTGGCTATTTCATCTTGCGCTCGTCTATTGGGAAGCTAACAAGGCATCTTTAACGTATCGGCAGAGGAGAGTACTTCAGACACACGAAGGATAGATAATATGGACGTATGTGTAACATGTGTGAAGACGTTGTGTGCTTGCATGTTCTTGGCTTGCAGTTTTCGTCACGTCTTACATTTCGCTGACCAACCGGACTTCATAGCGATTGCAACGACTATTTGGTGGTGCTGCTGGGATGGGCGCTGCTCAGCCTGGTTTGGATACGCCAACTGTGGATACTGCCGAAATGGTGTACATTTCTTCTTTAGCACTGTTGAAAGTAGGCCTAAGTTGAATTTAGGTGCATTATCACGACTTTGTTAACATTGTTTGTCATCCTTATCAGATGTTGAAACATGGGCGTGCTGGTGTACCAATGGAAGTCATGGGGCTTATGTTGGGAGAATTCGTTGACGACTATACTGTTCGCGTTATCGATGTATTTGCGATGCCTCAAAGCGGAACAGGTGTCTCAGTAGAAGCTGTGGATCCGGTTTTCCAAACAAAGATGTTGGACATGCTCAAGCAGACGGGACGGTATGATTAGCATCCTGGACCAGTTAACCTTCTCTTGGGAAACGCGTACTTTGCATTAATTCTGAGTCCTCTTCAGACCGGAAATGGTCGTCGGGTGGTATCACTCTCACCCGGGTTTCGGCTGCTGGCTCTCTAGCGTAGATATCAATACGCAGCAGGTACCTGTGGCATCTATCCTTTTTTGAGTGTCGACACTCTGTATTAACCGTCGCAGAGTTTTGAAGCGCTGAACCAACGTGCAGTGGCCGTTGTAGTAGACCCAATTCAGTCCGTCAAAGGGAAAGTCGTCATTGATGCTTTCCGATTGATCAACCCTCAAATGATGATGCTTGGTCAAGAACCCCGTCAAACAACATCAAATATTGGACATTTGAATAAGCCAAGTATCCAGGCGTTGATTCATGGACTGAACCGGCATTACTATTCGATCGCTATCAATTATCGGAAAAACGAGCTTGAACAGCAAATGCTGATGAACTTGCATAAGAAAACTTGGACACACGGGCTGGTACTCAATGATTTCGACCAGCATGCCCATTTGAATGAAAAAGCCGTGAAGGTATTCCTTTTTTCTTCATGTCAACTGGTGGGGTTTTCTTATGCAGACTTACTCTCGTATAGACAATGCTCCAATTATCTGAAGCATACAATAAGTCTGTGATTGAAGAGTCAACCATGACAGCAGAACAACTCAAGACAAGGCACGTTGGCAAGCAAGATCCAAAGAGGCATTTGGAGGAAAATGTAGAGAATGCCATGACGAGCAACATTGTTGTGACTCTTGCCACGATGTTGGACGCTGTATCATTCTGAGTAAATACAGGCAAAATTCAAACCTATATACATGTGGTCACACGTTTCCATAAAAAGCGTCCCCGAAGACTTACTCCTACGGCTTAATAAAGAACCAACCACCTCCTCCATTCAAACCTCTATACATTTGGTCATTCGTTTCTATAAAAAAGCGTCCCTATAGGACGTGCTATTACGGCTTAACAAAAAACCAACCGCTTCCGCCCGGACGGACGGTCCACCCTTTTGCGGATAAGCGTTTATATATCACGGGATACAGCTTTCGAATCCCATGCGACGAATGTTGTCCAGAGCCAGTTATAATTTGCAGCGGTTTCTGAGGTTTCGCGTGTGCACCGTTTCCTGAATACCACTCATTAACTGCTTCGTCCACATACTTCACTGCCTCATTGACGGTCAAGCCGTGTAGATCTATGACAAATGGATCGCCCTGGAAGCGCGCTCTTGTGTATACTATAAGCAATTGCGAAAGTAGAGAAATCATCTGATAGATACAGTTCGTACTTATTGCGTTGGATGGTCGCCTGCGCTGCACGGCTGTTCCACTTCATCATTTGCTCTGTCAAGTCCCGACCCTATGATGCAATGAGTCATTTCCAACCTATCCAATTAAGCTCATCGACAAGCCCCAACGCACCTCTTGACTGAAGTATCCAGCGGAACCCTTGCCAGTAAGGTCTCCCTTCCTGAAAGCTTTCGCTGCTCTGCGGAACGCTTCATCGCGCTTCTCACGAAAGCTCTGAGCAACTTGCCGACACTCTCCAGGGTCCAGAAAATTGATCTCACTTGGATTTGCATGTGCGGAACTGGTACCACCAGTTTGTTCCACCTACACACAAAGTCATTGAGAGAGTCAACCATAGACCTATAATGCAAGATAGACGTGCAACCAACGTACATCATTCGCCACATTTTGGATCCGAGACGAAACTGGCAACGATGAGCCTCGTGCGCTCAAGGTGAAGATGGGACCTGAGCGAGATGACATGGAAGCAGAGTCTGCTCTTCGGAGCCTTCTATCTGCTGTCATCTCCATGTCAATGGGTTTCTCAGATCGATGGTAAACACAAGGATGTCCCATGGCACTACAACGCCCATCACACTTCCTCCCCCACGCGGTCTTGATATCTTTAGTCAATTCCTGTACAGTAGCGTCAAGTCCGCCACAGCGTCGGAGAGTGATACGCAGAATATCTAAAGGTTGTTCGGGAAAAATCTCCATCAACGCAGCAAGTACCTCATCCTCTTTGCACACTCTATTATCTGGAATTTCATCAAGTGTCAACCGCAGCAACGTGTCTGCCGCTCGATCCATATCAAACTGATGGGTATTCAGAGCTGATAAGATAGTTCTTTGATCATGGTCCGGAAACATGGCAGACAGAGTCGCAAGTTCTGGCCCATTCGCATTGGTATTATCTTTGCGTCCAAGACAGTGGCTCTCAGACGATGAAGCCGTTCCCTTGCTCGTAGACGAAGAAAGAGAACCTGAGGACGCAGCATCATCAAATCTCGAAATTTCTCCATTTGATGAAAGCTCGGAGCTGGAACAGGTGGAACACACGTCATCTAATAAGTCATTCGCATCGGACAACAAGGAATCCACTGCCTTTTCAACGTTGCCCTCGCAAATGAGTAGTGCCTCCTCAAGGTTCTCTTTTAAGGTCTCCGGGAATATCTCAGCCAAAAACTGCATTGAAGCTGGACTATATGTCGTGACTGTGGTCGCTGAATTTCCCAATTTTTCTCGTAACAAGCCTCCGTCTACGGAAGCAAGGTCTACTGGTTGACGACCACGGACCTGGGTAGGTTCTTGTGGGTATACATCCTTCGCTATTTGGCTTGCCGAGCCCTCATCAGAGAATGTCTGTTTTGGCTTTGATAGCTTGACTTTTCGCGGATTGCTTACAGCGCTATATTGTCCTCTTTTCCCTTTGGCTGTCTGCACGAGCGTTAGCTATCTAAGGAGGTAATTGGAGGTCAGCGGTGCTCAACACCCACCCTCATAACCGCACTCCGTCAGATCTCGTTGTATTCTACGCCTCTACTCGCGTCCTCTTTCCTTACGGAGCTCTCGTCTTCGAATTGGATAAAACGTTGACGTCCTGGCCCACAAATGGTGCATAATAAATTTCATACGACGCTGCTAACATGGACGCAAGAAGCAAATCGACTGAGGATATCACTTACCTCGTTCAAAATATCACGGGATCCGGACTGTTGCTGAGTCATCAACATCCAGCATCGGACACCCGAACAGCAAGTTATTCTAGTGCCAGTTATTCCAGTAAAAGAAACAATGAAGAGTATGCTGGTCTAAAAGATTACAGTGTTTGAAGCAGGCCTATGTTTGAATACAGTAGCATGGAATACTAGAATAGGACTTTGGTTCTATTTTGTTGGTCTACAGGACGAAAGTAATGAGTTATAGGGATAGTTTGGAGGCATTATTATTCATTTTTAAAGGTGAAATTCTTAGATTTTTGAGGCCAAGGATGTCTACTTTAATCTCAAGAACAAAAGTTGGGGGATCAAAGACGATCAGATACCGTCGTGAATATACAGCTATGCCCCCTATTTCATGCAAGACGACGAAACCTCGACTTCTCTCTAGGAAAGTTCCCTCTTCCTCTTCGTTAAATGTGGACTGCCATTAAAAATGAAATGAATGACGATGCCTTCGACTCGGATTGGATAAAACAACAAAAGGGAGTAAGCGTATCATCCAAGGGAAAAGTCCGCTTGTCGGCAAGCGTGACACCAGGAAAGATTAAAGTGTACCGTTGAGACGAATTCGACGGTTTAATTGGGCGAAAAACGGACCGATACGTGGGGGTCTTTATAGACAACCATGATGATATTCTTGGTTCAAATCGCATCGAAAGCGCATTGGAGCTAGTCTCCAAGACAAATAGCGCGGAAATCAAAGGCGCTCCCCCAATGTATGTGGTAAGTTGGCAGGGGCATTTTTCGTGAGGATCTGTCGCTAAAGACCGTTTTTCAGGCCTGTTCTGGCCCTGTGGAATACACCGCGATCAACGAGAAAAACCCCGGCCAAGTATACTACTGGGTCAATTCGGCCAAGCACAATCTCGAAAGTACCGGCCTTGTGACAATTTACACCGGTAGCCGATTGAAAGGCTGGAAACAGCAGATGGATCGCTTTGAGGGGGTTGATACAGATTGCCACCCCTATATGATTTTGTCAGGCATTGGGAAGGTAACCCATCCGTAAATTCACCATGACCTACACGCACCAAGCTGACTGTCAACTTACGTTGTATAGGCGAAAACTGACATACCGTGCGCTCTGTTCTTGCGCCTGCTCGCAATCTGTGAACCCGATTTCGATTTTACAGACAAAGTGTTTTTGTCATATGGCTCTTTTGAATTTGCTAAAGCTATCTGCTTTCTTGGCGGGACATGTGATGTTTTCATCACAGAAGCTGAACAGTTCCGCGAAAAAGCCAACGCTTTCATGGAGCACTCCTCTTGGAACGATTTTATCAGGTATGACTGACCGGCAAATCTATCCGCAATGACAAAATCAATAACATCTAGTTTAAAGAGCGATGAAATTAGATGAGAAGAGTGCTAAATTCGCACATTATATGAAAGAAAAGAGTCAAGAGGAATCCACCGAGACTTCTTCAGATTGGGAGAGTATGTAGTGGCCATGGAAGCAGGACAGTACGACGTATCGAAGTGTTTACTGATCAGAAACATAGCAGTAGCTTGAATTTGATGTATTCAAATGATGAATATGTGGTAGTCTATTCATTTGTTGTGTGCCCCTGAACAAAATCCGACTGTTCCAAGCAGTTTCTTCCATTTGTGCATTGTTGTTGTTGCATTCTTTAACTCGCCATTTTATAGCTGTTACTATGGCGGGATTAAAACCTGGTTAACGCCAACGATGGTGTGGTTCTGCTTTGTTTCTGCGCTGTCTGATAAGTAAACACTCTGACTGGAGGTTTAAATACTGGTCATATATGTCACTACTAGTAGTGTGAACCCATGTATGCAACGCACTTAAGAAAAGATCTGAAGAAAAACAAAATATGCAGTTTATAGCTACTTATATCCTATGGAAGCATAATTGAAATCAAACCAGTGCTCAGCTTGCATGGTGAAATAGGTCGATAGAAGTTGTGTTCTGGGTAAACCACTGGCGAGCAGGATCTTTTGGTTTATGTATTCGCAGCGACCCATGCGTCGCCTCTCCCATCTTCCAGTCACTAATGGACATACAAATACCGAGCGTACAAAGTACATTGAGCACCACCCTACGCACGCATGGCAACATTGAGTGGTGCACTTGTCCGATCATAGGTGGTGCCCGCATCATTATATGGTCTGCTTCCTGCCCTAGGAAATCACGGATTCACAGTAGCGGAAAGGGACTACCTCAGGAGGGCCCATGAGGGAATACATGTGAAGAAAGGAACTTCTAACCAGTTGCGTATCTCTTTTTGTGATTTCGAGGATATGGAGACATGGGAGACAGCATGGCGCGGGTCCACGGCAGGGCTAACTATTAGGCAAGAGGTTTCTGAATCTGAAGTAAGAACTTGGCGTCAGGGTTAGGGCATCTCTATACTTGAACTTAATGGACATATCTAATCATAGGCCTGGACTCTACAACAAGTACAAGTCATTCTTCCAGCTTAAATGCTTAAAGTTATTTATTCATACGTATATCAACTTGATCCTTGTCTGGATCGATGTGTCCCACTACAGGTGTGAGCTGAAATTCGCTTACATTTCACGACAACCTCGGCTAACACATCATCCATACCAAAAATGTCGCCGGATATCTGCAACCGATAGAGATCGATAACTATCGACAGTGTACGACATCGGATGTCACACGTCGTCAAGACGGCTAGTAATCGCCTACGGACTAACAGATATGTCTGCAAGGAAATACACGCAGTCTCACTTCCAAATTCAATCCTACGGGAATGAGCGGCTGTGACGCTATGCCCCAGTTGTTCTTAAACAGCTACCTGCTATCCATCCCGCGAGAACTGTATTCAATCTTTGGTATCAAATCGGAGCCCTGAGGCATCATGACTGTACAGAGCTTACGGCAATCCAGGAACGTCTGGATGCTTGTCGGGGCAGAAATTTTGACATCGCCTCCATACCGTTATTTGTCGTGAGACTTGCCGCTATGGTTCGCTGACAGAGAATCCGCCATGAGGTGTATCAAGCCATACAGCCGCTTTCAGCAAGCAAGTCCGTTCCCAATTGGCCAGAAGTGGGAACCAGACCTACAGTCAAGTACCACAAGTGAAGCACACTTATGCCACTGGCAAATTTTTACGACATTGCTAGGACTGTTTACAAAAGCCGTCAGAGCAGTGAGGTGACGGACAGACTAGCTGGTAGTGGACATTGTTCAGTCTAGAATATTGGCTTATTTGGATGACATCGCAGGATCCAGGGGCCCACACAGAAAGCTAATTCATCCCTTGGAATTGGTAATGCCATTTTCCCAAATCAAACAAGCTGTTCCAGCTGTTAAAATGCGGCCACAAATTCCACATGTGGCTCGTGCAAATGAAGCTTCTACACATCACACATAGTGTCCAGGACAGGGTGACGGTGAACAAGTGCGGTGCCAGTTGTACTAGTAAAGAGAGACCGGTTTATTTGGTCATATTTACACTATATCCACCAGTGACCGGATCTCGATCCATTGCAAAGTTGTCCAACGAAAGTCCGAAATTACCAAGGAAGCTGTTACCAAGGTTCTTCAGTTTACCTACCAGCCCCACGACGTGATAAAATCATTGTTAGTAGGCGCCATACGTGATTGTCGTTTCCGTCCTTAGCGTACCTATCATTTCGGCTTTTTCTTTTTCTTGCTGCTCTTCTATCCGTTTGGGTAGTATGTTCACCGCTTTCTGTGCTTGTTCATCGCCAGGTGATAGTTTCAGAACCGCCCTGTAGTCTACACGCAAAATTAGGGTCGTCCCTTGCTTCGGAACGGTACACACAACCCACCTCGCAATGCGTCGCTCAATGACGACCATGAACCGATGCATTCGTTCGCCTTAGCTCGTCGTGACAGCGCTCTGACGTAGTTCTGGTTGCATTTCAACGCTTGCGGGACATTAGGGTTCTACTCTTCAACTTCCTGCATCCGAACGTGATGATACCTTGTGTGCATTGTTCTACTGCTTTTTCATACTCTTTCTACGTTCGAAAACAACCCCTGATTATTAGTACGTTCCAAGTGGTGAGGCGAAAATATCAGCCCACCAGTTGCATGTGGCATGCCGCAATATTCGAATAAAAGACCGCTCGATCCTCATTCTCGTCCTCAGGGCAGATGGCCAAGGCTTCCTCATACCTAGATATTGTGAGAGAAGATTCATGGAACTAAGCATTTGGTATTGCCCGCCTCCAGCGCTACCTTCGAATTGCGTCTTCAAACTCCTTTGCTTTAAATAGCTCGTTCCCGGCAGTCTTGTGGTCGCATGCTTGTTGCTTCAAAACCTAAAGTTTTTTTGTTATAAAGGGATTTATCCAGACCCGAATGTTCTTGGTCGTAATACCTTCCTTTCCTCTGGGTCAAGTTCCAAAATATCGCACGGGATGGCAGTTACCGTCTCAGCTGGTTTCCCATGTGTATCCGACCCTGGATCTACTCCACAACGTTAGCCATTGTCACAATATCGTATTGCCTGATCTAGTGATGGCCAACCTATCGATGAGGCCATAGACTCTAGCGAGTAAGAGCGTAAAGAAATTCCGTTACCTTGCAGGTTACCCTGCTAGTTGGGCACTATGATTCATTCGCGTCCCCAAATCCGGACGCGTGAGGCCATCTTGGCTTCTGTGGGGCTGCCCGTAGAGGAACGATGACAGATTCAGGGACATCTGTTCATATACCGGGGGTTCTTCTGTCTCTGCTGCAACATGGTAAAGTCAAAGTGCTTCTGTTCTACCACAGTAACGGCGCTAACAGTGTTCCTGTTGCAGAAATGCTCAATTCATCTACGCAGGGAAATGTGGAAGGAGTTCTGGTAATATCTGTTTGCACAGTTTAATGGTATACACAAAGAGCTAAAGCGTTTAGCTCCCGTTTTAGTTTGGAACTGTTCGCAGAACTACCCGTGCCAAGGTGGGCGGTAGCCGAGAGCACTGAAGAGGACTCACGGTCGAGATTGTACTTAACGGTGGACTAAGACAACGGACCTAGCAAGCGACGACTCGCAGGAGGAGACGCAAATCATTTTATCCTCGTTCGAACGAATTGACCCAGAAAACCGTTTGTATACATCGGCAGGAGAGATTCTTTCGCATCGCTTGGCACGGGTAACGTGCCAAAAATCGAGTGTGGGTTTTGTGTTTTGTGAACCGAACGTGAATCGGCAGCGTTGTAGCTGATCTAATGCCGTGCCTTACCTCTAGTCTATTATTGGCATGTTCAAGTGGCGGCGTAATACAAAAGTAAGCGATATGTCCATCTCAGCTTCGGCGGTCCTTTCTCATTGAGGGCAGCTTGCCATGTCCCTAAGAGAAGCAGCGGTATACCATTCTCTGTGTGCAGTCTCCCCGAATCAGCATCAAATCTTTGGCATATTCACTTCATCTAATGATGATCCTGCTACGTTAACTTTGGACTTCGCGTTCTTCCACTGTCAGCCCGGGTCGAGGTTAGTTGTCGGTAGCCTTCTACCGCGTTTTGCAATGACCTTACGTGCGAATGTACAGTGAATTCTGCAGGCTTCCTGTGGTCATTTCCAATATGGTTGAAAGCTCCCAAATTCAGCACGAATGGTTTATCCCAAACGCATCTCCAACAGCGTGGTGCGTAATTGTGCAATGCCCTGAGTATGTCTTCGCTCTATTCACTTGATCTCTATGGTCCAGTTTCCCAAATAATCCTCTGACGTCCCGCCTGCGAAGTGTAAGCCAGCACTATGTGGATGACCATCTGCATGTTGTTGAGCAATCTCTTCAAATCTTGAAGGTAAGGCCACGGCTCGTTGGACCGGTATGTGCTTGATTTAGGCCATAATATTTCATTCCAGCACGCGGCAGCACGGCTGTTGGAGAGCGAAGGGCAGCTGGCCGGGCTAAGAGAAGCAAAGGTTTCAAAGGCGCGTGGACACACCGCCACTCAGGCTCACAGTGGATCGCTGATTAACCTGTTGGAGTAAAGCGTCATCAAACCCGTAAGAACAAATTGTAGTCTCAAGAAAAGGAAGTTCGCCCATAGCAGCATCCTGTTGATCAGGCCAGTTTGCTACTGTCCGTCGACGTTAGAGAAAGAGGCATCTATTCATTACATATAATAACAATTTTAAGCTATCCTGCCATTCTCTGCTTAGTACACATACCCAGCCTTCGCCATGTCCAGGACTCCTCGGGAAATGACCAGTCTCTGAACCTGGGAAGTTCCTTCATAAATCATGAAAATCTTGGCATCTCTGCAAAGGAAAATGGGCGAATCAATCTACGACACAACGTAATATCGTGGCCTTATCAGTTCCTTACCGCATCAACTTCTCCACTGGATATTCAGAGTTGAAACCTAATGGAATGTCATGTATTTTCAATACAAATGAAAAGGAAAACCCTAGGTACGCCATCAACAGAGCTCACCATTTCCACCAAAGATCTGAACTGCATCAGCTGCATTTTTGTTTGCAATTTCAGACGCAAAGGCTTTCGCCATTGATGCGTAGTAGGTGTTTCGTTTTCCTTGATCGCGAAGCCATGCAGCCTTCCACACCAGGTTTCGGGCAGCATCGGTACCAATCGCCATGTCCGCCAACATGAACGCAACAGCCTGGTGATTAGCAATAGGCTGTCCCATGGTCTTACGTTCTAGACATGCAGAATTGTGAGTTCAATTCGACGAAATGACAATCCTAGCTGCCGTGACATACCAAGAGAGTACTTCGCCGCTTCGTCCATAGCCCGGCGCGCCAAGCCAACGGCCGCGGCGGCCACGAGTGGCCTCGTAATGTCAAACGCACCCATTGCAATTTTGAACCCAGCGCCAACCTCACCAAGGACGTTCTCTTCTGGGACGACAACCTCCTCAAAGGTGATACCACGAGTGTCCGACGCACGTTGGCCCATGTTGATTTCCTTCTTCCCAACAGTAATACCAGGAGTATCAGCATCAACTATAAAGCCAGTGAATGCTTTTCCAGTGGAGGCCTTGTCATCGGTTCGGGCAAGGACAAAGTACCAGTTCGCCTTTCCACCATTGGTGATCCACATCTTGCTGCCTTCCACGACGGTAAGCTTCAAGATTACAAAAATTGAAAGGGAGTTGTCCACTTACCATTGATCACCCACTTGTCACCTTTCTTGACCGCACGGGTCTGAAGCCCGGCAACGTCTGAACCCGCTCCTGGCTCAGTTACGCAATAGGCGCACATCAAGGGCTCTTCAGTCATACGACCAAGGTACTTCTGCTTCTGTGCAGCATTGCCAGCAATAATGACAGGCGCTTCTGCCAGTCCGTTGGCCTCGGCAGCCGTCTGAATCCCAGTGCAACCATAGGCCAACTCTTCGGACACAATAGCACAGTCCAGCACACCCAGACCCAGACCACCGTTCTCAGCGGGAACGTGCAAGTTGAGCAAACCAACCTCCCACGCCTTCTTCAAGATCTCAGTGGGATACTCGCCGGTACGGTCGTGGTGAGCCGCCTGCAATCAACCTTTGGAATTAGCATTCCCGCTAGCAGCACTTAAACATAGTGGAAGGAGTGCCCACATTTGGAATGATTTCATTCGCCGTGAACTTGCGAGCCAGCTCCTGCAATTCCTTTTGCTCGTCCGTCAAACCGAAGCCAATTCCTGGAGCAGCCTCGCTAGCAAACCCACGGTAGGTAACCTAAAAATTACGCCCATTTTAAAATTGACATCCTGTGAAGAAACCAGCCAAACCCAGCCTACCGAACGGGCGATAGACTTGCGAGTCAATAGCGGCCGTGCGCATGAACTAAACTTGGTGATTCCTCGTGAGAACATGGTCTGTAGTGCTCTGATGCTGTACCAAAAACAGTCCTGTTTGCAGCTGATGGAAGTCGGTGAAAGATCACTAGAATATCACGTGTCCACTCAGAAGGTCCCGTTTTTCGCCGACTATGCTGCCAGTACCAGCCACATTCATGGGCAAATGCAAGCGATTAAAACCGTTGTTTTAAGAATGTCAAACATCATCATCATGCAAGAGGGAAGACATCCAAATCTACCAAAAGTGTGGGGCAAATGTTCGTTTTGACGGGCTCTTGACCTCATCAGCATCGGATCAAGCATGGATAGATATCCTCTGCGCTTATTGAAGTAATAGAGAAAAACATTACACATAGAAGCCACGACGATATGCAACATCAGAGGTGGATAAACAGATCAGGATGCAGGCACGGCAGTAGGGTTTTAAATATATTTAACCAGATGACATTATGATACAGCCAGGTCGATAAAACCGGTGCTTAGGCCGAAGGCTTGGCAATAATGTCAGAGTCGCCGGCATCGATGATGGACAGAACGCCAACGCGGAAGTATTTACCGCAGGCAGTTCCGAGATCAATGTTGTCTAAAAGCGGAAGAATCAGGTTAGACCCAGTTGGGGGTCCACACTCATAGTTCAATGGGGCCGGACCATGGTTCCCATCTCAAATGAGTTGAAAACAAAAGCGAAACTACAGTTGCGTCAATACGTACTGCCAGAGTAGTGGTGCACACCAGTCTTGGACAACATGGCGTAGTACTCGAGTTCGCTCTTCCTCAAGGGCGGGCAGTTACCAGCGATGATGATGAGCTTGCTCTTTCCCTGACGAAGAGTCTTCAAGGTGGACTTGTAACCGAGGGTGTACTTTCCACTCTTCATCACGAGAGCGAGCCTCGAGTTGATGGACTCTGAAAATGATCGCCACAATGTCAACATGGTTCAACAGAGCGACAATATCTCAACGAAGCGTCTGCCTGTTCATACCGATGCTCTTCTTGGTCTTCTTTTGCGCAGGGGCCATTGCGATATTTGTGATGGATGGATGGATAGATGGACGTTGATGGACCCTCCCGAACGTGCCTTTCTGCAACGACTCTTCGGAAATTGGGCGACTGGAGGACAGATATGTCGTTGGCGAAAGCGTTGTCTTCCTACTCTTTGCAAGTGATCACATGAGGCTCACGTGTGTGACGGGAAGCTTGCTTATGCTATACCTTCCATAAAAGGTTACATGACGTCGGCGCCCATGCCGGGAATCTGTTTATCAAGTGTATTCGTTGATATATCGCAGATCAGTTCTTAAACCTTTCTTCCATCATGCCACTCATTGCAAACCCCAACCTGTCTTTCATGTCTCGATACGTGCCGCAGCTGGCTGCCCGCCGACTTTGTGGAAGGACACTCCCCGCGTTTCCCAGTCTCACCCGACATGCCAGCAGCTATCAAACACCTCAACTGGGCAGCTTTACGGTATGCCGAACATTTATACCTCTTTTCTATAAGACTCTAAGTATCTTCGCTGAAATCACAGCTGCCAGCGGTTAAAAATGAAGAAATGGTAATGTTCGAGGATGCCTTCGATCGTCTGGAGGTCGCATGTGCTTAGGGTTATTTTACACTGCTCCCAGCGAGACTATGCTCCTGGAAGTGTAGATAGGCGGAAGCTTCAGGAAGCTCTGGCAGAGATGCGTGAGCAGTTATTGAAAGAAGGACCATTCAAGGTTCCAGTTATCGTGAACGGTGAACATATTACAACAGACAGCGTGAACACACAAGCCCTACCATTTGAGCACAGGACAACACTCGCATCATTCCATGAGACCGATGCCTCTACCTTGCGGAAGGCGATTGATTTGGCGTTGAAAGTCAAGCCGGAATGGGAGGCAATGCCCTTTAATGATCGAGCGGCAATTTTCTTGAAAGCTGCAGACTTGTTGGCAAACAAGTACCGCTACAAACTCATGGCTGCGACCATGCTTGGGCAAGGCAAAAACGCATGGCAGGCGGAAATTGATGCAGCTGCAGAGCTTTGCGATTTTTGGCGCTTTAACTGCCACTTTGCTGCCCAAATATATGCGGATCAACCGGTCAAAAACAGTGCAACGACGTGGAATAGAATGGAATACCGTCCCCTGGAAGGTTTTGTTGTTGCTTATTCACCCTTCAACTTCACCGCAATTGGAGGAAACCTCGTGAGTGCTCCGGCACTCATGGGCAATGTTGTGCTATGGAAGCCTTCTCCAATGGCAATGTATTCCAACTACTTGGTGTATGAGATTCTGAGGGAGGCTGGACTTCCTGATGGTGTCATTCAGTTTGTACCGGGGAATGCGGAGTTCATTGCAAAGGTTTGAGGTGGCCGCATTTGACGCGTACTGCGAACCGTCGCTGATATATGCTTATTCACATAGGAAGCGTTCAGTCACCCAGAATTTGCAGGACTGCATTTTACCGGTAGCACTGCTGTGTTTAAGCATCTGTGGAAACAGATCAGCAACAACATTGATGTCTATAAGTCATACCCACGCATTGGTAAAGTATTGTGCTTGCGCGCCAGAAACACAAAATGGCACTCAATGCTCACTGTCGCAAGCTTAACCTAGTTGGCGAAACCGGGGGCAAGAATATGCATTTTCTACACAAGAGTGCGGATGTCAGAAGTGCTGCATTGCAGACTATTCGGGGAGCTTTCGAGTACAACGGACAAAAGTGCAGTGCCACCTCTCGGTATGGTTCGCACGCTGCACAAATGGCCTCACTGTGTCTGTAGACGTTTGTCTAATGTTCACTTCAGTGTCTATGTACCGGACAATCTTTGGGATGAGTTTCGCAACATTCTGGTGGATGAGACAAAGGCACTGAAGATGGGACCTGTTGATGGTGTGTAACTTGATTTTCCGGATACTTCAACCCCTTGGCAGTCGACTCAACCTTTGCGTGGTTAAAGACTTCACCAACTTTGTTACCTCGGTAATCAATGAGCACTCATTTAACAAGATCACCAGCTACCTCAACGATATCAAATCTGGATCTGATCCTAAGACGAAAATCCTTGTTGGAGGCAATTGTACGTCTCGGCTGGAGAATTACTTTATGTGGCATCCTCATGTTTACACTTATGTAGCATCCAGCACTGAAGGTTATTATATCGAGCCCACAGTAATCGTCACCGAGAACCCACACGCCGTGACAATGAAGCAGGAATTGTTTGGCCCCGTTGTCACCGTTTATGTTTACCCCGCCGACAAGTTCGAGGAAACGGTAGGCCTGTACCTCTACCTTAAGCACAGTGTAGTCAGACTCATCACCGTCCCTATTTTTCTCACCAAGCTCGAACTGGCGGAAACCACGACACCTTATGCCCTTACTGCTGCACTGTAAGCTTGAGTTCACTTTCATTATATTTGTTTCGAACGCATTGGTGTACTCACGCTGGATACGCAGATTCGCCCAAGATCGGGAGGCCATAGTTACGGGTAGCAATGCTCTACGTCACGCGGCCGGTAACTTTTACATTAATGATAAGTCTACTGGAGCTGTAGTTGGTAAGTCGACGGACTCGAATGTAATCCGATTGTAATGTTCACATTGTGACCACTGCATCTACAGGTCAGCAACCATTTGGCGGAGGCCGTGCTTCGGGGACTAACGACAAAGCTGGATCGGGATTGTACGTTCCTTTCGGCGCCAAAATCAGCGTACAGCACCGGTTTGCTAACTATATTTCATCGGTTTAGGAACCTGCTCCGATGGGTGTCACCGCGGGTTATTAAAGAAACGTTTGTCCCACTCGGATCCGTAGCGTACCCCTCCAATGTGGCTGATTTCAAAAGGGAATAAGCAATAAACATAGAACCAGCTGTACACTTTTAGTCATTCTCCGTTGCTTCTAGATACTCTGTAAACGAAATGCAGTGTGTCTTCCTGTTTCACGATAACTATCTATTCCCAGTATCTTTCACAGACTGTGTTGCTTCCTGATGGCCTGACAGTTGCTCAGAATGGTTTCCAGCATTTCATTATGTCTCGTAAGGGTGAAGTTACTTTACATGGCACACTGCCCGAGCGTGAAGTGCTTCGATTGCTTATTAGATACTGCTCGGGTTTACTTTGGCGGCTGCTTGACAGACTGTCGTGGTTGGTCCCCTAGAAGGTCAGGAATAGACTGACATAACCAATATCAGTAACCTTTCAGCGCCCTTATTTCGGGCAATCCCAAGGCTTTGTCCTCACCATATCTGGTTTGAGCCATCTGTGCACTGCGGTGCTTCCTACAGGATGAGATCGGGTATGAATAATAAATTACTGGTGGTGGTACCGTATGAGCCTACCTGCCATCATTCCTCCCACTAGCGCCAGGAATGTCAAGGTTTTGCTGACATTGTAAGCCATTATGAACTTGGGAGAGAGGATATGATGTTGGCAAAATCTGTCGGCTTTACGAAGGTAGCAACGCGGTGGAATGGGCTGCTGTTACGCAACCGACAAGGTTCGCGAGCAATGCCCACACATTATGAAATTCTCGGCGTTCCACAGACAGCCTCCATAGAAGAAATCAGGAAGCAGTATCAAAAGCTTGTCCTACAGGTACCATCCTGCAACTGCTACTATCTGGTGGTTGACTCACCAGTTTCTAGTACCATCCCGACAAACTCGCTCAGACCGTTAATTCACCGAAATCCGGCAACGTTCAAACGGGGCCCGAAGAATGTGCAAAACGCTTCCAAGAGGTGGTAGCAGCCTGGGAGATCCTGAACGACGAATGCAAGCGGAGGCAGTATGACGCTGAACTATCGGGTATGGAGTGAACAGCATTGGAGTTAGCTTCACATTGCTGAGCAATGCCCTTTCTCTCTGTACCCACTCGACACTCCCTCGTATCATGCCACAGCGAGAAGAACCGCTAATATCGGTCCCATTCATGCAGAAGTCGATCTGGACGACATGGAGTATGATGAAGGTTAAAAGCCCGTGCGCACTGAGAAGGACTATTGAACTATTCTACTCACCCGATGGATTTGGTAGGAAAGGCTTCTTTCCACACCCTATGTCGATGCGGTGGGTCGTACACTGTGAGCGAATCACAACTAGAGCAGCAAGTGCAAACTGTCACCTGCGACAGCTGTTCGTTACAAATACGATTGATGTATCAAGTGGAAGAAATCGACTGATTTACCTCGGCCTGGATACGTAGCGACAGGAGAAGAACGCTAACGGCTCAAACCATATAGTAGATTGTCCACAACCATTACGGTGGAAGCCCCTTCGGGTCCCTAGAAGCAAGGTCATACTCTCACCCCATCATAAGTAGCCAAATAGAGATGTACCATGAATCTGCTACGGCAGAATAGACAAGATAGTTATTTATCTATCAACATTTGCACCCGATCAGGTAGGATCATTATCTACTATGGAAATATATTAAAAGACTGCGTAGCTTCTCTTAACTGTCACGTCAAAATCCTCAAAATCCTACCAATGAAGGTTGACATACTCCTTCAAGGTGGATTCTAAGGCATTATCCATGAGTGCAGAGACCTCGCCACTGCCAATACCTACTGCAGAATGTGTAAAAGCGGCTCCTAGAATGGCAATCCATCAAAACAGCTCTTATTCCAACCATATGATATTTGAGATCTGCTGTAAAAAGTAAAGCTATTTGCGCTCCGGAGACTTTCTAAAGTCTCGACCTTCCTTGGACCTCTTGAAGCCTCCTCGTTCGTCCTCCAGACCGATGACCGGTTCTAACATAGACATGTCATGTTAGCCACCTCTCTCGCAGTGCCTTACAACGACCTACGTACTGGGGGCGGATTCGGAAATGTAGCTAGAGTCGGTTTTAGTGGCAGGCTGATTGGCTTCCGGTCCATCGATGTTTTTTGCTTCCATTCCTTTCCGAGCAAGATCGCTGGAAAAGAGAAATCATGCGAAGTTAATACAAATAAGCACTAACCGCTATGAAGCAAAAAGATGCATACCTGTAGCCATCGCCAGTGTTTCCAGAAATGGCTATTACATCACAAGAGGAATTAGGCTCAATTTAATGTTTCTTTCGTATGGCTTCCCCAAGCCAAAAGCTCACCTCTGTCTACTGCATGTGCTCGCTCATGGCGTCCTCGTTGCTTGTCTTCCTCCTTGGATGATTCAAAGGCAGAAGCCCATTGCTTTTTGAATCCATTTTGGGTCCTGGTACATGGTGAGCTATAGAACCCCCTTGATATCGGTCGAAGCACAAGGGTGTAAAGTGGACGGTATGATTGCACTGTCATTTCCGCTTATTGTATGGTGATTTCTGGCGTCTTTTGTGATTGAGATGGGAACTGCACAGGATACTTTAATCGGTGTACTAAAGGCAATGATGTCAAGATCCAGTCACCAGCCTAAGCCACGCTTACGCTCAGACAGATTATGTAAGCATAGATGGTGCACTCGACGCGGACGGCAACTCTTCTCCATGGAGAGCCGATATGGCTTCCTCCACTTCCCCCCTCGTCATTTTTGACGAGTTTTCTAAGCTACGCATCCTAGATCCAGTTCAATTTGAGACATCTGAGAAGCTGAAAGAGGAATGCAAAGATTTTACGCAAAGTAGGTTGAATACGATCGAGGACTCTTTCATAGTACGCCGTTGAATTAGACTTCGAAGGAGTGAGCAATTTCAACGAAATTGTGGAAATGTTCCTCAAAATGATGGAAGAGAAGGCCGAGCAGATCGAATCCGAGAAGCTTAAAGTTGTATACTTTGACTTTTTTACAAGATGAATAATTGCCCTAACATCCACACCCCCTCAGGCGATAGGGCTACGAAACCGAGCAGAACAACAGATGGAGAATAGAAAGGGTACACAGAAGCAGCTGCAATCCTTAATCAAGGAGCGTCAAGCTGAATTAGACAGGTGCGTATCATCTCGGCGCTTAGGCCCTTATACACAAAACTAAAGCCACCACCGATGCAGGCTCACAGTGCAGGTGGACTCTCTCGTCAAAGTGCAACATGAGCAGGAAGCCTTGATTGACAGCTTGAGCTCAAAATGAAACCGCTCATCCACAAGGTCGTTACGATGCACCGGCTTTTATTGAGCAGACCACCCATTCGCCTGAAGCCAGAAACTATCCCGCACTCATTTTGTGGATACAAGATTTATATAGCGCACCAATATTGGTTGACCACTTATCCAGAGCATTATAATGCAGCGTGTCTGTCGAGCTGCGAGGAAAAAGGTCTATAGTTAGCATGTACCCCGGGATGCTGGCATTCCATATCCGTATCACGTACTGTGAATGTAACTCTAAGCGTTGATTGACTTGATCTATCCGTCCATCAACTTTGTTATCCAATATCAGGCCCACGAGAAGGTCCTCCACTTCACTCGTCGATATATTCAATTGCTACCAGAAAGGAACCTGAATATACAACTCTCAGCTTAAGCTGCCAATGGATTGTCTCACCTTAGACACAAAAGGTATCTCGATTCGGGTGTAAGGTTTGATCAGCTTAATAAGAACTTGCGTTCGGATGTTCTTGAGGACATCGTCAATGTAGGTTCGGATGAAGGGATCACCCAATATAGTTGCTTTATTATTGCGAAGGATTTTTTCGACTTCCCAGAGCTCTTTTCTTTGGTACGCATTCACCATATCAGTCATGGCGACGATCTGAGGATCGTTCTTATAGCTATGAAGGGAAGTACGCAAATTTGCAAAGTCATCGATGAGTACCGGTGAAAGCCAACTCTACATGAATGTGGATACTTACGGCTTGGTCTCCTGAGAGTCAAAAGGGTTTATCTGTGATTCCATCAACATATTCGCAAGGACAAGATATCTAAAGGGTTAAATGGAGATGTTAATCCCTGCGTATGGAAACGACTAAACACCTGTAACTGACTTGAGGCATTGAATACGTTGGGGGTCGCCAGCTTCATCATAGTTTTTGAAGGCTTCGAAAAAGTCTATTTGAGCTTTCTCCCACTCCTCTGCAATGGTCCGGCATGTCTTGATTAGTCCGGTCATATCCCCTGTTCCATAATGTGCTAGAAAATACTTGCTTTCACCCATATGCATTTTGCCACCGCACTCGCGAATTACACCTGTGTGACAACAAGCGGAGTGAGTTGCATACAACCGGAAGGCGGCAGAGTGAGACTATTCATTACATACCCATAATACGCGGATGAGGGATGGCTGATTTAACGTGCAGACATTGTTGGTACAGGGCCTATGCTTGGTGATGTGGCAATGAGATAGTGCATTGACGTCGGAGCTGTCAGGATGAGCAACCTTCAACTTCTTGTTGTTCTTGGTCTCAGTATACATCTGAATCTCCAATGCGAAAATTTCCAGGAGAAGCGTTCCTTTTTTTTGATCATCAGTTCCATCATCGTTCTGACAGGATTGGTGCAGCTGTCGAAGGATCTATCACACCAGCAATGAACATGCGATCTTTCAGCAGGTGACGAAGGCGACTGAACCGACCTTATTCAATCTCGCATACTCATGTCGGTCAAGCCATAGTTTAGCAAGTTTCAGATTCGTCTTTGTCCATAGCCGCTACAGTAAACCATTAAGGCACGATGTTGGGGTTGCCGAGTGGTAGTCGCCGTAGACAGTACCTCGTTCTTTGCCTCCTCCAATGCCCGAAGGGTTACCGAATAGAAGTCCTCTAGAAATTTCATATCCGGTGATGATGAAACAAAGTCCAAAATATTGTTTATGCTCTTCTCGCTGTAATTGCGTGTGACGGCACTCTTCACATATGTAATAAGCTCCTCGTAATATCTCAGAGTCTGCGTGATAAGCAGTAAGTAGACATTGATAATTTGCGCATTGCAGGCTGCTTCGTACCGCTTGATAATCGTTTTGACCAAATGACAATTTAACCATCTGCTTCAGGGCTTTGAAGCCCCTGGCAGCACGAGACCAATAATTAGAATGTAAACCTTACGTCGACAAAACTCTTGAGCAAGACGTACCAGTCGCCCTTCTCCTCTTCTGCATCTACCACTTTCTGGAACTCTTTAATGGCAGTTTCCGGGTCGTCTTCCTTGTGACCTGCAAAGTAATCATTTGAAAAGCAACCATGAATTCGTACGCAAAATACTTTTAACATCCACCGCCCGACTAATTTTATACCTTTTGCATTGTAATACTTGTTTTCTAGGTCCACGTCGGGCTCCTCTTCGTCCTCATCTTCATAGTCGAAATCGAACTCTTCCTCGTCGTCTTCATGCTGAAGTTGCCGTTATTAGTGAATATTGTTTGGTCCTGGAGAACGCAGTGCCAACCATAAAATCGTCATCGTCCATATCAGACATCTTGGGCACTTATTTACCGCTGAAACACGATATCCCAGCAAGATCTATAGCAATTGTCAAGTGTGTCCAAAGCTGAAAGGCATCAACGTTGATGACTCAACACGAAGATCCACGTGATATGATGCGCGGACTCAGGTCTGCGCACTTGCTTGCCAATCTTGACTTACACTCTGAAGTGGCAACCAAAAATAACTGCCGTTATTTGCAATCAGGTCCCCCTTCACAATTATACAAGGCTTACAAGTGTATTCTGACTGGGTTATTTTTTTGAAGTGTTCAGATCTGAAAGCTTGTCGATCGAAAACACGGTTTCCGCTTGTGGCGCAGCTTGCCAGTTGATTACGTACACACTTGGCGTATCCGCTCGATTGTCCATCTTACGCTTCAAGATCAGATCGTGCGTCAAGTCGGTGCTTTGGAACAGTCCGACGGCGGTCACGCAGCTCTCCTATGCAGAAGCAAACAGCTCCCTCACCGCCGCCTCCGCCGGCCGCTGCAGCTGCCGCAAACGTCGTGTCGCACAAAGCCACCGCACAGGCGCCCTTTCTCATCAAGGGCGAGGGCGGACGGCCGGAGGGCATTGTCTTCAGCTTCCCGGACGTGAGTACCGAGGCCGCTGCCAAAGCCATCTCCCTGAAGAACATTGTACGCCAATACTTGGGCGGAACACGCTCCACCGAGATCCCCTCCGCGCAGCTCTACAACATCCTTGGTCGTCTCCGAAGTTTGTCTTACCTCTTGTTGGAATACAATGATGGCGTACGGACGATGACCAGCAACGCGGATCGCTCTCAACAGCTCTACTTTCTCAACTACGTGAAGCGACGCACCCTGGATCAGCTTTCCGTCTTCGGCTTCCAGATCGCCGCGGAGGTCGCTCTCATTCAGGTTCCCGGACTGTCGGAACTCATCGAGCAAATAGAGAAGATTTTCCAAGAGGAAATACGAACCTTCCGCGACATGATCGCCGGCGGGACCGTGGTGTATGAAGCCTTTGGCGAGCTCTTCCGGCCGGATCGGGCCGTCCATGGCACGACAAACCTCGCCGGCTCCGCGGGCTGCTATAAGGTAGTGGAGGGCTACTTTGAGGAAAAGCGGACGCTCATGGGAACGGAACGCACCTTCCACCTCTCCCTGGAGTACCTCGCCTCCCTCGGGGATCACTTTGGCGTGGTCCGGTTCGAGGAGACATTCAGCAGCTGGATGGGCGTCCGTGCGCGTCCCATCACCGACCTCAACTACTACCCCGTTGCGGCAGATGACCTCTCACTATTTCGCCAACGCGGAGCTAAATATTATGAATTTGGTGTGGGCGGTGCGAGGTTTCTACACTACAAACCCGGGAGCTTCTTCATGCACACCGTCGGAGGCAAAGCAGGCAGCATGTCGCGGCCCGCCGGCTCGCAATCCCACGGCTCGGGCCGGATGATCATTGATGCGTCGCGCGGCGCCCAGCTCGGCCACCACGCCTCCCAGGGCTTTGACGAACCAACAAATGCTCTGACGCAATTGTCCACTCGGTACCGACGATGGGTGAATGAGCAGCGTTCGGGTAGCAAAGGTTCTACGACCGAGAACTTGCACATCATGACGGAGATTCCGAACGAGCTGCTCGCTTTCTGTTGGCCGGCTTTGGTTGCCTTCAGCTTCAATCTCAAAGCTTGGGGTCATGTCCTGGTGGACGGCGTGGAAAACATTCAGTTCAACGACCGCGCTTTTGATCAACTGGTGCTGCCCGAAGAGCGGAAGCGTCTCATCCGCGCTTTAGTGACCTATGGCGGCGACGACGACTTTCAGGACATTATCGGCGGCAAGAGTGGCGGCTCCATCTTCCTGCTGCATGGACCGCCTGGTGTCGGCAAAACACTGACGGCCGAGGCTATCGCAGAAGCGCTGCACCGTCCCCTCTACTACGTCACAATGGGAGAGCTGGGAACGACTCCCGAAGAGATGGAACGCCGCCTGGCTGATGTGCTGGACCTGTGTGCCGGTTGGAACGCCCTGACCATCATTGATGAAGCCGATGTCTTTTTGGAGAAGCGTGCGACATCCGATGTCCTTCGCAATGCCATGGTTTGCGTGATGCTCCGCTTGCTGGAGTACCATCAGGGTATCCTGTTCCTGACGACAAACCGCGTGCGCGAATTTGACCCAGCTTTCGAGAGCAGGGTGACCGTAGCGTTACGCTACGATGGGCTCACTCCCGCGGCTCGAGCCAAGGTATGGAAGAACCTCATCGGTCGCCTCAATATCCCTTGCGAAAACAACCTCGACTTTGACTCCCTCGGCAAACATGAAATGAACGGTCGCCAGATCAAGAACGCGGTGCGCCTCGCCGCTGTTCTAGCCAAGGATGATCATTTGCCGCTAAGCCAGGCTCATATAGACCGGACCATCGAGATTACGAGTCTGGGCCGGGAAGACATGAAGAAGGCAGCGCACTATTAGTCGCATGAACCGTGATTTGGTGAGACGCTCTGTGCAAATAGCCTTCCACGATAGCAATCTCATTTTCGATACCTAATGATGCAAGCTCCATCTTGACCTCCTGTAACGAGGGACTATATGACGCTTCCGGGCCATACATGAGTATGCGGGATTTCAATAGACCTTGCAGCAAAAGCATTGGTATGCTACCATTATAAGCGGCCCGTTTCCAGCAATCAGTCACGGCAGAAACACGTCCCGCCAACATGTTGAGATATCCTTCTCCTGCATTCACTGGAACCCTAGTGAAGCTTACGGCTGTAAGGCTCCTCATTGCCTTGGTGAACTTTCGGAGCATTCGTACAATCGAATCTTTGCCGACAGTTTCTATCCGTCCTCTCGTGAGCAGGGTATCCGCACCAAATAGGACCAGATGATATGCTAACCACATGGCAAAGTCTGAAGGCTGAAATGTCGTAGGGATGAGTCGTTCTATAGTCTCAATGGACTTCTTTAGTTGATGCATGAAATTAAGACGCGCTTGAATGTGGACAAGATCTGCTTCATAGTTGATGATGTGTAGATCCACCTTTAACGGAATAATCTGCAAAGCTGGGAATCCAGTGACATAACATTCCGTTGCTTCCGTAACCTGATCTCTTAATGCATAGACAACAGCCCGGCAGTTAAGCGCAATCTCTGCAAGACCATTGGTATCTCTCCGATCCAGGATTTCTTCCCAAAGCTCTTCAACAACCTCCAGCACACACGGCAGATTGCCGGCTGCCCAAGAGTTTGTGGATTCAAACGAAGGCTTCGCGAACAAATGTGATGGCAGAAGACAGATACAACACCAATCCCTCAGAACTACATCTTCCCGGTCCCCCGTTTCGGCTATGCTATACCGGATATCGCTCTTCAGATTTCTGACCCACACATCCGACGACTGGCTGTCCAATGGCAAACGAATTGGCTCCCTTATATTGAGCATTGCAGCGCTTGCGGTTCTATTAGGACTCGCCGCTGCATCTGTGACTGCGAAATGTCCGAGGGATTCCCCGGCCTTGAAGAATGGTGGGAGAGTTATGCCGATGACATCTCTTTGCTGATGGCAGACGGTTTGAGTCTGGGCAGTTACAATATTGTTGATACACTGCTCAACGCACAACAATTCACTCTCTTCAGGGATTGTCAACGATATCTCTTCCCTCGCCTCCTACCCACTAAGGCCGTTTCACCCACTCGCTTACCCCAGATGGTGAGTGCCGTTCGCTGATCTTCCTCAGTTGAGATATATTGCATATAGTTATGTTTAGCGTAGAGTTTTAGTATATTGTATAGTTGCATTCTCCCAATAAGATTCCTTGATCCCTAACCCTAAGTTGGCAAATGGAGGAGATACTCGAGCCTCTTGGAACTCGCATCATCGTCATACAAGCCCCATCAAAACTCAATATCGCTACCAAACAATTTGGTAATGTTCAAGTGACAAGGTGCATTGCTGAAGATCTTTTGAGAGATGGAGCTAGATCGAAATATGATAGGAGGTCTCCTCAACTTGCTATGCATCTGCGAAGAGTCACATTGTGGGTAAATGTCTAATCGCTTGTAATAACTTAGGGTTAACTTAACTAAGGATATAATTAAATATCTTATGGCTTGGGTTAACTTAACCTTAGATATAATCCCGCTCAGTCGGACATAAAAGCTTGTCATCAAACACGTTGGCGTACTGCTTATCGTAAGCACACACAAGCCACACTTGGGAAAGAGGCCTTCGAGATGCTAAAGAACACACAGCAAGTACAATAACAAAACAACTCTTTACGTTCAATTTGGTGAATTGATGACGGCCAAGCATCTCTAGGACATTACATGAACACCGAACATGAACGAAACTAAACATCCAAGTGCGTTCCCCACAAAATATCCGCTCACTGTGACATTGTCCTAGTCCCTTTTGACGGCAGCGGAGACAACGTATCAACCATCTTCCGGGACCCTCGTACGGCCTTGAAGTGATTAACCCATTGATCAATCGTTTCGGCACTTCCAGTCTGGACTTCCCAAAAGAGTTTGTTGTTGATTTGGATGGTGACAGAGAACCCTTGCTGGGCATTCTTCACCACATTAAGAACCTTGAGCTCTTCCACAAGCACCGTGGTGCCTCTAAACTCGGATGCTTCGTCCATTGGAATTTCGGCAATGATGCTTTGCATAGGCACGAGCACAATCTGACGACGAACCCATCTGCTGGTGCCGAGCAAGAACTTGGAACGTGCAATGCGAATGTCGGCGTAGCCCTCGATCATTTCTCTCTTCTCGGCTTTAGCAGTAGAATCTGTTCCGGTATGGCCGGATTCCGAGTCGCCAGTGTAACTGCTTGGTGAGTGTTTGTTCTCGCCTTGGCCGCCACCGATTTCGAGGCCAGTAATGAGGGTGATTACTTTGGGGAGGAAGTAGATGGCGTAGACAACTGACGTTAGAACTAAAATGCCGACAGGAATGACAACGGGATTTCCGGTTGTTGCCGAGATGATCTGCAAGACGAATAGAGAAAGGAGATTAGCTTCCTACAAACTTGGGAGGCACACAAGGAGAGCATACCGGAATGATCGTAACCAAAACGACCTGTTTTAGCAAGAAAGAGGATGGAACATTTTAGAAATCTGTACGCATATATCAACTTTGTCTAGTACTTCGACACTTACGATGTTATACACAGCAAGGCCGATCAACTTGGACTCATTGTACCGTGCCGCAATATTGCGAATCTAAGAGCACATAAAATGGGTTGGAAGGATATGCACTGTGGAATTACATCGACCAATAAACCTACCGAGTACGCGATGTACGTGGTTAGAATGAGAATGGCTGCATTAAAGGCCACTGTGATAGCACTGAGGACGTTGCGCGCAGTGGTGCCACCCATAGCGCATTCCCAGTAACGTCTCTCCATGGTCACGGAAAGGATCTGGGGCTGAGGAGGGTCCACATTAAGCCAGATCGCCAACAAAATCTACGAATAAATGCGAGTCAGTGCTTGTGGGTTGCACAGTATGTTTAACATATTTACTTACTCCTTCGATTACGAGGATGCCAAAAGTAAGACG